ATTACTTTGTTTATCCACTTAAATAATTTTGAATTTGCTTGGATGGTAAATGATGAGCTTACTTTCCAATAATTATTGAAGTTTAAAAGAACAAGGGTTTGGTTGATTTCCTTTCATTACATTGTTTGTTCAATAACTGTTTTATAAAACAACTTTACTTTACTTATCAATCAAACTTATCATCTAAAGAGCAAGTAAAACCAGCTTAACCTATTCCGTTTAAAGAAAAAACAATTCTTTCCCCAAAATAACCTATTCATCAAACATGCAAGACACAAATTCCACTCTAATTCTACGTGTTCAACAAATTTGCTGAGGGTAATTAAAGAGTATGATGAATTAACAACAGATCACTGCTAAACATAATAGTAGTGCCCACTTAATTTCCCCAAATACACATACTTGAATGTAAAAAGCATGATCCAGATTAAAACTTGTTTAATTACCCATTTAAATATTGAACAGAGATCAGTGATCGAATCACAGAGCATAACAAACTGTCAGAAGAATAATCCATTAAATACAAAAAATTAAAGGAAGCAAACCTCGGAAATTGAAAGTTGAGAAGTGTGAATCGTAGTAAAAATGGAAACTTTTGCACTCACCTGCCTATACCGAAGAGGCTCATGGCTGGGTTGAGAGAGAGAGAGAGAGAGAGAGAAAGAAACTTTTCGTCTATGGCGTCTTTTCCACTCACAAGGTTTCGACTTTAGAATTCGAAATTTTATTTTTTCATTTTTTTTTCTAAATTACCGTATCACCCTTCTTTCTGTTTTTAATCACTCCTCGGTCCCTTCGGCTTGACGTGTGCATAGTGTAATAATTCAGTAATTGTATATATTTCTGTAATTAAAATAGGATTATCATTAATTTGTAATAAATAGATATTTTTATTAAAAATTGACATTAATTAACCCTTAATGCTTTTAATTATACTGTTCATTAAATTACTTAAACTACTGATATAATGTTTAATAATTGAACCCTATTGAAATCACAGCTGAAATACTTATATTACTAAAATAAACCACATTTGAGTAATTAATATCTTAATTTTACAACAATTCTATAATAAAATATCGATATACAACAAGTAAATACAACTGGAAGTTAAAATTAAACATATTATAATATCTAAATTTAAATATTAATAAAATATACAATCTTAGTTAATAAGAATAATTTTTTATCTATAATAAAAATGATAAAATATACTATATTGAAAACATATTTTTCATACATCCTTCTTAATAAGTTGTGGTTTAAAATCATTATGAGAGAAAGACATTAAATAAATTGTGAAAACTATCAATTTTTGTGATTTCTAATTAACTTTAAATAATAAGATAAGTTATCTAAAAATGTATGTGTACTATCTTCTCTTTCTTAATTTTTAATTATTCATATATTTATTTTTATAAATAAATAAATTAGAAAAACTAGTTTAAAAAAATGGTTAGTTAGAAGATATTACAATAACTTAAATAGTTGTGTTCTGTTGAAATATACAATAAATACAAAATGATAAAAATAAACATATTAATAATAATATATTTTTTATAATATAAATTATATTTTGAATATTCGTAATTTTAATTAACTTAAACTTTTGTAAATTATTTTTTACAAATGAATCATTTTAGATTTGTCTTTCAAATTGAGTTATTAATATTTTTTAAATATTTTACTGTTTATATATATATATATATATATTAGATTATGCTTTGAAATATATCAAATCAATAATTTTAGTTGTCTTTTGAATTATTAAATATCTTTTTAAAATATTCACTATTCATCTTAGATAATGCTTTGAAATAATTTCAATTAAAATTTAAATAGAGTAAAAAATATACTACTAAATAGACCAATACTTTTCGGTTATGTTAGTAAATATAAGTTTTAAAAACAATGTAATAGATAAAAATATTATTTATCAACATTAGTATCTTAAAATTTAATGAGAAATAAAATAAACATTATAAATCATCTAGAATTTAAGCTAAACGTATGTAATATAAAAATATCATCCTACTATTACTACTACTAATTATTATTATTATTGTTATTATTATTATTATTATATAAAAAGAATTTTTTCTCATAACTGATGTTAAGCCTCGAAAAAAAATTGTTTCTCCGATAATTTTGACAATCATTATTATGATTGTAATTATTTTATTTTGTTAAAAGATTTGTAATAAACGATTAACTTATTTTATATTTAATATTTTATTAAAAAATATTTAATATGATTGTTTACTATAATATTTAAATAAAATAATTAGAAAAATATCTTATTTCTTACATGATACCGCAAGATGACTCACCAAAAAATAATACAATATTTTAAGATAACATATATTATTAAAGATAAAATAAATAAATTAAGAGAAAATAAATTTATTAATTTTATAAAAAAATAACATAAAATCAATTATGAGTTGATTAAATAAAAAATAATATTAGTTTGTATTTTCTTAAGTGATGAATAACTTGTATGAATTATTAATATTAAAGATGTTATTATACTACTAAAAAATATAAAAGAAATTGTTTTCTAAAATTTGATTCAACCATTTTTATCAGTTCATTAAATCTTGATAAATTATTTCATTAAATGTCTTTATAGTAAAATATGAAATATGATGAGTCTGACTCTTATAAATACAATATAATTTCCTTAAATATGACATAATTCACATATATTCTCTTAAATATATGTTATCTAGTTATTTCTTTTATTTACTTTTTACAATTCCTTTGCTTAAAGCTTTCATATCAAGTTTGTATAATGATAACAAGTAATAAATAACTCAATTTTTTAGTAAATTTTCTTTTATTATATCATTATAAATGTTTTGACTTTTTAATTAGTGACTTTTGTCTTAAAAATATAAATATTTTTCACACATAGTAAACCATATAAATGTATCATTTTAAATCAATTTTTTTATACTATTTTATTTTCTCCATTTATCTGTGAGACATGTGGATTTTTACATTGAAAACCAAAAATTAATTTTACAACGAATAATATATTTTTTATAATATTTTTTACTAAATTATTTATTCTAAATCCTAAATCTTCAACCTAAATAATAGACTAATATTTTAAATCTTATTACGACGAATATGCTTTAACAATATATTTAAAAACAGTTGTTTAACCGTATACCTATAATATACCTAAATTTGTATCTCTTTAAATTTTTATGTTAAAGTATTTTGTGGTCCCGTTGCTGGAAAAATTTGTGTCCCTTTTCTTGTATCGCTTGCCTCTGTCACTGGTATAGAAGACTCTGATATCAGTAGTAGGGAGGAAAATGCAAGGAAAAATCTAACTGCATGATTCTGTATTTGCAGAAAAAATCAAGAAGACTTCGATTCATATTCCATACATTTGGGAGTTTTCTTGAATCTCTCTCGTGATGCCGAAATCCACAAAAAAATATTTCTCCAAACTTTTAACAATGTATATTGTAGAAAAAAATGACAGAAAAATAAGATCTACATGGACTCAAAACAAATCATCCCAAGTTATATATTTAGGTAAAGACTTTTTCAAATTCAATGTTTCTTCTCTGGAAGACATGCACAAGGTCTTGGTGATGGATTTTTGAAACCTCACATCATATTCATCCCTATTGACCAAAATTATAGATATATTTCCACAAGTTATGCTAGACATTCATATATTAAATTATCAAATATATTTGTTGTGATTCTTATCAAATAATTTGTCACCTTTTGACCAAAGTAGAAAAAGTCTCGGGTCATACTATATATATTTGAAAAGAAACTAAAGAGAATATAGGTTTTTTTTATACCTCTCAAGTAAAATAAATATATATTTGATAATTATGCTTTTAATAGACATGATTGAAAGAAATAATTATGAATTTTAATTTATAATAAAAATTAAATTTATTTTATTTCTTACATTCTCGTATTCTTAATTTTTTTAATAAATAATTTTCCTCTGGTTTCTCTCTTGTTGCCCATCTTTTTTAATTTAAACTAATATTAATTATTTTATTATTATATCCTTACTTTTATCTATTTTTAATTAAGTTACATTTTAATAATAAAATAGTAGATTTCATAACATTTATAATTAATAGTTGCTTACACAAGTAGTGCATGTTAATTTTGTAATTATATATCACCTAAATTTGATAAGTCTTTACAAAAATGTACATATATTAAACTTATTAATATAAATTTTGAAGTTGATTTTATGGATTTCTAATAATTTTATATCTTAAATTTGAAATATATATTTTTATTAATGTATATTTTTTTCAAGTAAAAGACATTGAGTAAAGTTTTTACAGATATACCAACACATTTCCTAGCCAATTCAATGTCATGTACTTGAATGATAAATTTGGTTAAAACTTTAAAAAAATCTTAAAATCTCTATATTGAAAATTATTTTGTAACTATTTATTAAAGAGAAGGAAGTTTATTATTATATTTTTTTTTGCAATAAAATATTGTTGAAACATTTTGGATAATAAAAAAGAAGAAGTAAAGACAATGGAACCCATTAAAAACATTTCTTACTTCACTTACAGACCTTTTAATTTTAAAACACCAGAAAATAAAAATTAAATAAAAGACATCTGAGTCAATTTTTTATTGAAAAAAAATCATTTTTTCCATTCAAAACATTTATCTCAGAGGAAAAAAAAACCCGACAAAATTAAATTGATTTAATTATTTATTGAAAAAATTAAAAGAACAGGAGATAAGAACAAAAAAGCAATTAAGATTTAAAAGAAAAGAATAAATAAAAGTGGAAGGTTCCTTTGTTGAGTAGTAGAAGTAGTAGTTAATATGCAGCAATAGCATCCTTCAATCCCTACCATTTCACATTTCATTTTTACCCATCAAAACTAAATCATGTCCCAATCTCACAGGTAACCGCCCCTCCCCTTCTCTAATGCTCTTCTCCCCACCCAGATTCGCCCTTTTCCCCTCTTATTTTCACAACCATGAGCGTTCCTCCGCCGTCCGTGGCGGCGATGTGGACGCCGTTCACGGCGGCTCAGTGGCACGAGCTGGAGCACCAGGCCCTCATCTTCAAGTACCTCAAGGCGGGTCTCTCCGTCCCCCCTGACCTCCTTCTCCCCATTCGCAAGAGCCTTCAATTCATGGCACAGCCATCTCGTGAGTAATCGCAAACAGTGACCTATTTTGCGTTTTTTTGCATCTTCTTTGTGTGAAGTTTGAGTCTTTATGGTTTTTGTGCAGTTGGGGGCTACTACGGGAAGAAGATAGACCCTGAACCGGGTCGGTGCCGGAGAACCGATGGGAAGAAGTGGAGGTGTTCGAGGGATGCTCATCCTGACTCCAAGTACTGTGACCGCCATATGATACGACGTCGTTACCGTTCAAGAAAGCCTGTGGAATCTCAACCTCACTCTTCTTCTGCTACTTCAAACCCTGTTGCTGCTTCTGCTTCTGCTGCTTCTGCAAGTGGTTCTGCTGTTTCATCTGCAAGTGGTTCTGCTGCTGCTGCAGCTGCAACAACCCTTCACACCCTTCCCTTGCACACTAATGGTGCTCGGGAGGGTTTCACTTTCACCCTTGGGAACAACGCGACCACCACCGCCACTACCCTCTCCCACCTTCACATGGACCCCCTCACTCTTTCAGGTGACAACAGCAAGAAAACTTACAGGTATGTATGCCCTTTCACCCCTTTCAGATCGAGCCCCTTGTGAGAGTTTTGAATTGGTTACTTTTTTTTGTTCTTTACTGTTTTTAATTATGTACAAATGGTATCTTTGTTGTTGATGTTGTAGTGAGAATAGGGAAGGGTATTTTTTTTTGTGTGTGTGTGTGTGATGCTTGCTACATTTGTCTTCGGGGTGTTTGACTTTTGGGGTTGTGGCAATGATTGCTAGGATTGTCTAGTGGAGTGTGTCGGTGTTTTACTACACAGGTTAGTGTATTATTATGTTGTAGTTTTAAACAGCAAACATGGTAGCTGTGATGTTAAGTTACCTAACATGTGGACCATTATGATGTGTGGGGTGAGATTCTGGGAGTGAGGTTTAAGTTATCTGCCTAGAGTTTTTGAGTTGGACTTGTATTCTATTCATCTTGATTTGTCTCTATTTTGGACAGATGCAGTGCTGATAAGCTGTCTTCGTAAATTCATTTTGTTTCCCCCCTAATTTCGGGCAATTCAATGAACTCTTTGAAGCAAATTTTATCTTTGTCCCTTAAAACTGTCAATAGTTCTGTTGAGCTATCCTGGGAAATTCAACTGTGCTTTTTTCCTAAAATTTCTGGCGTGTTCAATGAAAGCTTTGAAGCAATTTTTACATTGCCCCTTAGAAACAGCATGCAAGTTCTGAGGAGCTATCTTCATAAATTCAACTGTGTATTTCTTTTTTCCCAAAATTGTTGGCATGTTAAATGAACATTTTTGAACAAATTTTCACTTTGCCCCTCAGAAAGAGCAAACAAGTTTGTCATGTTTTTTTGGGCTGTGATCCTGGATTTCATTTAATCAGGTGTTGCAGTTTATTATTGAAATTTTGTGAAGCACTTGATTTTCTTGTCAATGAATTGTCTTCTTCTGACGGATTATCTTAGATCATGAGATAAGACTCTAGGTTTACTTATTCAATGTTATTGTTGAAATATTTTTCATGCTTATTCAAAAATATTGTAAGAAATGTAGGCCATAGTGTGTTACGAAGTATCAGGGTGTGATTTGATAAAATTGGAAATCAAGGATTTACCAATGATTACATGTTGGCAAACTGAAATTGTAGAGATGCATTGATGTTAATGTTTGATGCAGTTAATACAATCAACGAAAGGTAATTTTGTATGGGTGGGCCATGTATCCAAATAGTGATGGATAGTTGATAGTTGTCTGGTGACTAGGGATAGGTTTTTTAAGGGAATATTGAATGTTGCTATTTTCTCTAATTGTTTGGTCATGTGATTTTTCTACTTAGGTGAGCGCTTCTGGAATCTTTGATTTCCTTCAATGTCTCCATCTTCCTGTGCTCCATGCATAATTGTTTTTCTTTCCTATTACTTTAAATGCTGTTAATGACTAAGACATGCATTCTTTGAAGGTGACATTTTTTATTTTATAAACTAAGACATAATTGTTACAGTTATAGGGAAGATGATGATCAGTTTCATTGAAGTGTATGATTTTTGGTGGAACTAGTGTAATTGGAGGTAATTTGGATATTGACTTATTTTATGACCTTGGGGCAAGGGAGCATCTAAATTACATTTTTCAGAGTGTGTAAGAACTGTTTTCTTCTGGACAGTGCCTGAATCATTCATCTCAATAGATTCAAGTGCAGATAGTTGCTATTACAGTTGATGGTTGCAGTGACCCCAACCTTTAAGATTAAGATCCATTTGTATAGATTTTGATAATTTTTTCTTCAATATGTCTAAAATTTTTAGATAATTTCCTGTTATGCGTATGTAAAATAAATGAAGCATCATGATATTTACTAAACACTCCATAGGTTTGGACTGAACTCAGAAGCAGATGAGCACGTCTTACAGAAAGATCTGGGAAGCGTGAGGTATCAAGGGTATGACTTCACCTCAGACAGCATGTGGTCGCATATGTCTCAGATTCCATCAAATACTGTTTCGGAATCAAGGAGTGGTTCTACTATGCTGGGCAACTGCTTCCAACAGCAAACAATGCGAGATGCTGAACTGTTGAACCTGGAAACTGCAAGGACCAAAGACCTTATCTTTAGTAGCCAGTTAAGTTCAGCTGGGAGTTTGAAACAGGAATATCAGTCTCCTCAGTCTCTCTTCAGTGAATGGGACTGGAAGAAGGATTTAAGTTCCTCTGCCATTGAGTATAGACCCAACAAGGATTTTAACTGCAATCCAGATGTCAATGTTGATTAAAATGGTTCTTTACAAGGCTTGGAAGGAGTGTTTTTGTGTCATGCTGTGTCAGCATCCACCGAAAGAAAACATTTGAATCAGGATCTGGTCCCCTACCCTTTGTTTTTTTCCCAAAATCAATGAAAATACAAGTCCTCAGGCAATGATAAATTTTCATCCATAGTATTCAGACACCCGAGGAATCATGTTTTAATTTCGTGTTGTTCTCATAACTTAAATACTTGAAGTAGTTGTGCGTTCATTACATGTAAACTTGTAAGATTTGTGTTTCCGATTTTCCTTATTGTAATGACATGTAGTTTGACTCTTGTTTCTTAGTCCTATGTATGAATGATTGTAGTCTGATTATTATTAGCAGATTGTGCTATTTTCAGGCAACAAGGAAGCTCACAGTGATGTTTAATTATTGCATGAATGATTGTGGATGACCAACATTCTTTAACATGGCATTTGGGAGGTGTGATGAATTATGGACATATTGTGGAGGTTTAAAAGCAAGGGGGAAGTATTAAAGGTGACTTTGGAATGAGTGGAGAGCTTTGGAAGTGATGAGTGATAGTGGAGAATAGAGGGGCAAATAGTGCTCTGCATTGGAATTTAGATGCTAAAATAGCATTGAAGTGGTGCTTTCATAGCCACAGCCACCAGGGGTTATAAATGAGGTGTGCAGTGGTTGTTGATATATTAATGTTTCAAATTGGAGCAGCGATTCGAGGTAGAGAGGCGGTGATGGTGCTGCAGTTTCATAATGGCTTTTTAACTTACATTCTGCTTTTTTTCCTTCTCGAAATTAAAAATAAAACTTTTTAGTTTAAAAGATTTTATCTTTTTTTTTTTATGTTTTATCTTTATTTTAAAAAATATTATTTTTAAACATTTGAAATAAAAAAGAATACTTGCTTGATGGATGAAAATTGTTTCCAAAAAGTGTTGTTACAGGTATTGACCTAATTTCTAAAACTTTTAGGTCCAACAAACAAGCGAGGGTGTGTTGGATTTTAATTTTTAAAAATTATTTTTAGCTTTTGAAAATAATGAATAAATTTTGCTAATCCAGCATAGTCATCTTTGGATTAAGTTTTAATTCCCATTTCAATTAGTACAATTAAATTAGATTGAAATTCAAAATATTTAAGTGACATTAATCATGTTGATTTAAATCACAAGAAGATAAGATAATATGCTAAATGATTTTGGTTTTTAAAATGCTTTGTTTTGAAAATGGTTTTTAAAATCTAATAGATTTGGATGATAAATTGGCTAACATGTGACAAATATCTGTAATAAAATAATTAGTATATAAATAAAAGATAAATTATAAAAGCCCATCATTTGTTGATTTAAATCACAAGAAGATAAGATAATATGCTAAATGTTTTTTTTTTCATTGGTTTGAATTTGAACATTGATTTTCAAAATAAAAAAAATTGAATTAGTAAAGTTAAGATTAAAATTATAAAACTAATTTGATTTTTAAAAATTCCATACTTGGAACCCATAACTATTCTACATAAGGCCCAATTTAGATTTTTTTTACCACATTGTGATTTTGAAGTTAAGATAAAAAAAATTAATACTTGTATCAATAGAAAAACTATTTTTTTACCCCTTTTGTTCTTGACTGTTTCCTTTTCTACTAGTGTTTGTTAATCCTACTTAAAGAGTGAAACAGTAAAAATAACTAGCAATTTTGGTTTAGGGTTGTACAATTGTTACAATTCGGTTAAATATATTTTTATAATTTTGATTATCCCAAAATTACCTAAATTTATTAGTAAAAAAAATTTGTCAGTTTTGTACATATGAGAACAACTTGGATAAATAAATCAACTTCTTGTTTTATTGATAAGATAAAAAATGAGGAAATGAAAAAAGAAGTTATAATAAATAAAAAATAAAATTATTTAAAATATGAATAATAAAAAATAAAATTAAAAAAACAAGATGAAAAAAATTTATCAATAATAATTGTATTAATTATTATTTTTATTATAATAAAATAAATGTAAAAATTAATAAAATATTAATTATATATTATATTATTAATAAAATATCAATATTACAATAGTTATATTTTATTTTCTATTATTATTTTTGTTTTTATATTTTAAAATTAGATGAAATATATTTAACATTTAAAGATTTAGTTGAATTCAATTAAATTTAATAAAATGATATTTTTATAATATAATAAATTTATTAATAATTTTTTTTATAAAAAGTAATAAAAATTATCATCTTAATAATCATAATAAATTATGATAGTAATTACAAATATAAAATATAAAAAATAAATATGAATAATAATTAAAATAAAATAAAAATATAATATAATAAATATTATTTAAAATTGATATAATTAATAAGATAAAAAAATTAAACTCTTATAATTATATTTGAAAATTAATTTTATTTTTATTTTTGCTAAAACCGATTAAAATAAAAAATTCAACTTATTTATTATTATTTTTTAAAATTTTATATCAATTAAATTAAAATTTAATTATTTAAAGAAGTGATTTTTAATTATAGTGAAATTTTTTAAAATCGGATAGGTCACCGGTAAAAAAAATAATTTAGATTTAAAAGTTAAATCGAAATCTTGAATTTAATAAAATAATATTTTTATAATATAATAAATTTATTAATAATAATAATTTTATTTAAAAAAGAAAATAATAAGATTATTATAATATATTAGAAATGAAATTATAAATATTAAATATATTAAAAAATAAAAAATAGATAATAATTAAAATAAAATAAAAAATACAATAAAATAATTATTATTTAAAATAAACAAAATTAATATAAGATAAAAAAATAAAAAATATTATATCTTTTATAAAAAATTATATTATAAAAATATCTATCCATTGATCTAAAAATTCAATCAATTTTTTTAAAATTATTATTGATTTTGTCTTTATTTAATTAAATGATAATTATAATTATAATTATCCCTATTCAACAGTTTTTAAAAACTGTGTCAAAACCCACTTTTCTCTTAATTCTAAGGTTCCAACATTTACACCTCAAACCAATCAATGAATAAAGAACTTTTTGGTTACCTTTACTCAAGCAACTTCTTAAAATAATTAGTATTTTGATTTATTTTTATTTTGTTTTTTCTTAAATGGAGTAGTGGATTGAATAATGTAAATCTTGTATTTAACACGGGGTTAGTTCTTTGACTGAAATTTTTGATTTTTTTTCATAAATAATACTCTTTTTAAAAATATTTTCCAAAATAGCACATCTGGAACGTTATTTACACAACTAGTACGGTTCTATCGTTCACGTATTAAAATAATCGATTATTTTATATTATGATTGATTATTTTGCGCAATCAATTCTCGTTCAAACGAAGAAATCATTCGCCTGCGCGAGGAAATCTGTAACAAAGGGGTAATCTCGGGTCAATTCTCGCTCAAGCGAAGAAACCCTTCACATGAGCGAGGAAATCTGTATCAAAGGGTAATCTCCGGTCAATTCTCGCTCAAGCGACGGGTATTTTCGCTTGAGCGAGAAGTGATTAAAATATGTGGTGACCAAAGTTGCGTTATCTGGCTAACTGCGTTGGACGTTTAGCCCGTGGTCAATTCTCGCTCAAGCGATGACTTACTTCGCTCAAGCGAGAATTGATTGGGTAACTACGTTGGACCGTGGTCAATTCTCGCTCAAGCGAGACATCCATCGCTTGAGCGAAGAAATTTATAATCGATTATGATTTGAACTAATCGATTATAATTTTAAAATAATCGAATATACAATCGATTATTTCTCTCTCGCTCAAGCGAAGAAACTCCGCTTAAGCGGAAAACACATTAGATAGCGGTTCTAGACCTAACCGCTATTAAAAGTACATTTGAGATAGCGGTTAACGTGGAACCGCTATTATATGTTCACTTTTAAGAGCGGTTAAAGTGGAACCGCTATCATATATGTGTCACTTTTAATATCATATATGTGTCACTTTTAAGAGCGGTTAATATTTTAACCGCTCTTAAAAGTGAACATATAATAGCGGTTCCACGTTAACCGCTATCTAAAATGTACTTTTAATAGCGGTTAGGTCTAGAACCGCTATCTAATGTGTTTTCCGCTTTGCTTGATTATGCAGCTCCTGCAGAATGAGTTTCTTCAAAACTTTTCACAAAATTTTCTAAGTTATTTTAATTGATAACAACAAGTTTTAATCAATTAAAATAGTTAGCAAAAAGTTCCTTAAATAACCTTTGACTTCATCAAACCCACAAGATCTTCCTTTATCAAATGATTCAATAAGATCTTCATCACTTTCATTTAATTGAAAAACTCCTAAGTTTCATACATTGAGACTTTTCTTAACTAACACAATCTAATGATGCGAAGTAGATGCACATGCAACATTGGGACATGTTCTTCTGCTATGACCAGGGGTATGACAATATGAACATTTTTTAATCCTACTTTGATTTTCTGTAATGTCCATCTCAGTTCTTATACGACTTGATTTTGGTCGGCCCTTTGAAGTTCTTTTCATTTCTCGATTTGCACACAAAGTAGGTCCTTCGTATGTTGGCCAATATTCTTCATTTCGCAATAACCCAAATTGTGTTCCGTATACCTTTGAAACTTGTTGTAAGGTATACACTGAATTAATATAGTTGTTGAAGTCATGGTGTGAATGCTTGCATGCAGCAAGAACATGTGAACAAGGCATGTGAAATTTTTGGAATTTCCCACAGTCACACCATAACTCATCAAGGTGAACTGCAAACTTCCCTGCTGGTCGAACTTCACGCGGGTTTTGTGTTTCTTCTACTACAAATTTTGTGGTAGACCTGTCAAAAGATATGACCCCTATGCGTGTTTGCCTGTGTTTGTGCTTCCTCTAAATTTGTGAGCAAAATTTCAGAGTATACATGACCAACATTGATCATGGTATCTATCTGCCTCCCTCTTTCAATTAAAAATTTGTTGCAACGGGTGTACGTTGCGTTGACCATGGAGCAAATAGGTAAATTTCTTGTTTTTTTCAAAACAGAGTTGATAGACTATGCTATGTTGGTCGTCATGTGGCCCCAACGTCGTCTATTGTCCCATGCAAGTGCCCATTTTTCTATAGGTATCTCATCCAACCAATTAGCTGCTTTTATGTCACATTGCCTCAAAATGTTGTAATAATAGTAGAATCGTGGTTCAGTCATCCCATACGCTACAACAATATTAAAAAAACATAGTTAATATAAATATTTATTAGCAACAATTAAATAATGAATAAATTGTAACAAATTTGAAGCAAAGGAATTACCCATATTTACAACATCTTTCCTCAGTGTGGTGTTTTTGAAATGTCTCATAAAATTTTGTGCAATGTGTCTAATGCAGTGGACATGCATTGAATTATTTTCTGTCCATCCGCTTCCATTTCTCATGTATGCACTTCTAATGGATTCATGTCGTTCTGATATGAGGCATAATCCTTGCTGGGGTGTGAAATATCTTTGAAGGTTTTTTAAGAAAAAAAACCAGGCATCACTTGTTTCACCTTCAACCACTACAAACGCAATGGGAAAGATGTTGTTACGACCATCTTGTGCTACTGCAACCAACAAGGTACCTCTATATTTTCCATACAAAAAAGTTCCGTCCACTTGAACAATGGGCTTGCAGTGAACAAATCCATCTATGCATGACCTAAACGACCAAAACACACGTTTAAAAATATTTGAATTTTGTTGAAGGACTTCACCTTGGTAAGCTGGTTGTGACTGCAGTTTGTAGATGAATCCGGGAACAAATTGTTGCATCGCTTGTAACAAACAAGACAACTTCTTATAAGAATCCTCCCAATTGCCGTAGATGATCTCCACTGCCTTTTGTTTGGCCAACCAGGCCTTCCTGTATGTTATAGTGTAACCCGTTGTTAATTGGATGTGGGCTATGATTGTGGAGATTGGTGTTGACGAATCAGTATCAATTATTTGACCAATTGTTTGAGAAATCATTTTATATCCCAACTTGTTGTGGTCTTGGCTGATTAATGGTGAAACACATGTATGGTGCCCTTCAAGCTTCATAATCTCCCAATATTGCTCTCTTGTGCGAAATATTGCTCGACATCTCCAATTGCATTAGTTATCAACACATTCAACAACATATTTACTTTGGTTTGAAATTTTCACCTTGTATGTGCAGTGATTGACAATGTGAAAGCGGTTGATGTCATCTTGAACTTGTTCTTTTGTTATGAAACGTTGTCCAAGAAATAGAGTTCCTGCCAGAGAAACAAAAGACTCTCTTTCCAACGCATGACCATACTCTGGGTCTTGTTGTTGAATGTGATTTTCAAAGTTAAGAAATTGTTATGGTGGGTTGTATGGTTCCATGAAGTTTGGTGCATGTGTATGGATATGTGGTTGTTTGTCCTCTGAATCATCTTGGTGTTGGCTGAGAATTTCATCTTCGTCTTCATCCTCACTAAAAGGATCAACGACTTCAAATGGGAGGCCAACAATTTTGTTCTCTTGTGTGGGTAGTTCTTCGTTGATGTTGGTGGAAGGCCCACTTAGAAGTTGGGTAAAAGGGATGTAGTCATTATGTGTGGGTATTTCTGGGTTAGTGTTTGAGAAAGCTTGGTAGGGTAAGGGTGAAATTTCTGGTGAGTGTGTGTTGGGGTATGAAGAAGAAGAAGTTTTAAATGAAACAAAAATTTCAATACCACATAGACTTGAGTTTGAATCATGAACATCGAACATGGCTTCCACGTCGTCATCATCTTTCAACTCAACAACAATGAAGTTGTTGATCCCAACTCCGAGTTTAGTTGGACAGCGAAAATGGATGGTTGCTACATTTTCGTGGGGTTCTTTCTCCAATTTCTTGTGGATCAACTTCTTCAACCTTTGTAGAGAAATTCCTCTATTTAAAGGAACAAGTTTTGCAGTCCCAGTATTGAAGGTAACTCCCTCCATGGGACATGGGTTCATGAAACTATCATAATGGACAATAGTAGACACTACACCCATTTTAGGAGTGTGGAACACAAAGAAGACTAAAGGTAAGAAGAAGAAATAATGCAAATAGCTTCAGAGATTTAGGAGTGTGCAATGTGAGAACTTCAAAGAATGAAAGTGGTCTATTTATAATGAAGTCCATTGGTTTGAATCCAATGCTCCCTCACATGGTTTCTGACGCACACAAAACCCAAGCAAAGTGGGTGGGTCAACATCTCTTTAAATATGTTTGGATTCTTCTGCTTTTGTCTAACCCAATGCACGGAATCCAAGATTGGAATCCTAACTAAGGTGGGTAACTCAGCATTGGATTCTTTACTTGTGTGCATCAGAAAGACATGGGAATCCTGACTTGGGTGGGTGACTCAGCATTGTAAATAGTTGCAGGTTTCCTCGCTTAAGCGATGGGTTTCTCGCTTGAACGAGAATTGACCATAGCTAAACGTCCAACGCAGTTAGCCACATAATGCAACTTGGGTCACCACTTATTTCAATCACTTCTCGCTCAAGCGAAAGCACCCGTCGCTTGAGCGAGAATTGACCCGAGATTTTAGATAGCGGTTGTAGAACTAACCGGTATTAAAAGTATATTTTAGATCGCGGTTAACGTGGAACCGGTATTATATGTCGATTATTTTAAAATTATGATCGATTAGTTCACATTATAATCGATTATAAATTTCTTCGCTCAAGCGATGGATCTCTCGCTTGAGCGAGAATTGACCACGGTCCAATTATATATGTGTCACTCTTAAGAGCGGTTAATATTTTAACCGCTCTTAAAAGTGAACATATAATAGTGGTTCCACATTAACCGCTATCTAAAATGTACTTTTAATAGCGGTTAGGTCTAGAACCGCTATCTAATGTGTTTTCCGCTTAAGCGAAGTTTATTCGTTTGAGCGAGAGAGAAATAATCGATTGTATATTCGATTATTTTAAATTTATGATCGATTAGTTCAAATCATAATCGATTATAAATTTCTTCGCTCAAGCGATGGATGTCTCTCTTGAGCGAGAATTAACCACGGTCCAATGCAGTTACTCAATCAATTCTCGCTCGAGCGAAGTAATTCATCGTTAAACGTCCAACGCAGTTAGCCAGATAACGCAACTTTGGTCACCACATATTTTAATCACTTCTCGCTCAAGCGAAAATACCCGTCGTTTGAGCGAGAATTGACCGGAGATTACCCTTTGTTACAGATTTACTCGCTCAAGCGCAGAGTTTCTTCGCTTGAGCGAGAATTGATCGTGCGAAATAATCGATCATAATATAAAATAATCGATTATTTTAATACGTGAACGATGAACATCTGCTAGTTGTGTAAATGATATTCCACATGTGCTATTTTGGAAAATATTTTTAAAAAGAGTATTATTTATGAAAAAAAGTCGAAATTTTCCTATAAAAAACAAAATATAATAATTTTTTAAGAGTGACTTATTTCAAAATAAAAGCAGTTTTCCACCAACAAAAACTGAGAAAAAGTAGTTCTAAACTTAGCTTAGACATGTATTGAAAATGCATAATATATATATATATATATATATATATATATATATATATATATATATATATATATATATATATATATATATAAGAAATAGAGTTCAGAAGAAATTACTTAAAGAAAGACATGACATCTCTAGTACAGGTGCAACATATAGAAGTATCTGATATAAGAATTTCATTTGTGTAAACTAAGCAACATCCCAATCATTTTTTTTCAAATTACCACAGAAGTTACATTCCAGAACATTAGATGGCACATCATCTTTTGGAGGCAGAGGAGCCATAGTGCCAGCACAATTCTTCCTCTCACAAACATGCTTGCAAAGGAACAGCATATGTGGCAGGTCATTGTTCTTCTCACCTTCATTTTCTTTCCAGTTAGCTTCAATCATGCATCTATCACATTCACATGTGAAACCATAATCCTCCATCAAGATCTTTTTCCTGGTACAATAATCCCTTCCCATCCTGAAATAGCTGATGCAAATCTCTTTTCCATCGGGAACATCCTCAATCAACCTAATAACAATTTCAGTGTTGTGTTCATCACTAGTGTCCACGTAATCAAACCTGCACGCGTTGGGAAGACAATCATGGTTGAAGAACGTGGCTTTAGGGTAGATAGCATATGCTTTGATAGATCTCTGAGGCCCATCAGGGGAATAGGGGTCCATCAAGCAAAAGGAGTTGAGTCTATCCTTTGCAAGAAGTTGTGCAGTGAGATCAACAGAAAATTGACTCTGGGGTGGGAAAAGAGGCGAGATTAGAGAGTGGAGAAAGTTAGCAACATCAAGAATATCACTATCTGGAGTGCCATGAAGAGAGAGCAAAGTGTGAAACTCAGAAGGGGCTTGGAGGAAGAGGTTGTGAGAGGCTACAATGAAACGGGCTTGAACTTGGCGTTCTGGGGGGTGTTGTTGAAGGAGTGTTGAGTTGGGGTGTTGAAGAAGAGAGATGAGTGCTTTGCATACCCAAGTGGAGTGTGAGGAGTTGAGTGCAAGGGAGAGGCACTTTTGGGAGCAGAAACTGTGGTTGGAGCAAGAGGGGCATGGAAAGATGTTAGGGTAAGAGGATACGATTCCGAAGCAGTGATCACAGTAGGTGAAAGGTGAAGAAGAAGGTGCAAAGAGAGGAGAAGCTGAGTAGAGAATGAGAGGGGATTCAGTGAGAACAATTTGACCAGCTTTGAGGGACTGTGCTGCAACAAGACCTCTTCCTTTGCCAGGTATGTGTTCCATCCTCAAGAGAGAGCTTGAAGAATCCATCACTGAGTCACAGAAATAGACAAGGAAAAGGAAAGAAGATGAAGAAAGTAGTAACAGGCAAATTTTAAATCAAATTGTTCATTAAAAAAAAAAATGATTCATTGACAGCTCAACGTTGAATTGACAACTATCATACTAATATAATAATAGATATATTATCTTAATATAATGAGGATACACATATTTCAATTGTTTAGTAGAATATTTTTCTTAAAAGAATATAAAATAATGAGAATTATTTTATATGAAATTTCAACTATAAATTAAAAAGTATTAAAAATGTTGGATTAATTTGTGATGATTTGGATTTAATAGCGTTTCCAGACAGAGTGATGATAATTTTTTTTAAAATATACCTAAAATGTATAATATTACTTCTGTACAGTTTAATTATTTATATTCTTTCATTTTTTAAAGGTTATGTTTTTTTCTAATATTTTAATGCATGGGAATGGACACCCATACTGTATATGCTGTTCTAGTGTGACACAAACGCCATGCTGCAATGATTTCTCGGGCTTGTTTTGTTATGTTTTTAAGTAAAATTTATTAAAAAAACTTATAATGGAATAAATAAATAGTGAATCATTTAAAAATATGTGACATCATGAATTTTTATTTTATATTTTTTAAGATAAAAAGTAATTATGTTTACTTATTTTTATTGGAAATGTTCTTTTAAGTGTTGACAACTTTAAGGGGAAATAAATAATCTAGGATTGGATTTTAGCATTAACACTTTGAACTTGCGAAGGTTATCAAATTCTATTTTCATTAATTTTAATTAAAAGTCTTAAATATTTTATGATGATATATTAGATTCATCTAAAATTTAAACTTTAGATGGATGTTGATAGTTTGTTATTTTTATTATTGATTATATAAAAATAACTTGATTGTATTTAGTCAAATTCAAAAATTAAGTAAGTTTATTATTTAAAAAATTTCATAAAATGGTAAGAATTTAATATAATGCTTAAATTCATGTTTTACATAATAATGGTAGAAAATATAAAAATGGTGAACTTTAACAATATTTAGAATTTAATGAAATTATTAACCAAATTATTTGTCCCATTACCTTAACAAAATTAGGTTTTTGAGGGAAAAATTCAATATTTATTAAAAGTTGTTTATACTTCACTTATTAAGACACATATGTCATGGTAATATCTAGGATAAACTTGTTAAAAGTATATTTAATAAGTAGGACTCTCTCAAGTTTTATTTTGAAACCCTTCATAATTTAATTGTTACTCTAATATATAGTTCAGTAATTTACTTTTATGTGTATTTGAATGTATTACATTTGTTACCTAACAAGTTGGCCCTAAAAGCCATTCAATGTGTTTTTATTGGATATGGTACACATAAAAATGGATATAGGTATTATCATCATTTTGCTCATCATAAATATATAATAATGAATTTGATTTTCTATAAAGACACGATGTATTTTGTCTTTGGGTCTGATTTTCAAGAAGGAACCAACAAGAAATCCAAAAAAATTATACGAGTATAATGTGGATCTAAATGATGCAACTTTATATCATCGCCTTTAATAGATGAACAAGAATTTGATATCGAAGCATCATAATAATCAATATATATTTAATTATAAACTATAAAAAATAAATATTTATGAATTAATTATCTTTTGTAACTATCTCTAACAATTTGTACGATATTTTAGTTGATTCAAGATAAAAGATCACTATGAATGAAAAGATGAACTCATCTCAATAGAATAAAACTTAAACTTATGTTAATTGTTCATCAAGAAAGAAACTGAGACGATGTAAGTAGATTTGCATTGTTAAACACAAAATAGATGACACAATAAGATAAAACAAGATTTGTGATAAAAGGATATACCAGACATATGAAGTTAATTACATATAGATATTTGCTCTTGTAGCAAAAGTTAATATTATTTGGGTATTATTTTCTTTAATAGCAAATTTGGTTTAGTTATTGAAACAATTTGATGTAAGAAATGCATTTTTATATGGGGAGTTAATTGAAGAAATATACATATGGAACTTCTATGAGGTTGTATAGTACCTAGAAAACACAATAAACAAGTATACAAATTGAAAAATCTTTGTATGAGTTGAAATAACTCTCACAAGTATGAATTAGAAGGTTTAAAATTTTATGACAATATTTAGATACCTTGAAAGTAGTTCAAATCATATTTTTTTTATTAAAAATAGAGTAATATTATTATATCATGTGAATGATATGATTGTTACATAAAATTATATAGAATAAAATAATGTGTTACAAAAATATTTATTAAAGAAATTTAAAATGACAGATCTTGATCTCGTGAAATATTTTCAAATGATTAAAGTATTTTCATAGACTTATATTATAAGAAACAAGTATGTCACTTGTAAGATAACGAATCGAGGAAAGTTCAAAGTTATTTACTAAAATAGATCAAATAACTTATGTATAATTTTGGAGAGTTAACATATGAATACAGTTATACACTTTTTAAGATAGTTAAAGTTCGCTTCTAGAAAATTATTATTATTATTAAAAATACAAATACCAATTGAGTTAGATCATTTGGAGATAAAAGATAACATCACATTGCTTTACATCCGTTAATTGTTATCTTATTACATAAAAAAGTAAAAAAAAAAAAGTGATCTCTTTCTCATATACAATAACGAAGTTTTGAGGTTTAACATTTAGAATTTTGTGAAGATTTATAACAAATATTATTGCAAAATTTTTTTATACTCACTCACGTAACTTATTAAATTATATTATGAGAATAAAACTGTTCATGATATTATTCATAATTTGGTATAACGTAATCAAATAAAACATATTAAACATATTAGAGTAGATAAATTTTTTATTAAATAAAATTTAAGAGAAAAAGTTATATAATATTTATAATTTATTCTGAAAATTAATTAGTTGATATTCTAATAAAGATGGTCTCAAATAAAATATTTTTAAAAATCTTATGAAATTTGGTAAAAGAGATTTATATACACCATGAGAAATATTTTATACTTGTATAATATATAATTAGGATTAATATAATTATAAAATATTTTAGATTCTTATTAAATACAAAAACTATCTTATAAATAAGTTTCATATTTTTTTCATGAAAATAAATATATTTCTATTATTATTTTTAAATAAATAGTCATTAATTATATTTTAATGCTAAATGTTGGGTCTATTTATAATAAAAACACTCTTTTATGGTAAATTGTTGTGGTATGAAATTAAGTCTTCAAAATTGTCTTTTTTTTATCATTTAACAAAATTATCATCTCAAACTAATTTATCAAGTATATAGAGATGTTTTTATTATTTTTATTATTAGTATATAAAATCATTAAATAGAATTAAAGAGCTACGTTATTTATTAATAACGTTTGTTAATAAGGGATCAATATATTCATACATGTTTGAAAAGTAGAAATAGAAATACAATTTTAAATAAATATGAATTCATTCATGTTATTAATACAAAAATTATCTTAAATATTGAAGTTTTATGTATAAAAATGATATTTAGATAATATTTTATAAATAATTTTTTGTAATAATATAATAATTATAATAATATTTTATATTATGTTTTTATTATTTATAAGAAAGTTTGTTATATATAAAAAATAATTATAAAATATCAAGACCCTATTCATCAATTAAATGGATGTCTTTCGTTGTGAAATTTTCACGTAAAAAATCACATCTTCACAAAATTAATTTATTTGAAGTATACAAGAGGAAATTTGAAAAAAATAGTGGAATTTATATATATATATATATATATATATATATATATATATATATATATATATATATATTTACTAGAACTTAATGTTATGATAAGCCTCTTATCATTTAAGACTTGATATAAGAGAAAATTTATATATAATCTAATTTGTCAATCCATAAAATTGTAATTATAATTTCAAAACAAGTAATCGTTGAATTCCTAAATAAACATTTACTGATCATAATATTAAACTATGTATTAATACCTTCATAAATATCAAATTATTAATGAATTGAGATTAATATTAATTTTTTACATCGATAATAAAATTATTAATGATGATTTCCTTTTAACAATAAATATTAAATAAGATGAATTTCATACACCATAAAAATAGAATATTGAATATTGTATTTTAACAAATTATGGTAGGAAAAAAATAGAGATATTTAAAAAATACGAGGTTAACATGTTTTTTATTCGTAATCTAACTTTTTAAATTAAACTTTTTTTAAATTTTAATTTCACTCTATTTCTCTTATATAAACTATCTAATATTTCATTCTATTTTTTCACAAACTACTATTTCTATTCCAATTATTAATCTGCCGCTAGAAGTACTTGAAAATAATTATAAAAAAAAGGTTAAAATTATTCATTAAAAATTTTATTAAATTAGTATGACTATATTTTATTTCAAGTTTAACTATACAATTAAACTAAATTGAAACTACGTTGTAAGTTAATAATTTATAATTACACCGATAAAATGAACGATCAATAATTTCTTTTACAAAATAATGATGACTAATAATTTTTATTATCATTTTATCTTTTTAAACTTATTTGAATGTGTTGATTGAAATAATAATCCAATTACATGTGATCAAGAAAACTTTTAAAGACTTAAAAAGTTATATGGAGACATTTTAAAATATTTATGAATGTTCCAAAATTCAAATTAGATAGTACATAATCAAGTTTATAAGCAAATTTTGAATCTAAGTGGATTTTTCTCACCAAATTGCCACTCCATCACATTTGTTCCATTTTCAGGAAACTTTCTTCCCCCAATTGTGTAGTTGATTAATGGAGGCCCCATGTGATGGTAATGAATTTCATTTTATTATTATACTTGGCCTCCAAATTGCATTAAAATATCTTAAATATGCCTCATTATACTTGGAGGTAATAATAATTTTTTTTCTCTCTTTGAACAAAATTCGTCCTTCACTCTCATCCATTATGATAATTACTTGTGAACTTATATATATATATATATATATAGAGAGAGAGAGAGAGAGAGAGAGAGGATATTTGATTTTTTTTTCATTTTATGAATAAAATATATAAACAAATGTAGATATAAATTAATTTATTTAAGTTTCAGTAAAATTTGTTTCTATTATTAGATATAAGTAAAAGAATGTGACTCTTTTTCTCTTACACTTCGTAATTAAATTAAACCTCATTTTACCCTTATACTTGTCTTCATTTTTATTTTTGAAATACATTCTAGATTGCTCTTTCCAGAAACATATTTTAGAATATCCAGAATGTGTTTCTGAAAAATCAATTCATAAATACATTCTAAATTAAGTGTTATAGAATGCATTTTTGAATAAGTCAAACCGAAAATATATTCGAAAATACCAATTCGTAAATGCATTTTATATAAACAGTATGGAACACCCAATTCAAAATGTATTTATGGATTGATTTTTCTAGAATTTAACTTTATTTTTATGATACTATTTCGTATCGAACAATTTAGGTCTATTTGTGTAATTTGAGTATAAAAATATGTAATTTATACATAATATTAATAATTACTTTTTAATTGTTAGAAAATGACTTCAATAAAGGTGATAACACTAAAAAAAAATCAAATAATCAAGGGGTAAAGGTGCAGAAATTTTACAAAAATAAAAGAAGAAGTTAGGATAAAAAATAAAATTATGAGAAAGATATTTTAAGTATTTAACTTGAGATATGGAAGAGCGGGAAGAAATTATGGGGGCGCAGAAAGTAAAAGCAGAAGAACAATAGTAAGTAACTACAAACTTGAAAACGACTGTCCTGGACCTTGACTGGCCCATATGTAATAAGGCCCAATTCCATACTTCTGAGGACAAGAAGACGCTTATTGCTGCATATCCAAAGCAAATATTGGAAGTGTCAGATTTTCTTCGCAACAAAACCTTATCCTTAGCAACTCTTCTTAGTTATCAATCCTATGATGTTTTCACTCATAAAATAAAATCCTAATTTACTCCTTTTTCTCTGTTCCTATTTTCTACACAAACCATGTTTAACACCCCACCATAGTTACTGATCTTGAGCCATTTTCCCCTCACGCACAACATAATGGTTGCAACTGCCGCTACATTCTTCAATCCACAATTTCTTCACTCGGTTCTCTCTCTTTCTCTTAACCCTTCTCCACTTTTATTTATTTATTCTATAAGACTGTTTTGATCTGATGAACTCTGCTAAACATTCAATCCATTTAACCATGTTCATCTTTTTGAAATTTTTTTTTGCTGCCAGCTAATATTTTCACAATTGGGTTTCCTTTCTGCCTCAATTTTACTGCATAGGACATTAGGATTGAAACATGTGATTTTGATTGCGTTAGAATTATTTAATTAATTAGCATAGCATTGGATTCAAATTCTTCTGTTCATAACTTCAGAATTAACTATAATATTGTGTGGTTTTGTGTGTTTGATTCTGATTGCTGAATTATGTACTGCAGCATGGTAGGATTAAGATATGGACACTCAGCAGGGATAGTTGTTTCAGTGGAAATGTGAAGTTTGAGTTCCCTATTCACAGATCAGAATTTCATCGTCAGGTTCATTTGTCACATCTTGCACCGATATATGCAACTTTTAAGGAGCCAAAGGGGTTTGGACCTTCCCAAAAGAAAAGGAAGAAGAGCAAGAAGTTGAAAAGGGACTATGTAGAAGATGAAGAGGATAATGATGACGATGAAGAGGAAGAACCAGACAGGGGAATTATTCCCGAGGTAGTTACCAACAGGATGATGAACAGGATGGCAGTCTCAGTGGGGATTCCACTAGGTATTGGGCTTTTGTTTTTCCCATTGTTCTACTATCTTAAGGTTGGGTTGAGGATTGATGTACCCTCCTGGGTGCCATTCATTGTGTCCTTCTTTTTCTTTGGGTCTGCTCTGTTGGGAGTGAGTTATGGGATTGTGTCCTCCAGTTGGGACCCACTAAGGGAAGGTTCCTTTTGGGGTTGGAATGAGGCCCAGAAGAATTGGCCTGTTTTTTGGCAGTCCCTTAGAGGTGGATCTAGGAAGAATTAGCCCATTCTTTTGCCTTCCAATGTCACTTTTTTGTTTTGTCCTTTTGTTTCCATGTACATTGTATCCTGTTTTGTATGGATTATAAAAAATCTCTATAATCTTGTTCTTTCTTGTTTGGTAATAGTAGTGAAAATTAGAATATAATCTTGTATTATAGAATTATGACTCCACCACATAGCTAGTTTTGATCGCACAGATAGTTTCTCCATGATTCAAAATATGACTATAGTACTTTAAAATTCTATATAACACTGCAGAGAAATTTAACATATGTTTTATATCATTGATTTGAATAGATCTGTGAATGAAAAATATATAAAATAATGAAATAAAATAAACATGTTTTTTGTTTTTATTTTAGTTAAATATTTTATATGTTTTCTGTAAGCAAATATATGTCATACTTTTGTTAAATTTCTATTCATTATTAGATATATAATTTCAAGGTAATCCAATTGAATTTGAAGAATTAGAAATCAAATTCACATACATTAATTGAAGGTTAAAATAGGAAGATTCAAGCCTATCGCCACCAAGCACATATTTTAATTGGTTGGTTGGATAAACGTGAAATTGTTTGACTTTAATTAATCAGTGATTCGAGTTTGAGTTTTTGCGTACATAACTATCTAAACTTATTTATAATGAACAAAGAAATACAAAATTTATAATGAAATTTGAACTCTTATCCTTCATTCATTGTTCTGATTTAGTTCATTCATTCTTTAGTTTCCATATCTTCCATATAAGTTAAGGTTGGATCAACTATAAATGCTTTGGTTCCTAATATGATTGGCTTGGCTTGAACCCTTTTTTCCTTAGATTACATATATCTTTCATTATAAATAACTGTGTTTAAACTGAGTGGGATAAGTTTAGATTTTTTTATAAACTAACTTATAAACACAGTTATTTATAAGGAAAGATAAATGTAATCTAAGGAAAAAGGAGAGTTCAAGTCAATCATATTATGAGCCAATAGTTGATCCAACCTTAACTTCAATGGAAGATATTGAAAATAAAGAATGAATGAGCTAAACCAGAACAATGGCAGTAGTCATACTGTTTTCCTTGTCTGAAACACGTATTACTCATATTATAAATTAATCGTGACCATGCGGATGAAATTCCCAGAAAGGGTCCAAATTTCAAGATAGGCTCCGTTGTGTCACTCCTTGCATGATCTGACAATCTACATTGCTACAACTAAAATCGTGCCTTATTTGATCAGTAATAAGATATGGTGAACAATTTATATATAAGATTATACATGAAGAAGCAATAACTGTGTTGATCCGTTGAGCTATTACTTGAAGATAGTCAAAGCCATATCTTGTAGTCAATTGGTTCTAAAAACTTTGGGGTATTTTTACCGAAGCATGTTCAGTATTTTAATCAATGAAATGGAAAATGAAAAATGAAAGTTTGCTTTACTGTATCATCAGTTGGAACATATTCAAGTGATTGATGACCAGTCAGTGTATGGTGGAGTGGAAAACACGTGCAATTCTACTCCTGAACTTACATTGACTCATCATGTCTTTATGTTGCACAGGCAGGTGAAGTATTATGTCCTTTTCCTTCACAGTAAAGTAGGCACACAAGAAGCAAAGCAATGCAAATACAAGATAAATATTCAGAACTTAGCACTTCGCTTTTGCAAATCAATCAAATTGCTGTAACATACGAATTTGCTGCAACTCGTTTCTTTTCTTTAAAGGGTTTGGAGAACATGGACAGTTTTAAATCTTGTCTCTGTAAAGAGGACCAACATGAAAAAGAAAGTGGTTTATTGAACGTTTTCCTCTTTGTTCAGAAGAGAATAGTTAAGGCACACATTTTTATCTTTTTCTGTGATCTTTTTTTCTTTTCTAATTTTTCAACCTTTACAGATAATCTTATCCTCATTATGCAGAACAAAAACCATGCTGAATATTCAGATTACCCTTACTTAATTCAATTTCCTTCCCTCCCCCACAAAACAAATCGACAAATGTAGTTGTGCTCTCCATCTAATCAAACCTTTTTTCTTTCTTCCCTCTCAAATCATCAAAAATCGAATCATGCAATAGGCTAACATATTCTTCTCCTTTTATAAATCAATCTACATACTACTAATGATATTAAAACCCATCAACATCTTAATTAGACTCTTTATTCCTTAATCATTACAAGGTTCCTTTAAGAATAAGCAAATCCTCACAATTTGGCCTTGCATGCTTTCGATGTACTTTGTAGGAGGCCACATAGATAAGACTACACATAAGACCTAGGAATCCACATTTTGGCAAAACCCCAAGATTCCGTGGTTTGAATTTGCAACATGCATGAAACTGAATTAGATAGAAGTTGCATACTGAAGCTGCTTGAGCATGTACATGTATAAGTATGACGTACGGGTAGGTTTAAAGCTTCAATAAACAGTATGTTTGCACGAGACAGCGCACTCGTGTCTCTTCTTTTAACACATGGTAAGTAATGTTTTTAATCTGAAACAAGAAATCAAAAGAATCATATAAAAACCAAAGTAATCAGAACCAAACATTGGAAATGGGGAAAGAAAGACTTGGGGATTGAGATTACGTGGATTTTGTTTTGAGGGAGGGACTGCCGAATGAAGAGCTTTATGATCACTTTTTATAGTACAATAATATATATCTACTACAACCTGTTCTTGCTCACTAGAAAAAACAGAACATTCCTAACGTTAAAAAGTGGCATCATCTACACCATGTTTTCATGTCCTCTCAACCTTTCATGAGATTTTTGAACATGACTTTTGACAAGCTTGATGAAACGTATAGATTCTAAGGCTTTCAACATTACAATATTTGGATCCATTAAACTTGTACGTGTCCAATGCACACATGGAGTTTTAATAATATAGCAAGTGCATGATGTGACATTTTTAATATTTAGAACTAGTTTATCATGAATTTGGTCCTCAAATCTGTTGTTTATATGTATGAAAAGTTATCAATTGAAAGACGTAAGTTCCTCAAATAACTAGAGGACTGCTTAGTCTTTTTCTTTACAGAAAAAAGGGTACATCATATTAAAAATAAAGACCCTCCTCAAAGTGACAGAAAACAAAGGAAAGATAAAACTAAGATTTGGTTTGTGCTGCCTGCAAATAAGACACAGAAAACAATTGTATTTTGTAAGTTAACAATTGTGTTTTCTCTTTAAACATACAAGATAAAGAGAGGTGAACAAAATAACAAAAGGGGTAATTAAAGTGTTGGATATATTTAAATTGAATTCTCTTGAAAATCAGAGCTATGTATAGATATATATGAATGAGAGATGGAGGGAAGGAATGGCTTTGAAGCTTGACTATGCTTTCTTCACTAACAAGATCCGGTAAAAACTTCTTTAGCAAAAGCATGGCCCCGCAGATGGTGACACATGGAATAACCTCTCTCAGGCTCAGAAAGAGAAGACACTAAGCAACAAAAGAAATATTGTGGCATGCTGACACACGCAGAGAAATACAAAAAGAGAATTTGTAGTAGTTTTATATGGGGTGTGGTTTGGTTGTCCATCAATTCCAACCATTCTTTGCTTAAAGAGAGAGTTAGCCCCAGGAATAAAGCAAAGGACAAAAAAAATTTAAGTTAAGGGTAAAGCACATTATCACTTGCCTATACTGCAAAGTTTGCAGCCATGCTCTCAACACAATGGCCAGTAGCAAGTGCTTTTCTTTCTGGTTGCCTTACTCTATACTCTGGAAGTAGTTGTTTGGGTTATACACACTCTCTCACCATGCTTTCGTGATTGGTCATGGAAAGCAAGCAAAATAGCAAAATCAAAACAGCAAAGTGAATATTCATGTAGTTTTATGATGAAGGACTGAATAAAATAATGATTCTTGATGTATAAGTATTATAACATTTAAAAAGGGGTTTAGTAATTATGTGAACATTGAAATATCATTAAAACCGTGTAAAAAGAACTAGAACCCTTTTTAATCATCAGTGTAGGACAGTGATTCCCTCCAACTTCTTCTAAGGCTGATCCTGATATTGATATGACTAGAAGATAGACATACCAAAGGGACAAACCATCTTAGTTGAAAATAAAAGGAAAAAAAAATCTGGAAGAAAATAAAAGTGAAAAAATCATATGAATCCCACATTAAAAGTGTTTCTTTCTGCACTGAAAAGAAAAGTGAAGAACAAAGCTTTTAAAAATATCCAAGACACAAATACTTTGTTTTTATTATCTTGAGTATGTATGCTATTTCATATTCATACTTTTCAAATACAAGAAAAAAAAAAAAAACCATTTTCTTTCCTAACCAAAGATTTCACAAGTAATTAAGGGACTTTTGTTTGGTATGAAGCAATTGGATGGTGGAACCTGATTGGACCAAACGATTCAGTAAGCTACCCTTCCCTCCATCATCAATCTCATCCTATCTTCTTTTTTTCTTTGCATTATTTTAGTTGCAGAACTGAATGTAACATTGAGTGGCCAAAAAAGCAGAGTTAGGTACGATTCTAGTTCAGTAAATGAGAGCAGACAGAATAGCGAAATGTCGTATTTCGAGCAGAGAGTATTTCCCAACAGTGCTCCAACTTTTGTCCCTTTTAAGATGTTTTTTTTTTTTTTCTTGTTTTAACACCTTATTTTATTTCTATTTTTAAAATTTTTGTATCACATATTTCGAAATAAATATCTTAAATATTTATCAATGAAAATAATAGTTTATGACTTTATAAGTATTTTTATATACTGCATATTCTTTAATATTAATGACTGTAACGTAGTAATTTGCATGATCTTTCTCAACATTTTCAATATAAGAAATGGGTTTATGAACAAACCGACTTTGCGTAAAAGATAATTGTGATTAATTTTGGTTTGATTGGTCCCATCAAACTTAGTACAGGATGATAAGTTGAGGTCTCAGAATTTAATTCGTTGTTATGGTAGAGTCCAGAAATCTAGAATCATAGCTTCATCTTTCCAAGTTTGACAAGTATGAATTGGAAAAGCACTATTTCTCCTCCATATTCATATCTTTTAATCGAATAAGCTTCATGCATTTTGCGAAAGAAACTTGAGGCATTGATGAAGACAGTGATGAACTTTTTATGAAAAGGATAGATGATCATAAAAAAGCATCAAGTTTAGAATAATCCGATTGGTAGTAATGTAGGTAGGTTTTGAAGTACATTATATACTAGTTTGTTTAGCATGGCAAAAAATTGTTGCACATGCAACCCTTTAAAGTTCAAACGTACACTTAACATGGAAGGAAACGTTATTCTTTCTCCCTTGATTCTCTTTTTCAAAAATACATGTTATTCTTTACTTTATAAGAAAATTTATAACAAGCTATATTTGTTATGTTTTCAAAGCTATTTATGAGTATTGAAAGTTTTCACTCATTCAACTCTCACATTAATAATTAGATATCATTATAGGGACAATTACAAAACAATTTGCAAACATCATGGAGAATGATTAGGGTTCTTTATGGTTCCAACAACCATTGATAATTGATATGGAAAACAACATTATTCATGGTGGTGAGGGTTATTTAAGCTACCATATGTTGTTAGCAATTTAAGGAATAAAAGAGTTATCAATTTAAAGAAGATTCCAAAACCTATAAAACAAGTTTAATCATAATGTGAAGAACCTAAACAAGGATGATTGAAACACCATAAAAGCAAAAATGAGGTTTGCTAGAATCTACATTAAAATATAGATATTACAAAGTTTCATGTGGGGAAGGTAGAGATTGAAGGTAAAAAAATAAAATAAACATTTGAATCAAGTGAAGAATTCACCTTTTCTGTTAGGTGTTAGGAGTTAGCATCCATATCTTTCCAAAATAAGACTGATATGAATGTTGAATAAGTAGCACTGATTCACTTTAAATTTAATGATAAGTATTCTTTGTACATATGTCACTTTTTGCACTAATATAATAATTCATTTTAAATTATAGACTTTATTTAAATTTTGTAACTTTTAACTATTAACTTAAATTTCTATTTTCAGTTTTTTTTAAATACATGTTTTTTTAGGGAAACAACAATACTTTATTGAGTATAGCATGTGGAGCAAACATACTCTCAGATCGTTGGGTGCACTTTATTTATATATATGTTAATTATTATGCAACATTTAATAAAAAAATGATTTTAAACAAGTAATTTGAAAAAGCTAAAAATAGATATAAATTTAAACGTGAAAAATAAATGATAATAAAACTACATTTAAATACAAGCTGGATGGGAAAGTTCCAAAATATTCAAAACTGTCAAACACCAATCTCCTGAGCAAATCCCAGCCATCCATTCCCCTCCAAAACACATCAAATGATGAAATGCAACCACAACACGCCACGTAGCTTCATCTTAGAGAAAAGTTACAGATGCCACCATTGGATCAACCTGGACCAGACATGTAGGTCCCAATGCTCATTCTCTCTCTCAAAACATTTTTCTTCAAAAAACTTAACGCCCAAACCTGATGCCGTCACCCCCACAACCTCAAATATAAATACGACAACCTCAGACACTGTCTTCCTCTCTTCAAAATATCGCCACCCCCGAATTCTCGTCTCCGTTCGTTTCGTAACCTTTTCACACCCTCAACCTCTCTTCCTATGTTAAATTTCCCAGCTCAGCATTTTCTCACCGTGGAGTTATCGTTCTTGTCTCCAAATTCTCGTGTGTCAGTGTTCTTGTGTGGCATTGTAGTGTTTCATTGTAACTGACAGAGCATGTGTGAGCTGTGCGTAGCGCAATCTTTGTTGTTTTGTTGCATTGGCATAGAACTCGACAATTAGGTTTCGGATCCCAAGCAGTTTGCCATGTGGACCGATTTCATCAGTTTCATGACCATGCGGAAAACGACAACGTAGCAAGCACGGTTTTCGTGGTGGTGGGGGTCGGATGCGCCTCCGAAAGCGAAACAAAAACGTGTGCTTGCGGTGCAGATGAACCGTCCATCGATGAGGTCGAGGGAAGAGAAGGAACCGGTATAAAGAGGACCAACCAAAACCTGAAGCTCAGAACAAGATCGTAGAAGATTCCTTAGTGTGTGTGTGTGAGAGAGAGAGAGAGAGTTTGCAGAGAGACAAAGCACAAGAAGAAGCAGTTGAGGTTCCTTGGTAAGTCGTTTTCCAATAGTTATTTATGCCAATGACATCACTTTTACAATACAACAATTCTCTTCTTCTGCTGATTCATCTTCTTCTCATGTCTCTTTGCCTGCATCACACACACCTTTCATCCTCCGACAAGCATTCTTTTACGTCCAACCCATGTTTTTTTTTTGTTTAATGCGTGAAAATAACCTTGTTTTTGTTTGTATTATTTATTTCTCTGTAACGAGAAATGATAATTGCAGTACTACTGGGTTTGTTTCTCTCTCTATGGGTGGTTAGTGAGTGACTCGGACTCGGACTCGGACTTAGACTCAATAGTGCTTAGCTTTTTGGTTTTGGAGTGTTATCTCGGAGAGCGGGGATTGATTGCGATTTACACAAAAGATAAAGAGAGAAGAAGAAGAGAATCACAAGAGTAGACGGGTGCGTGAGGGACGTGTCAGAAAACTTCGGCTTCGACACGCTTTGCTTCTTTTATTTTCGATTTCTGTACGATAAAGCACCAACCCCACATCATTACTTATTACCTCCTATCGCTGCTTGCAGCAGTAAGTAAGTATGTGGCATTGTGGAATTATTCTTGATCATTCTTCTAACGAGGATGATCAATGACCCTTCAGTCTTTCTTTGCATTTATCAGCAGTTGCTTCCGTTTTGTTTCTTTCTGCTTTCAATTATTCCTTCTTTTCGGTTTTGGGGTGCTTATAGCTTTTGCTCTTGCTCTGATCCCGAGCCTTGTGCTGCTCAAGATTGCTTTGCTTTTCCCTTTTGTTTTTTTAGCTAAGGACCATTTTGTTCCTCGTGAAGGATATATTGTTACTTGAGCAGTTTTCTTTTTTAATTGTTTAATTATTATTATCATTAGTTGCATTCTAACTCGCTTGCTTCTTCTGGTTCTTCTTTATTTCGGTGCCTTCTTTATCTCTAACCATTGCTTTTACTTTCCGGAAATGGCATTCTCTGTCACTGTTTTATTCAATGAAATTGATTCCCTCCACCTACATATTATCATCTCAGCTTTATCCTTATATCGTTTTCAGTTTTCATTTTTTATTCATTGCTCTTATGTTTTTTCTTTCTCCATTCAAAACCAATGGCGTGCATATCACTGAGATGGTTCTAAACTTTTGGCACTTTTTTGCTCATAAATGCTTTGTTTCTTTGTTGTTGGCGTGCAGGAGAAAAATAAATAAAAAGGTGAGGATCAGAGAGAAGTGGTGGAAATGTTTACATGCATAGCGTGTACGAAGCAAACGGCGGAGGAGGTGGAAGAAGGTGGTGAGAGTGGCACGTCGAGTACAAAAGAAGTTGTCAAAAGCCTGAGTGCGCAGGTTCTTAGTCCCATCTCACTCTTCACACCTACGAACTTTTCTTTTGCAGCTTAGCTTCTTTTCCCATCTTGGTGAAAGCCAACAAAATTAAACCAATATTGGGGTCCTCATATTACGGTGGGGACCACCCCTTTGAATCTTTTACCTCCACGTATGCCTATATACGGCCTACATACACATTCAAACACAGATGTACACGGATACACACTCTTGTGATATTTTAAATTATATGATCATAGGTGAGGATTGTTTTGGTTTAAGATGACGTAAGTGTGGTGCGTTTTGGGCACTTTTGTTGCTGTTGACGGATGGTCCACTTCCTTCCACGGTTTGGTCCATTAATTGGTTTTATTTTCATGCATGTGGTGGTGCCGTGAGGCTGACCTGACGTGACCATATAGCATTTTCAACTAGTCAAGTCTGTTCTAGTGGCTTATTATTCTCTCTAGAGTTAGAAATCACGGAACCAACTTGCCAAGTAGGTTACCAGGACTCTTTTTGGCTACTTATAATTGCACATGAGATGAGCTAAGGTGGTTTGTTCGAATCAGATTTCATAATAGTGATAGCATTACGTTTCCAATGTATAGCTAGAGCGCGCAGAAGAATTTTACCATATAACGTGCCGCGTTTTAATTATCATTTGACTAGTACTAGTATAGCCTAGAGTTAGTACTTTGAGATTATTCACTTATCATTGACTTACAATTACCTTAAATTTGCCCCTATTTTTTTAAAGAACTAAAAACAATTTTGCTGTGAAAAATGAAAATACAAATCTTCTTTGATTTGGGACGTGAAGAGCAGCAGTGGCAATGTGGCAACATGTTCCACATTCCGCGGTTTGGGTAAAAATGTTTGGAAAAGATGCCTAGCACAGAAGGAAATTCCATATTCGTATCTTGGTGTGGCCCATCCTTGAATTGTTGTCGTCCCAAAAGTTTTCTATTATGTCTATATGCAAAATGCGTAGATATTTATTATGGGAGAAAATATATAATTTCCGGAGTATTTTTGTCAGAAAAATATTTACATTTCTTAATGTTCTCAACAGAATATTGGTAGTAGGTCCTCCAGAAGTAGAAAACCAATGACTTTGGGTGACTGGTTTTTCATTGCGTCCTTCAAGTCTAATTAATAGTTAGGCTTAGTAGACGTATAACGGTCATTGTGGATTGATGAGCTATTATGATGTTGTTAAGGGGTTGTAATGGTAATTATAGGTTAATTAACACTCATTAGGAAGAGAAAGGTTACAAATGATTGAAAGTAGGTTGACTGTTGCTATTTGCCATGAGTGAACCTATCAATCTTTTTTTCTCCTGTTATATTTGCGTACTAGTTTCCCTCATCTTCATTCTTATCCTTCAGTATTAAGGTAGGCACTAGACTATTTTGAATCATATGTTTCAGATTTGTGTGAAAATGTTGACAAGTAATATTTGGATAGATATTGTTGGAGATTTGTACAAACAGGAAATGCTTTCCATTGGGGGTGCATATTGATAGTAGGATATATACAAGGTTCCTATAATGGACTTTCATGTTCACTGCTGTTGTTGGCATCCACTTGTATCCTATGCCCAAGTACATTCTCCACCATACCAGCTGTAAAGCTATTGCACGATACTTCGAAAATGACACGAGTCTGAAACCTTAGACTCCATCTAGTTTCATCCAAACATATTTTTTAATTCTTGTTTCTGAACTTCCAGACTTAGTTTCCCTACTCTGCCCATGTATGCCACTTGACAAACACTTCTGCTGCCATGATCCATTGAAATATAGGTGGATGTCTCTAAATTATTTAATTTATTTAGTTGGATATATCTTTTTTTTTTGGGGAAGGGGGTGTCCATATTAATAAACTAAAAGGTTTCTTGAACTTGAATTGTATTTTCTTCTTTTGGCAAGTTGAGAAATGTTTCTCTCTATATAATTATTTGTCAATCAACTGCATCACTGAACGTGACAAATATATTGGATTTTGAAAAGGGAATATTTAAAGGGGGATCTACATTCTTAGCTGTAGGGGAAAGTACAACACTCAGGTGTTTTGAAAGCTTTAACACATTGTTAAGTACTAAAAATATATTTTTAAACGCTTCCCCAACAGATGCTTCCTAATTTAAGTGACATTGGTCAAAATCATAGATGCAGAATATGTGTAACTATTCAAGAATCTCAATTTTTCTAAAAGCTTGAGATATTCTGTTAAAGTAGCATTATCTGTTAAAGTAGGTTTACATTAAGGTGTAGTGTTGACCAAGTACATGTATGTATAATGCAACTTTTGAAAATATACGGTACAGTTATATTCGTCTTGAAATAATTTTAATGCACTTTTATGTAACAGTATTCTGATTGCACGTTTCACGTTCAAATTTATCTTTTGGTGGCGTGTTATGGTAGAACAGTTTTTAATCAATATTAAAATAATTGCTGGATTGAAAGTAACTTCACTCGCCATTTGAGAATGTCCATCTGCAACTAGATAGATGTGTGATTTCTTTCTTTTTAGTTTTCATCCAAGAAGGACTTATATGCTTATCAAATGTCACTTGTCATTAATTTTGTATGTTTCTCGGAAAATAGGTAGCTTTGGTTCGTAATTAAATTAAAAGTTTCGATGCATTGGAGTTAATTTCTTTTCTTTTCTTTTCTGCATACGCAGTTGAAGGATATGGTACTGAAGTTTTCAAGTTCTTACAAGCAGTGCAAACCTTGCACAGGGTCCAGTACCTACAAGAAAGGACAGAGGCCATATCCTGACTTTGACACCATTTCAGAAGGGGTTCCATACCCTTATATTGGAGGAGCAAGCTCAACTTCTAACCCTGCTTGGGACTTCACAAGCTCCTATTTCCCTGGTCATAGATCAGACCAAAGATTTCTGGGGGGATTGAGTGGTGATAGGTCCTCTAGAGGACCAGAGTCAATACCAGTCTGTGATGTAGTTGTTGAGGAAGAGGATGAAACCAAGGAGTGGATGGCACAGGTGGAACCTGGGGTTCACATTACCTTTGTGTCTCTTCCTAATGGGGGAAATGATCTCAAAAGAATTCGCTTCAGGTACGTTAAGAATCACAAGCCTTGATAATGTTACCTACCTCTAAAACCTTAAAAGGTACCAAGGTTTTAATAATGTTATATCTATGATTCTTTTTTTAGACCATTAAATAATAAACCCAGTCAAATCTTAATAGATTATTAATTGTTGGGCTAACTCTGCACTGTTGCCACTGCCCTTGACACGATTCCATTTGCAAAGATAGATTTACTATTAGCTATTTGAAGTGGAAGCTAAAAGATTTACTATTAGCTGCGAAAAACAATATGTACCTTTGAGGACTTAATATTACATAAAGAATATTATTAATTGTTTTACTAAAGTTAGATCTTTGGTTCTTTATTCAGATCATTAAATAATAAACAATTTAAGCTAAATTGTTTATTAATTTGTACCACTTCCCTTGACATAATTCCATTTGTAGAGATATATTTGTACTGTAAGTGGGAACCAAAAGATTTCGTTGCGTTATGTCCTAAGTTGTGATAGAAAACGTTCCTTCGAGGCCTTAATAGTTAATATCATAAAAAGTATATGAAACTTTTTGTTGTTGCAAAAGTTAATTCTCCAGTAGGTGCAAAGACTGACAACACTTCGCAATTAAATTTGAAGCCGAGAGATTTTTGACAAGTGGCAAGCTCAAAAATGGTGGGGTGAGAATTATGACAGAATCATGGAACTTTACAACGTCCAGAGATTCAATCGACAAGCTCTTAACACTCCTTCCAGATCTGAGGATGAGGTAATCTACAACTTTTACACCAACACGATGTTAAGTTGTTAACAGTCCATTTCATCAGACATGTTATTTTGTATGAAAAAACCTGTAAAAATACCTAGCTCAAAGTATTCACTATCATGAGAAGACATTGCCATAAGAGAAATATTGAGTTCAAGATTTTTGTCAATGTACATTATTGCCTTTGAACAGCAAAGAGACTCTTCTTACTCAAGACTGACATGTGGACAAGAAAGCCCCGGGTCGATGTCGTTAAAGGAATGGACACCAAGGAATCACTATAAACCCTCAGGGAATAACCCCTCTGAAGCTATGGATCAAGGTGGTGGTCAAAACTTCCATGCCGGGTCATCTGTGGATGCATCAAGGACAACCACCTCTTCTAGAGATGAGCCTTCAATGAGCAATGCTAGTGACCTGGAGGCAGAATGGATAGAGCAAGATGAACCAGGAGTGTACATTACGATCAGGCAATTAGCTGATGGAACTAAGGAGCTTCGTCGTGTCAGATTCAGGTAATATTCCTAGTTTCTAGTGGTTCCTCCTTAATAAAACTTTTACTTTTACTTAATTGGAAGTGAAATGATGAAATTGTCCTATAGATTGCATGCTGACACGCTGCCAATTTTCATTATATATTATATATATAGTAAGGATAACTTTATTTTTAGAAAGATTAGTAGGTTTTGATTTTACAGTTTATCAACTTTATCTGCAGCCGGGAGAGATTTGGGGAGGGGCATGCAAAGAAATGGTGGGAAGACAACAGAGAAAGAATACAAGCTCAATATCTTTGAAGTGTTGTGGCCTTGAAGAGAAGTGGATGTCCCAAGCTGCTGGAATCCTCAATTTTGTTTCCTAGAGATTGTAGTGTTGTTGAATCCATTTTATGGGGGTGGAGTTGTATAAAGAAAACTAAGTATTCCAACAATACCATTAATTAAATTGTTGATACTCTCACAAACATGCAAGCCCCGCAGTTACTTGTGACTGCACTTAAAGGGTCAGTAGTCATGGTATTGGAAACCATTGTTGACAGTAGAAGGGTTGGAAACTACAGACTACCTACCCAGACAATCTTTGTAGAAGGAAAAGTTTATAGAACAAAGAGATGTTTTCATATTTGAATCAGAGGTGAGGCGAGTCATGATGTTTTTGATTCAAGAGATGTTTTTATTTTCCCCATCTTACAGGTGGATAGGTCTATCTTGATTCTAGCAGCCTGGTAACTATTCAAGATCATGAAAAGAAGTAGGCATTTGTACAAAAAGAAAAACATTCGCAAATTGAATCTGATTTTGTTAGCAACACTTGCCATATGGTCTACTAATCCTGCAGATTGGATCTGATATTTACATATATTTTACTGTGACAGTATTATTTGATTTGCAAATTGGACCCGATTTTCTTTATGTAACTTTCTTTAGGACTGTGGTTCACATACATAGGAAATGTACGTAAATCTCTAATGCTAACAACATGCAGAAGGTAATCTCTTAGCTTTTTATAGTTTGCATCTGCAAGCACGACTATAAATATTAACAGTGTGAACATGTTTATGTTTATGAAATATTAAGCTCTGTGCTTGTGTAGACAGAAACACCTGAAATGTGAAAAATGAGAATGTTTTGGAAGAATCTACATTGAAATAGTTATTATTAAGTTGCGAACATCTTAAAGAATACTTAGGAATTTGGGATGTTTCAACAAAGAAAAAATAATATGAAAAATAATGTTCATTGAAATATTGTTATAAACAAAATTAAAATGAACGCGACCACAAATATTAAAGACATTTCGAAAGACAATTTTTAGTGAATTTGGAAATAAAATTAAGTATTTTATTATAGATTTTATGTATTACTTAATAATTAATTAAAATTATTTATATAAATATATATCTTCTAATTAAAAAAAATAAAAATATATATATATATATATAGATATAATTTTAAATAATTCATCTACAAGATCTATTATAATATATTTATTATTATTTTTAATAATCTTTTTTTGGAGATACTCTGAAAAAAATTAGATTGATTAACAAATTTATCACTTAAGAAATAAAAAATATTTTATTTTAATGAATAGGTAGGGATTTATCACGACTATAACAAGCAATAATTAGGAAAAAAAAAACTGTGCTCACATGATTTTTGATACACGCAAAAATTAAAATATCACAACAAATAAGTAATAGCGATTATGTTAAAAAAATAAAAATAAAGTGGGAATCAAGTAGGATCTCTCCAAAATTTTATCAAAATGGGATGATATCACAACCTTTCTTAGTTTTTATGTGTAACAATTTTAAGAGTATATAAAAAACATTGAGAAATGGTAACATTACAAAACTAGACACTCTCTAATTTTTCACAATTGAAAGGGATCCACTGGAGTGCCATTTTAGAGAATACTCCAAAACCAATAAAGTGTAGTCAGTCACAAACATCTTAGAGAATCATAATTAAAGATAACAAAAGACATTCAAGATGGTGGATTATTTTGAATAATTAGTTATACTAAAAAAATAATGTAATATCTAATAGTGTAAATTTGATGGACTAGTAAATTTATCAATTAAGGGAAAAACTCCAAAATTTATAAATAAGACCTATTGATTTGCTAAATATAAGATTAAAAAAGAGAAAAGAAACGAACAATAACTTGTTTATTTTTTATTTTAAAAATAATTTTTAATTTTTTAAAAACTAAAAAGCTTATTTCATAATTGTTTTATGAAATTTATTTTTGTTTTAGTTCTTAAAAAATAAAATTAATACTGATGAGAGATTTAAATTGTTTCAGTTTTAATGTTCTGTTTTGTGTTATTATAAAGTTACAAAAAATCGTTTTATAATTTTGATTCTACGTTACTTTCTTCCATTTAAAACGTTTTTAATTTAGAGTTCTCAATTTTCAATTTATTTTTAAAAACAGTTTTTTAAATAATCTCTAGAAATGATTTTAAAAATTAAACTTAAATTACAATAAAGTATTATTAAAAACTGACATAATTTTATAAAAAATATGATGCATTTAATATAAAAGCAGGAGTCAAGTAGATTAAAACTTGTCACACTATTAACAGCGAACAGAGAAAAGGAAAAAGAAGATGAAAGTATGGTTAAAGTTCAAACACAATGATTATTGATAACAAATAATCTCATTCAGTCAAATGTTTATCCTTAAAAATGAAATAAAGAAATTGTTGGCCACGAAAAACAAACATTTAACTTCAGTAAAGATTACAGCTGCTATCAACACCAGATAGTAATGAAAACTTGTAACACTTGAAATACAGTAGGTTCAATGAATGTGTTAAAGGAGAAGAAAATAAAAATAAAAATTATATAAGCAATAAAACATGGTATCAGGAACACCCCACGCAATTACAGTTAGAGGAATTCACACACAGAAAACTGGAGTTCCTAGTTTCTAATAACTAGAAAAAATTATAATAACAAGAAAAAATCTTAAAAAGAAGTAAGACATATTCTTAGTAGGAAAACATTTTTACCAACTACAGCTTGTTCAAATGTAAAGCTGAATCTACAAATCATAGTGAAAAAGAAATGAATTTCATTTTGAACCATGACCAAGGCACATAGTATATCTCCTTTTTATCATCTTTATTATGCATATCTAAAGTTTTAATTAATCAAAACTTTTGGAGTCACCTCTTGTCATAAGCGTAATTAGGCATGGCAACGCAACTATGTTATTTTAAAAAAAATTATATTTATAATAAATTAATTTTAATATTTTTTAATACTTTTTATAAAAAATAAATATTTATATTTATAATTTTAATTATTATTATTAATTATGGATATATTTAAATTTATTATATTTTCTTCATATACATATAAAATACTTATAATAATAATAATAATTATTATTATAAATATATATTATAATATTATATTTAAATTTTAATTATATATAAATTAATTACTTTTTAACTTATTATTTTAAAAAAATTATAATATGACATATATAATTTATAAGAAAATATTTAATAAATTAATTTTTATTTAATTAATTCAAGATAAAAGTTTTATTTATAATTTTTTTAATCTTTTAAAAATACAACTATTTAAAAAGAAATTAATATATAACAAATAATAATAATAAAATCTAAAAGGTATAATATAATAAAACTTAATAAAAATAATTAAAAGTATAATAATATTAATTAGGAAAATATTAAAATAGAATAATATAATAAAATGTAATAAAGATAAATTAAAAATAAAATAATATTAATTAATATAATATTAAAAAAATAAAAATAACTTTATATTTATTAAATTTATTAAAAAATTAAAAAAATAATATAATAAATTAATTAATCTAAGAAATTAAAAAAATATATAAACTATAAAATGAGTAAGAAAAATAAAAAATATATTAAATTTTAATAATTAAATTTAAATATAAAGCCACGATTAACTGGGCGAGGACATATTTATTTGCAGTCCTAAGCGTAATGTATTGTTGGGTGATAAACAAAAGGAAATAAAACAAAAATTTACAATAATAAAACTTTATTTATATAGGCTTTGCATTCATAGTATAAAGTATCAGCTAAGCTCTGCATGTCCCACATATACGAGACAATTACCAAGTGACAACGTAGGCAATACATACTAGTTTTGTAGTTTAGAGTTGGGCACAAAGTCATAAAAAATATGTCCAGAACACATACTTTGTTTTCTACGACATTCACAAACAACATTGAGCATGCATTGTAGAATCTCCCACATTTACTCATCCGGCAACTTTTCTGGTGAAAGTTCTTCCAGTCGGAATCTGCTGGATGAAGTTTCCAGATTCAGAAATCCAATTCACTCCAGCCTTCATTGGTGGAGGACGGGGTTGCCCCATTGATTGTCTTCGAGTACTAACAGACAAATTCCCCAATTTCTCAGCTGTTTCTGAAACCCCAACCCCACGACCAGACCTCCCCTTGTTCATAGAAGCTGCCAACAACCAATCACACCTTTCCATTAACAATAAACACCACAATCTTAAAGCACAAACACTCTTATATCTTAGTTGATTGAATCATGACCAAGGAAATTGACAAAACACTTCTCTCAAAGATATAATAAAGAATGGCAATCAATTGAATTGAAAGTGTGATCATCTATAAAAGAAAACAAGATATTACGGATGTTAATAAAAAGGTTTGTAAGAAAAACCAAAACCGAACTGTTTAAATAAGTTTAGTTTTTTAACAAATGCAAACTGTTTTTCAAACAGTTAAAACCGGTTTATTGCATAGATGTGAAACAAAGTTCCTAATTAGAGTAACAGCAATGTTTCGCAGAAGAAAAGAAGTGAACAGTTCGGGTCAAATTGGACTTGAAATTCAAGAACGGTCCAGTTCATTTTTTTTTATAATCAATTTTGTTCTAGAACAGTTCAGTTCAATTTGGCTTCAAAACAATTTAGTTCAAACTTCATACAATAATTAAAATACCAGAGACTCAAAAGCTTACTTGGGCTGTCCTTTCCTGGCTGTCGATATTTTGGTTTAGTAGTCCTCATTGGTTTTTCGTTCTTAATTACATCCTTCAAAAGATACAGAAAGAAATTGTTGGCATGACACAAGTGATTTAACGAGAAAGGAAACAGCTAAAGAATAGATTAACGTATTAGTCTATCCAATTAAGAGCCCATCCACCAATAATACAAAAAAGGACTTCTTCCAAGTAAAAATTTGATTATCAATTTCTTGCAATCTTGAAATAAAAAGGAAGCATATAGTGCTAGTTAATGCGAGAGAGGTGGAAAGAACAAGAGCATGTTGAGGAACAACTCACCTGATTTACCATATCCAGCTTCCGTGGCACACCTGTAACATTCTTAAATGAATGAGAACATTGTTCTTCGCATTCACAAGTGTACAGAGTATTTCACTAAACAAAAACAACCTATTTATTATATACATAATACAACGAGGAAAAAACCTTTATACTGATAAGAAATTTCCTGTTTAACACTAACTGATATTTAAACCAAAAATCATAATATGATTGACTTCTCTTCAAAGTATCAAGGTAACCAAAACGTGCATCCAAGGTGCAGAGGGCAGGCGCCGGGAGTGAACCTATTGGCGCCCAAGGAGCCTTTCGGGTTTAGATGAGGCATGCTTCTATCAACTTATTATTAGAGCAAAACTAAATCTATTAACAACAATAATAAGAATACACTTGCTAATTGTGAGGTAAAACATTCAAAAGGTGCAAAATATAATTGTCACTGGAGTTGTGGCATACCGCTGAAAAGTTTCTGTATTGAATAGTTACTAAGAATTATAAGCTTGAGTAGTTAATTTATATAAAAACCAACGTAGAATAGATTTTTTCTTTTCAGCAACCCGGTGCATTTAGGGCCCTGTTGCTCCACATAAAAAAATTAATGGGAAAAAACATACATTCGTTGAACTAATCAATAAATATGTAAAAACAAAATAGGGGTCACCTGAAGCTAAAGGAGGATGTAATTTCAGGGAAGAAAAATTATTGGTGAGCTTTGAATTAGGTAAAGCACCGGAATATCTCTTGACTCCTTGTTGATCCAGTGCTCCCCTGGTTCCAGCTGGAAAAACAGGAAAATTAATATCCCCCCCACCTAATTGCACAACACGCCCCTAGTTAACAAAATAAATAATACAAACCGGATGGTGGAGTTCTAGCTACTGCTCTGCTGCGAAGGGATGGAGGAATATAGAAGCAGCTCTACAACAAATAGAGTCCGAATAAGACAGCTTTCTAAAGTAAAAAAAATGATAAATTCTTGAAGAAAAGAAAAACGTTAAGTAGTTAAAAGACCACCTGAAAAAAAGGATGTTGAAGGGCCTCTGAAGCTGTTGGCCTCTTGCAGGGGTCCCAGGAGCAAAGTGACTGCATTAACAGCAATGAAGAAAACAGGAAAGAAAACGCATTACATACTACTTGTTGACCAGTGGCTCGCAGGCCTAAGCTGTTCAGCAATGTACCAACAACTACTTACTGTGATAAGGCTGATCGCATCATCACTTGCAGACGGGATCAGTGCAGAAAGATGCACACCAGCAAGCTGTAGAAAGTAAAAGGCATATGAAGTGTTTAATAGAATGCCATTATACGTAGTACATTAATTACGCAACTAGCATCCCAGATGCTAATTACCAAACATAGCAAGATCGTGCTAAATCTAACCAGTGGAAATTGGTAGTTAATATCCCTTGCAAGTTTGAGTCCATCAGCCCAAGATTCACGGGTTGGATTGCCTATCACACCACATATTTTGTAGATCTCATCTGCTTCACTGCATGTGTCACAAGTTAACATGTTTATTTACAGCATCGAGTTGCTAATCAGGACTTCTTTAGAACATGATACCACTTCTAAGCAAAGAAACATCATAATATTAGCCAACATTAGATTTTATAAATTGCATTAGTTCCAGGTGCTAAAATTTTGTTTTCCATGATGAAGATCTATTTGCTATTTCTCAGTTAAAAATTCATCATTTGGTGTTTGGGGGAGGGGGGAAGAGGTGGCAGCGAGTGAGAAGTGAATACCTGACACCTGGGAAAAGGGGACGAAGAGAGAAAAGCTCAGCCATTATAGCACCCATTGCCCACATATCTAGAAGGGAAAAAATGTTAACAAAACGGTACTGATCATCATCATTTGAAAAACATATCATTGACGAAAAATAAATGACACAATTGTTGCCAATCAGACACTCACCAACTTTGGAGGTATACAGGTAAGACTGAAGCAGCACTTCAGGAGCACGGTACCTAAACAGGAAAGGCCATCATGCTTGTTATTAAATACCTAAAACACAGAATGTGAAACGTCTATAGAATGTCGCAGGCACACAGACCATCGTGTAGAGACATATTCAGTGTAGGGTGGTTGTGAACTGATCTCTCGGGCTAGGCCAAAATCAGCAATTTTGATGATATCCTTGGTAACAAGTAAGTTTTCTGCAAAGAGCGGCATACCTTGGGTCAAAACCCAAAAAACGTTTTGCGATAGAATTAAGATATAATCAATAGTGCTCTCAGTTTATTTATTTTAATTATATGTCTCACAAATGAGCGTCCCGTTCAACTAATTAGCATTTAGCAAGTCTACAAAACGCATACAAGCACGTTAGACAGATAAAACTAGAGAATAAGAGAACAAAATTCGGGCAAAAGATGCATCACATAATACACGTAATAATACAAATGAACTCTCCCATGAATCAAAAACCATAATGTACCAGAATTTAGATGAAATCATGAATAGGTACCAGGTTTCAGGTCACGATGAAAGTATCCACGCTGGTGCATGTATGCAAGACCTTGGAAAACTTGAAAACACCAATTTCTAACTTCACCTTCAGAAAACAGTTTTTCCCTATCTTTCATAAGTTGGTACAGGTTGCATTCCTACATCATCCAATATTGACATTAAAAATTAGCATATCAGATATTGCATCATCTAACGAAGTCCTTCTCTACCAAGAACTTTACCCACCATGTATTCAAAAACAAAGTACAAAATGTCACTTTCTCGAATAACTTCCTTCAGCTTGACAATATTTGGGTGGTTCATTTTTCGTAATGACTGCCAACAAGAAACATTAGAGTAATTATAAAAATCCCACAATGCATGACACAGAAGGCTTAAGAAAGATAAGAATGATGTGAAACCTTGACTTCTCTTAGGTTTACACACTCCTCCCAAGAGTAATACTTCTTCTTCATTTTCTTGATAGCAACCTGCAGGTTTTACTACTTATTAGGACATCATCCGACTTCAAATAGAGCAACCCCATAATGTCAGTTAAAGCAAACTTACAACTTCGCCAGTTTGCTTGTTTATAGCTCTCCAGACACTTCCAAACGTCCCATCACCAACTTCCTTAATTAAGTTGTACCTATATTTGCAGGGGAATGTATTGAGAGATTTAATAGATAGTAAACAAGGGGAAAAATAGGTAGTTCCACAAAAAGGGAAAAAGAAATCACCTCTCCATTTGTTCCGGGGGAACACTAAGCAGCACTTTCTTTATTCAACAAATGTAAACAAAAACACAAAGGATAAATGGCATTTATCTCGTGTAGATGATGCTCAGAGCTGTATAAAATAACAACAGGTTCCTGCTGGTCCAGCAAAATCCACCATCAATTTTCTGTCGTAGCAAAAGAGGGCATAGATGCAGAAACTTTTAGATGGACGGGCTGCACAGCTTTATTCATTAATAGATCGGCTTTGAAATGGTTGCAGGGCAAAGGTGGTGGAAATGAACGACAATCAGAGATCATACTGACACTTCTCAGGAGTCCCACTAAAATGGCTGATCAAAGAGTAGCATTATTCTCTCTAGCTAAAATCACCGTGACCCAGGACTTCAGAACTACAATAAAATCTACTTCATCTAACCAAAGTAGGATTTGTTTCAGAAACTTCGGGTAGCTTATGTGTTATCAGCAACAATACCCATCAAGAGCAACAACGAGGCTAATTCAATAACTACAATTCGCACTGATTCAATGCAAATGCTTCACTCAAAAGATGCAGGCAGAATCCAATATTCAGTTACCAATCTATATGTGTCAGCCCTGTAGAAGCAAAAATGGGCTAAGTCAGTTTTTTGCTAGTTGAAACAGATGACGTTCTGGAGGTTATCCGCGATAGAAATCTTACCCAAGAGGATTTACCAGAAGTTTTAACTGAATGTTGGGTCAGCAATGCACTGCCAAAGGAACATATATCAAGAAACGTCTTTTTGGATCGGTGTTTTGCAAAGATGAATAAGAATAAGCGCTTACTTGTACAAGTGCACTAAAGATGCAGCACCTGTATCAGAAGAAAGTAGCATCACGTACCCTGTGCTGATCATCAAACGGGAGCAGAACACTAAGTGCAATTAACAAAGGAAACCCGAAGAAAATCTCCAAGGATGAAAAATCGCCAATCAAGCACTTCTTGGAATGCAAAAAACCGATACTGGTAGCAATTTGTCCAGAAACAAACTCCCTCCATGTCTCAAAATTTAAATCACGATCCTTTAGATTCAAACCCAGACCAACCTATAATAAAAGAACACGGACAAAGTTAGGTCAGATTGATGATAAATCCATACTTCAATTTTCTTTCCAATCACATGACCAAATCACTAAAAAAAAATCAACAAAAAACTTGAATGACGTATATGAAATCAGCCAACTATTAGTTTCATATGCTACAACAAAACAGCGATTATTACTTCGAGTCTGGGACCAAGTATCAAGTAAAATTCATTGTAATTACACTAACAATTAAAATTCGAAAACCTTGTGAGAAGTTTGAAAGTTTTCCAGGAGAAAAAAAAAGGTAAATTATCAGTGAAGGAACTAAATTCCAGAACTGAAATTCCAACGCGAAAAATAGCCTGCAAACAGCTATAGGAAAATGAATAATTTGGCCATCAGATAAAACTTCAAATTCCACCTAACAGAAGCATAAATAATTTAATACAACAAAAATTCATCACAGAAGACGGAACATAAGAATAAACTACAATCAATAAAATCTCGAGAACCAGAAAATTATACAACCTCAATCTGCAGCAGAATCCTATCTCCAAGCCTAACTAAAAGCAAAGCACAATAAAATAAATACTAAAAAAACAATCGCGGAAAATCCATCACGAAAGTCAAATTCAACCAGCGCGTAATCCTCTAACATCAAGAATCAATTCAACAAACAAATTCAACTCCTCAATTGTCAACCGTCAAAAACCTACCGAAATAAAAGAGGAAAAGCATAAACGATCGCGAAATTAAATCAGGAACGGTAGCAAAAAGTTAATCGGAAGGATCCAAAAGGGGATCGGACCGGATCTGAAACAACACGTAGAGAAAGGAAGGCAAAGGCGGCGTAGGGAGAGAGAGGGAGAGACCTGAAAAGCACGCAGCATAACAACCGTCTCGAAGGACGGGAAGAGGCGGAATCCAGAGCTTCTTGTTCTTCTTCCTAAACGAAAGTAGTTTGTGTTTTTCTCTTTCTTGTATTGGATTGGTGTGAAGGAAGAGAGGGATGTATGAATTAGAAAAAGGGGTAAGACCTAATTTATGCGTTTTGGCAGGGCCTTCTTTTTCTTGTCTTCGACTCCAACTCTTATTCCTATTTATAATTTGTCTTCTCCGCGTGGGTACGACGGCCTCGTCATCCCTCATCTCCCTTCTACACATTCCACGTCACATTCTTTCTTTTTCTAATTCTACATTTCATAATTACCTACCTGTTCCTTTTACTTTTCATTTTTTTTAAACACTCAAAACAACTACATCTTGTGAATTATTATTATTACTATTAATCATACATAAATTTATTGGTTAATTATATTTTATAAAAAATTATATAATAATTTATTCTCAGTTTTTTATAACTAATTCATTTTTAAAAATATTATAAATACTTTTTTTTAATTCGATTGAATTTTATTGAAAATTATTAATTTTGGTGGTTTCACTTAAGCGTGAAAGTAATGCACATGTTTTCAATAAATAATATTTTAAAAAGTAGAGTAATTAATTAATTTAAATAATGACATTGAATTTTATTATAGATATAGAGAATTTTTTAATCCATTAAAAAAATGTATATAAATTATTTGTAAAATATTAATAAGTATATTAGAATAATTTTTTCTTTAATAATTTTTAAAATTAATTTTAAATATATATACTTTTTAATCATTCTTAACAATATAGTTTTTTTATATTATTTAATTTTAATAAGTTAATTAATATTTATATTAATTTTTAGGTGTATATTTTTAAATAAAATATATTATTATCTTAAAAAAGTAGTTAATAAAATTATGTCAATGTATATCACCTAAATTTGATTTTTAGAAATTACATGATGAGTGACCATTTTAAGTAAAGTGAGTTCTTTATATTTTTATTTAATTATTTTTGTTATTTTTATTTGAAAAAAAAACTGTTACTTCATGTACATGTAAAATAGATAGTTAATTTTACTGTGTATTTACTAATTTATTATTATTAAATAATTAATTGCTTTTATTTGATAACAAAATAATATAAACTTATAAAATATGATAAAAGAAATTACTAAGTAACTAGAATCTATAATACAAGAATTAGTTTCAGTTTCCATATAAAATTATAAAAACAAAATAATTATATTTATATTTTTATATTATTTATATTTTTATTTTTATATTTGTTTGGATAAAGTCAATTTTTTCCGATCAATATTTCTTTTATAACTTAATTCATATTTTTCGATTTTAGATGTATAATTGTTTTATTTGTCGGTATGAATTCCTTAATTTGTGTAATTAATGTTTACATAAAAGATTCGTATATTGAGTTTTGTGTTTTTTTAGGGTTTATTATGGATCTTTATCTAGTGGACCTTAACAGAGGGTCAAATTTAAGAAGAGAACCAATAGTTGAAAAAAAATCACATTTTTTAACTTTTTTATTAGCTTACTCATATTAGTCTCTAGAATCAAATTTTGAAGGAGAATGAAAATTTTAAAGGAGAATGAAGAGTCTTTATCTATTGAAAGAAAATTTCATATTTATTTATTTTTCAAATTTTTGATAGACTTATCCATACTAGCCTCCAAGCTCAAATTCTAGAGGGGAATGAAGAGTATTACCCATTGAAAGAAAATTTCACATTTCTCTTTACCTTTAAACCTTTTGAAATGGTCATATGACATCTTTTAATATTTCTAATTGCTTAAATGTTCGTCAATATAATATATCAACCGAGTCTCCTTTATTTACAGTGATTTAATCATTATGGGATTATCCTGCTCTGAGTCTATTTTGTGCAAATCCTCATTTATGAAGGTGATTATTGACATATACATTAATAACTACCATGAATGACATGTTCGGATCGTATGAATCTCAAGTGTCTTTTTCTTATTGAACTTTAGGCTTCCCAACGAATCCTTTGGTTATAATATTGATCACTCCTCAAAGGAGTTGGTCTCGCCTATCACTCTCCTATTTCGAGAAGTGATTTTGGTACCATTATGTTTTTTTCTCCCTTTTGGCTTCCTCTTTCTAAAAAGGGTAGCACCTATTGGTCTTTGTGCTTCTTAACAAATGACTGACTTGTATTAGTTCCTCAATATTATCTTTGACGATGATGTCATTGTCGGTCACATGATCATAATTGCGATGGTATCAATAATGTTTACTATGATTTGTATTGATGGTGTTGTCACTTTTCGTGGGATTGGGAGAAGGTCGATGCTAAGAGTTGCTTCTAAGACTCTAACTTTGTTAGTGTTGAAAATGGTATAATGAGTGAATAGGGGTCTCGCGATTCTCGTGGTCGTATTGAAAGTGATAATTTTTTTCCCTTATCCTTATCTTGTTTTCTCTCTAGAAAAATTTGTTGTGCACTTGACTACAAAATTTTGTCAACTCCTTTAATTGTATGAACTTTATCGCAAGTTGCCTAAATTCATCCAAATCTCTAGTCAACTTCTTACATAGACCGTCAACAAAAGGGCAAAGTTTCATGGCGATCATTGGGTGGTGTAAGATTACTTATAGGTTTAAGTTATTGAAGTTTAATGTGACCTTCCTGAACCTCCCTATGAATGCTCTCAAGGACTCCTTTCGATCCTGACAATTGTTGACAAGTGCAATGGATATTAAGTGATGGGGCCAACTAATTGCAAATTGTGTTTCAAACTTGAATACCAATATATCAAAGCAATCAATGAAGTGTATCGAAAATTGAGTGAACCAGTTCAATGTTGCTTCTTGAGTGATGTAAAAAAAGCCCAGAATAAACTGTCAGCTATTGTGTATAAACTAATCTAAGCCACATACATACTGACATGTTTGTTGGGATTTGTTGTGTCATCATATCCATCTATTGTGAAATTTTTCCATGAAACTAGTAATGGAATTTCCATAATGTCATCTACAAAAGTGTCGTTGTTGTCCCTTATTCCTAGTGAAATCTCTGTTGAAGCGTGAAAATATGTTCTTATCCTCAAATTGTTCATGGTCCCTTGAGCCTTGGATGGTGGTTGAGTGGTGTATTGAGAATCACTGTGGGTCTCTTCCTCCACTTTCGATGGTTTGAGGCTGTGTAATAGTTGACCCTCCTGCCTTTCTGAGTTTACATTGTATGGGAGCGCTTTCCTATTTGAGTGCCTCCAGCTCTTTGACACTATTCCTCTTGAGGCTATCTAACTCATTTCTTAACTCTACCAATATAGTTTCTTTAGTGGTATGGTTTTCCCCAACTTCTTGTGAAGGTGGAGGGCGCCTTTCACTTCCTATCATATTCCTTGTCAACACCATGTGGTTGTACTTACATTACTCGATCCCACGATGGACGTCAAATATTTGTGCAAAGTCGAATATTTTCTTAACCACTCCTTCCTCTATCACTTAACCCTATACTTCTCGGTTCTAGACTTGTAGCTACTCTCTCAATCAGTTCAAAGCCGTGAATCCCTCAATATGTAAGCAGGTGCCTATGCCTGTAGAAGATAGTTTGATGCTCAAATCACAGGATAATATTATATGGTAATAAATGTCTAAGCAATAAATAGTGATAAATATTTGAATTCATTTTTTTATAGGATTTTTTATGAGTCTTTAACTATTAGGTATTTCTAGATTGGGTTGATTTCACTCTTGATTATTTGTTTATGTTATTCTTAACTAATCTCAATTATTTTGTCTTGTTCTCACTTGGTATAATAATAATAATAATAATATATAAATAACTATTTTTTAACTTTTTTATCAAAAGAAAAAATAAAAATATATCATGAGTTCTAATAATAATAATATATAAATAACTATTTTTTAACTTTTTTATCAAAGAAAAAATAAAAATATATCATGAGTTCTAATATAATAAAGAAAAAAATAATTATTGAGAAAACATAATTAGTTGAGAAAAATAGGTATATTTAAATAATGGAGAGAATAAATAAAATAAAAATTTAAAAATATTTTTTCAAAATTAATTATATATTTGTTCCTACTAGTTATAAATAAAAGATTATCTTTTCATTATATTTTTTGTGAAAAAATTAAATTTCGATATCATAAGAGGGAAAAAATAGTATCACGTATAATGTATGAAGAAATAACGTGGATATAAAGAGTGATATCATTTAATAAATTATTTTAATTTTTATTAAATAAAAAATATTTAATTATTTAATAAATTAATAATCATATATTTTTCTATATATAGTACCGATACAAAGACAGATATTAAAGTGTTTCCATGTTCACATTTTATTTATTTATTCTTTTTTTAAATGTACTTACCTTCTTTTTTCACTCATTAGATTATATTATATTTTTTCTCTCTTTTTTTATTATTTTTTTAATATATAATTGATACTATTTGTTTTTCCTATATCACCTGTCTGTTTTTATAAATTATGATATGACACTTTTTTTTTATTATATTTTTTATTATCTTCTCATTTTTAATGCAATAGAGTTTTGTGAGTGAAAATGACAAATAATAATAATATAACTGAATGTTTTTAAGAGAATGACATTTTATTTATTTATTAATTTTTTTGAGATTTTTTTTAAATGTAAATTATGGTGGGAGAGAATAAGAAAAAAAAATCAAGATATAAGATCAAGATAAATAACATAAAAAATATTATAATTTTTTTTATATTTGTTATGGTGTTATAAATCAATTTATTTTAAAGAAATTTGTTACTTACTAATACTAATTTATATTTTCTTAAATAATTAATTATTTTATTTAATAAAAGATAATATAGCATTATAAAGTATGACATGAAAAGTAATTATAAAAGTATTATTTTCCTATAATTTATTTTTATTAAATAATTATTTATCCAAGAATTATATTTTTTTAATTAAAAATTATATTATAAGTTATTTAACTTTTTTATTTTTACATAATGTGAAACTTTAACTCACACTTAAATTCTCAATAATCTTCCCCTTAAATATGATTCCCTTTCATATTGATACACCTTTCCTTTGAGTGAAAATATTTCTTAAATATGAGTACCTAGTGGTGATCTTACTTGTACTATTGTTCAACATAACCGAGACTTATTTTCCTAAAACCTTCGTCAAGAAGACTTTCGATACGAGTATCCATAATATATGATCTTTCACCTATTTCAAATCATACTCAACCAAATTAATAACAACATGAACCCTAAATTCTAAACTATTATTGGACATTTATGAGGAGACTAATAGTAGAGAGATTCTCACTAATAAAACACGAGTTAACCATACAAGAGAATATGGCATAATTTTCAACCTAAAACTATAAGACATTTAGTTTATGATTTTTTTTTCTTTTACAAATTACTCAACTTTTTTATTTCTACCAGTGCCAAAACTTCAAACTCAAATTTAAATATATATATATATATATATGTTGAACTCCTTATATGAATATTTTGTCTAAGACTAACAAGGTATAATTCATGTCATAGAAGTTTTTTATTTAATGATGAGTGTCAATTGTAATAGAAAAATAGTTTGATATATATGTCACTTAATGTATATATAACATAATCAATCTAATATAATGAATAATATGCACTGAGTCATTTGATAACAACAATCAATATTATATTTTGTTAATTTTATAATTAAATTAATTTAAAATTTATTGATTTGATATTGTTGTTGTTCAGGATAGGTCTTCCAAATTAGCAATATCATATGTTTTTTTGTTTTTTGTTTTTTTTACATTTCCCTAACCTTAAGACTCATTTTTATGCGTATTAAAATTTAAATGCAGTTATAGAGTCAATTATTACCCTATATGCATTTTTTAATAATGAACGTAATTTCATGATAGATTTTTATTATATTCTTAAATGAGAGATATTTGACATTCAACATATCCTTTATATCGTTTAACTGATGATTTGAAATATATATAAACTCCGTGAGTAATTTGACTTTAAAATAATAATTTTAAAAATAATTATATGAGTTGTTATCCTGTAGTATTATGATTATTTGCATTATAATTTAGTTGCGTAACAGCTCATATTTTACTGATTTTATGATTGTTTCTATTCTTATATAATATGCTGATGAGTATTTAAGTTCTTCCGTTAATATTTGTGTGTTTTATTTTTTAATATCACATCAAAATACATTAAGGGGAACTAAAATATAATATATAAAAATAATTAAAAAAAAGAGAGAAGTACATTTAAAAAAAAACGTCTATATAGACGTTGGTATAAAAAACTTTAATAGACGAGAGTATATGGGCTATAAGATTAACATATTAATTAACAAAGTAATTACTTCTCCAAATCAAAATTAGTCTAATTACATTTGATTTGTTTTAGAACTAAAACAAAGTTGTGTACGAAAGATGAGTGAAGAGGGTGGTAGTTTTCCTTTGAAAGGGTTCGGTGTACAATGTTTGGGAGTTGGGACCAGAAAGTTGAATAATGGATGAAGTTTGGTCAGGATAGTGGCCACTGGCGATCTAATTGGTGGAGAGATTTGTGGTTGATCGGGTCTCCAGGTTAGTTAGGTTGTAATTCACAATCAATTTTCATCAAACATATATTCTATTCTATCTTATCTTGTTAGATTTTTTTTTTCTTCCTATGTTTATATTTATCTCGTGTAACCAACTGATAAGATCATGACAATGCTATTTTTGTAATTTTTTGTTTTGCCCGATAAATTACTAATTTATTCTATTAATAATTTAGTCATTTTGTGGTTAAGAAGGGGAAGAAAATTAGGATATTCATTTAGTGGGCACTCATTTAATAGTGGCGATGAGTGAACCCTCCAACATGCTAACATAAGGATTTGTTTATTCGATCCAGCTTTTAATATAATATTTTAACAATAAAAGTATTAACATACGGATGTTAAAATTTTATTTTAAAAAAACTGTAAAACATGATCTGATCATGAGAAAATCCATGCGTTCAGCACCAAAATGTTGCTTCAGATTCGTGCTTGTACTTGGATACTTTTACATGTTTGGAATCACAGCAGAAATGGAAAATCACGATTTCAGATCCGCGGCATAATTTTTCCACACCTCGTCACCAACATTCTCTACTTGTAAACTTCCTTTAGAATTAATTAGTTCATTAGTCATACAAAGATGAATTAGTTGCTACCTAGCAATTTCAAAACTTTTAGGAAAAATTGCAGAGAAAAGAAAAACATTTCCTCAATGACAACTCCAAATTAAAATATCCCGAATCTCACTTTCCTTCTCATTCCGCCATAGTTTTTCACCTCACTCTTATCACGCAAGAGGCGAACCAACACGTTATTCCTCACTCTCTCCTTGCCGATTGCCACAATCTCTTCCGTGTGTTATTGACATGCATGATACTTTTCCTTGATGGAAGCAGTTTTTCAAGTTGAGTAGTGAACAAAACTAGAAAACCTTTGATTTCCAACAAAATTTACCTTAATAATAAATCATTATGAATATCTTAAAAAAGAATAATAATAGAAAAATTCTCATAAATAAAACAAGAGTAGAATACACATTATTTCAATCGAAAATATTAAAATATTAAGTTAAGAGTTTTTTTTACTTACAAATAACTCAGCTTTCTTATTTTTTTATGGATACGATATTTCAACTTATATTTAAATTCTTTACAATCTATCTTTTCCTAAAATTCTTATTAACAAATTTTTTGATATAAGAATTCCTAATCTCAAATCTGCCACCTAGTCTAGTACTTAGTTGGTGTTACAAGAATCATCCACTCTAATATTATGGGGCTAAACATTGAGAGAATCTCGACATAAACAAAATATATAAAAATACATGACATTAACTTTAACAAAAAAATATATTAAAGAATTAGGTGATAAGTATTTTTTATTTATATTAATATTTATTTTTAATTATTTTTAATTAACTAAAATTGAAAACTAGATTTTATTATATGTATGAAAACACATTTGAGAAATGAATTTCTTAACAACCACTCAATGGCATTTAGCAAAAATTAAATTAAAGATCCAGGTGAGGGATTGGTCTCCCATCAACTGATTTTTCATAGTGAAACTGGTGATTCACGTAAATAATTTAATCGAGAGTATACCCAGGTAATTAATTATGAAATTTAAGTTATTTTTTAAAAAAGTCTGTCTTGGAAGTATCAAAATAATGACACATGGTGAGCTTAAGGTAGAAAAATAATATAACGTCCTTTTTTCAGCCCTGTCCCACCACAGTGCCCTTCTTTACTGAACATTGTAAAAACACCACTTATTTGTAAGACCTGTTTATCTGTTTCTTCTCTGGTTCATTTTTCTTTCCATGCAATATATCTTTCTTCTCTTGTCAATGCAAATTCTATTAGGTGTGTTGTTTCATCTGGAGAGTGGAAGTAAGGAAAGGGATAGAATATTGCATTGCTAGGAAAATTGATTTGGGATCTTTTGAACTCTGCTAATGGCTTATGGGTTTCCTTCAAAAAGTCAATATTCTTCAAATTTATTTTTCATTCTACTCGTAAACTTCAAAATAAGATGTACCTTGCTTCTGTTTTTACCATACTCATATGAAAGATGATGCCTAAGCATATTCCAAATTCCAAATCCAAATCATGCGTACAGATGTAGTTCCTATTCGTTCATTCTTAACTCTTGACACCCATACTTCCTTCTCCACAACTCAAATTATCTCCCAAGATTTGTTCATTCTAGCTCTCTCCTTTGCAAATGGCTGAGGCTTTGCTGGGAATTGTGATTCGAAACTTGCAATCTTTTGTCCATGACCAATTTGCAACGTTTTGGGGTGTCGATCAACAGACACAGAAGCTTTCCAACAATCTCACTGCAATTCGTGCTGTCCTCAGAGATGCTGAGAGAAAGCAAATAATAAGCCATGCTGTGAAGGATTGGCTGCAGAAACTCACAGATGCAGCATATGTGCTGGATGATATCTTGGATGAATGTTCAATTCAATCCAAAAAGGTGCAGTCAGATCATGGACATGGTTCATGCCTCTCCCGTGTCCATCCTAACGACATTCTCTTTCGTTTTAATATTGGCAAGAGGATGAAAGACATCACCCAAAGATTTCATCACATTAATGAAGAAAGGGGCATGTTCGAATTCCGTCCTGGTGTCACAGAGAAGCAAGCAGTGGATAATGACGATGATTGGCGCCAAACTAGCTCTGTCATTACCGACCCCATATTCTGTGGTAGAGACCATGATCGAGAGAAAATTGTGAAGTTTCTCCTGGACGATGCTAGTAACACTGAAGACCTCTCCATCTATCCCATAGTTGGTATGGGTGGGCTTGGGAAAACAGCACTTGCCAAACATGTCTTCCATGATCACAGGGTATGCAAACATTTTGACTTGAGAATTTGGGTTTGTGTTTCTGATGATTTCATCACGAAGAAAATACTGCAATCCATCATAGAATGTAGCACCGGGCAAAATCCCAATCTCAATACTTTGGAAGCACTGCTGAAAAAGGTTGAAGAAGTGTTGCAGAGCAAGAGGTATGTACTTGTTCTTGATGATGTGTGGAACGACGACAAAAACAAATGGAAGGAGTTGAAGGGGATGTTGCAGTCTGCAAGGGGAGCAAAAGGATCTACCATTTTGGTCACCACTCGACTTGAGGAAGTGGCGTCCGTCATGAAAACGCATACTGCTTATCTTTTGAAAGAATTGTCAGAAAATGACAGTTGGTCATTGTTCAAACACCACGCATTTGGACCAAACAGAGAGGAGAGGGAAGAGCTTGTGGCGATCGGCAGAAAGATAGTGAGGAAATGCGTTGGTTCCCCACTTGCAATCAAAACACTGGGAAGCCTTTTGCGTGATGAAAATGAGGTAACACAATGGGAAATTATAGAGGGAAGTGAGTTTTGGGATATACGGGAGGAAAGTAGTCCTAAAGGTGAGGAAAATTCTGTCATGCGTGCTTTGAAAGTAAGCTATTTTAATTTGGAGTTATCACTGAGGAGATGTTTTTCTTTTTGTGCAATTTTCCCAAAAGATTTTGAGATTGTCAAGGAAGAACTAATTCATCTCTGGATGGCTAATGGATTTATTAAATCTGAAGGGAATGTAGAAGTGGAGGATGTTGGAAATAAAGTTCGGAAAAAATTATACCATAGATCATTTTTTCAAGAAGCAAAGTCTGATGAGATTGGTATCGTTAGAAGTTTCAAGATGCATGATCTATGTCATGATCTTGCCCAATATATTACGGGGCAAGAATGTGTGCTTTACAAGAAAGAAAGGGTGACTAGTTTGTCAACTAGAGTTCATCATTTGCACTTGTTAAATTCTAATGAGTCTGTCGATATGTCTGCTCTCAAGAAAGTTGAATCCTTGCGAACTTTTGTTGATTTTGATTCAAAATTGCCATTTGTAAATATTGGTCGATTGCCATCAAACCTTTGTCTCCGAGCATTACGCATAACCTCTTTTTCTCTGTTGTCCCCCATGAAGGGTTTAGCACATTTGAGATACTTGAGTTTGCATTGGAGTTGGGTAGCAAGGTTGAATGATTTTATTTGTGGGTTGCAGAAATTGCAAATATTGAAACTGGAAAACTGTGATGGGGGACATAACTTGTTGCCTAAAGACTTGACACAATTACAGGATCTACGACATATTGTGATCAATAGATGTAATTCAATAGGAGAGATGCCTCCGAATATTGGCAAGTTAAGGCATCTAAGAACATTGAGCAGTTTTGCGGTGGGTTCAAAGGCAGGGCATGGGTTGGGTGAGTTACATGGCCTAAGGCTGGGAGGGAAGCTGCATATCAGAGGGCTTGAGAATGTGGGCAGTGAATGGGATGCCAAACAAGCAAATTTGAAGAGGAAGAAGGAGTTGAACCGCCTATTCTTGTCATGGGGTGGTAATGCTAATTCAGAAGGTAGTAATGTCAATGTTGAGGAAGTACTGGAAGCCCTCGAACCCCCGTCAACTCTCAAGAGTTTTGGGCTGAAAGGATATCGGGGAATGAAGTTGTCGAGTTGGATGAGAAATCTTGCAGTTCTGAGAGACTTAGTGGATGTTATACTGTACGACTGTGACAACTTTGAGAAACTTCCTCCCCTTGGTAAACTACCACAGTTGAAAAGGCTATACTTACGTGGGATGAAAAATGTAATGTACATAGATGATGAGTCATATGATGGTGTAAAGGAGAAGGCGTTTCCATCGTTGGAGAAATTGAACGTGGATCATTTACCAAATTTAGAGAGGATGTTGAGAGATGAAGGAGTAGAGATTCTCCCCCGTCTTTCTGAATTAAAAATGTGGGGCATCTCCAACCTTAAATTTCCACGTCTTCCTTCTGTTGAGCGCCTTGAGGCTCGTAGCATTGACGAAGGGGCTTCCTTCATGGAAGGGGTTGTGAGGAATATGCCTTGTCTAAAGACCCTGTGTATTAGATGGATTAAAGAAAGGAGTGGTGGTACTACCCGACCAGCTCAGCAGGCTTGGTGCACTCCAGGAACTAGACATTGTGTATTGGGAGGACCTTGAGTATTTCCCAGAACATGTGTTGGAAGGTCTAACCTCTCTTCGAACTTTGTCCATTTCCTTTTGTGATAAATTAAAATCCTTGTCTGAAGGTGTGCAGCATTTGAGTTGTCTTGAGAGTTTGCGTGTTTATAAGTGTCCAGAGCTGGGTGATCTACCAAAGAATATGAGGCAACTAACTGCCCTTAGGAAGGTATCAATTGATATGTCGAGGTTTCTCGAAGGCTTACGAGATATCCCCTCCCCACAACGTTTGGAAATAAAAAGATGTAAATGTAGTTCATTGCCAGAGTGGGTGGGAGACATGACCTCTCTTAAAGAATTAGAGTTAATTGGATGCAGGGAGTTGAGGTCACTACCAAGTACCTTTCCACGCCTCACCAACTTGTGTAGATTAAGAATAAATGATTGTCCTCATCTGGAGGAGCGCTGCAAGAGGGAAACAGGGGAAGATTGGCAACTCATAGCTCGTATTCCAGAAATAGAGCTCCCAGAGGAACAGGCTTCAACATACAGTGGTGAATTAATGATTTCTTTATGTTTTTTAATTTGTCCATAATGCGTGAGACTGTGCATATGTTGATGCTTGAAATTGCGTGCAGAGGGTATCCGACGATCATCTTGCTCATGGAACTGCTTCAAGCCTACAAGACAACCTGGACTTGTAATAGAATCGAATTACTTCGACAATTTGTTTGATGAGGGAACCCGTGAGAACCAGCGGATCTTGTCCACAACTGATCCGGCATTCTTGTCATGGAATTCGCATCTAATTTATTATTTTGAATCATACGCTTAATAATTATTTAATATATTTAATATTATATTTATAATTTTTTTAAGATTTATAATTCTTTTATTTTTCCAAATTTAATTATTATTTAATATATTTATTTATATATTTATAATTTTATTCTTTTATTTTCTTTTATTTTTTTCTTTTATTTTCACATCTTTTTTTTTTTTTTTAAGAAAATCCAATTTTCAGAGCTTCATCTTTCATTGTTTGCGTTTACATCACAAACGCTCCATTTGTAAATTATAGTTCTTTGAGCAAGTTTGAAAGTTAGATAAATAAATCAGATTCAATTTTTCCTTCCATTTTTAAAAAGAAGTGAATTTTGTCCTTTCGTCAGTTTTATTAACACTGGTATATATTTTTAAAATGTTTGTAATAATTTCAATTTAGAATAAAAGAAATTTACTTATTCCAGTGAAGAGATCATAAAAAGAAGATATCTGAAATTTACTGTATTCTTCGAAATTTTCTTGACATAATCGAAGAGCAGTTTGATTTGAGTTTGAGTTTGAAGACAGTTCCAAAAGATTTGGGCTTTTGATTATAAATAGGATCAAAATCACTACCAAAAACATTTTTTGTTACACTGTCTGCTGTTTCTTGTTTTCACTTTACACTCATCATATCGTATCCTAATTTCCATGCAAAGCAACAGAACTGATTCATATTTGAACGTTGGTAAGGAGGTGTTTTATTAGCCATTTACACGTCATTCTTGAAAGTTATTTACTTCATTTCATTATTAGTTTTTAATTTGGTCTTGTACATGCTGTTTCAAACTGCCCCATGTGTGTTCAAATATTATCTGAAATTGTCAATTGGGCTGTCTTCTGCAAAGGTCTTACGTAATTTCTTAAGATACCTTCATGTATCTAAATGTTGAACAGGTACTTATTCATCACGTCAAAGTTTTTTCAGGCTTCATAATTTTCCTTCATTGCCTTCATAATTGGCATTATGGATCTAAATTTGTTGTAAGGGGAAGTTGACAGTTGACATGAGTCCCTGCAGTAGAAACTCAGGGCATGGCTTAGTTCTTTCCGTATAAGTCCTTTGATTGTTGTTAATGATCAAATTTGTTGTAAATTTTTCAACGTGGATCATACTACACAGGATATTATTACACAAACTGATCAGGATCAATTTCTCCTTGACACAAACTGAATTTTTCAGTTTTAAAAAAGTGTGTTTTATTAGCCATAAGTGAGTTGTTAATAGGTTTTCATTATGGTCTTATGCCATTGTTAGGCTTATTTTTCTGATCCAAAAATTCTCTCCTCTCATTCTCATAATCAAATATTTGTTTATCTATTCTGGTTAAGTGAGTCCTGGCAATAGAAACTCGTGGATTGAATTTGATGATTATGATTTTTCATTTCTAGCATGATTTTATCTACAGAACTTGGGTTGCATTTGTTGGAAATTAAGACTTTCCCTAAGTCTCTATAAAAATTTAAATCATAATTTACTCTTTTTCTATGTCCATGAGGAGCTTCATAGTTTTGTCTGTTTGAACACTTGATCAAAAACTGAATTCAAAATTTGAATATACAATAATAGATCAAAATATATTATATATCTATATTTCTTCGTTTTCTTTTTCACTTTGTCTCAATTTCCCATCATCTGATTTATTTTCGCTAAGCCTAATACACACCATTTGGTATATATGCATATTTAATCAATATATTATTAGAATTTATTGGATTTTATCATAACATTATTATAATTCTTATTATGAGAACTTATTATATTTAATTACAGGTGTTATTAGATTGTTAATATTTCTTTTATTAGTAGTTTTATATTTTATTTATCTTTTTTATTATATTTAAAGATTGTTAATATGTGAGCATTTTTAAGCCTTAAAAATTTCTACAATTGGTAAACAAAGTTTTTGTGAGAGATCTAATAAGGTTAAAATTTCTATCAAATACTTACATTGAGAGTTGAAAATACAATTTCAGAACTGGATCCTCATAACACATGTCCGATAATACTTTGTTATCATCTTTATCTAGTTGGAGCATTTAATTTGTTTGAAGCGTTAAGGTGAAACATCCTATGTAGTTTGAGCATCTAACACGTTTGCTAGTATTCTTGAAGCATTTACTCTTGTAATATACAGCATTTGATTTGACTGAGTTCTGTTTTAATTGATGTTAGAAGATATTGTAATAAATTACCTGTAACCAAAATCCCCATATAATAACCAAAATTCGTAACTAATTTGATAACTACAGTAGTTTGATACCTACAAACCTTTTACAACCATAAATCCATAGATAAAGTTGAGGTGATTAATTTTCATAAAAAAAGAAGAAGAAAGAAAGTCACTCGTCTTCACAAAAATATAAAAGTAATTTATCTACTCATTCAAATTATTATTAAAATAATATAATATAATTATTTTTATAAGTATATTTATTTATCATCGAAATGCATCACAGAGAAATCCCACATTGAAAAAAAAATTATACGTTACGTGTTTATTTTTCTTTTATAAAAAATAGTATTTTTCTTAAAAATGACCACAAATATCTTTATTATATATTTTTAGAGATAATATTATTGTTTTCTCCTTAAATTTTAAAAATGAGTATTGTATGTTTTGTTTATCTTTTCTTATCTTTTTATTTTAGTGATGAGTTTTTACACTATTATTCAGATTCTTAATAGTTGTATCAAATCCATGTTATTTGGTTGTATTATTATTCTACTGCTATAATTATTATAATAGTATTGGAAAAAAATTATTAGTATGTTCTATGGTTACAGTTGATCTGAACTTCCATAATAAAAAAAAGTTATTTAAGTTGTTGGATATAAAGTGTAGTAGTGTGACAATTCATATCTAAGAAAAGTTATGGCAAAAAAATACTTGAAATTTAAGTATATTTATTTGCTACCCATTTTTCTTTCCTAAAAGTTTATCTGGTGGATTAATTACATTTTAGGTCGTTGTTCCAATAGACAATAATATTCATAATGAAAAGTGCATAAGTATGTTGTTCCAGTAGACAATATTATTCACAGTGAAAGGTGCATAAGTTAATTAAAATGAGGATAACAAAATATGAGATAGAGAAGTTTTGTGGAAACTAAAATGCAGACAATTTTTAGAAAAAAAATAATTGTGTAGATGCAATTGGAGAAAGACTCATGGGCATCATGGATAAGAAGTGAGAAGAAATCAATAATAACAATATAATAAATTTGTATTTAGCATTAGCAAATGCGGTTTTGTTTAACATTGTGGAGAAGGAACAATGAAGGAGATTTGTGAGTCACATATCAAATTGTATGAGGTAAAATCACTTCACTCAATAATATTTTTGAAGAGAAAACTCTATATTATTCAAACGAGTGAGTCCAAAACCGTGACAAATCACATAAACAATTTCAATACATTATTTGTCAAACTTCCAACAACAAATTTCAACATAATTGAAAATGAGCATACAAAACTTATATTCCAGAGCTTACCAGATTCGTATGGTCAAATTATCATCAATATAATGAATAATAATATTGATAGACATTTACACTTTGAGAATGTTGCCAAAACTATTCTTGAAGAAGAATCCAGGTGAAAAAGGAAAGTGGAAAGTCTTAACCAAGCAGGGGTTTTGACGATAATAAGAAATAGATCAACAAAATATGACTTTAGTAGGAGTTAAAATAATGCTGGATCAAATTCTCAAGGAAGAAAGAATTTCATTTGCTACCATTGAGGCAAGAGAGGGTATGCCAAGAAAGATTGTTGGCTTAGAGCAACATAAATTGAAGTTTGCTAGAGTGACTATAAAGAGAAAACAAATATTGAACTTGATTTATTTTGATGTGTTAGAATTGTCAATATTATCCATAAGAGGGACAATATATTTTGTATCAATGATGGTGTTTATTCCATGAGATTATAAGTGTACCACATCACGAGGAAATATGTATTTTCAAAGTTTAGGAAAAACGAATTCTTGAAGTGTGCTAATAATGTGAATGAGTATTTCCTGTGGGTTTCCACTACTCATAAGGTTATTATTAATAGAAATGTAATATTATTTTTCTTCAAAGTGAACTTGGAGAGATGATTAATATGCTCTAACCAAAAGACTTTAAAGAAAAAGGAAACTTGATTTGCAGGCTAACCAAATCTATGTATGGTCTAAAGCGAGCAGTTAAGTATTAGTACAAGAGATTTGATTTTTCACGAATAGTCTTATTTACAATATATCTATTATAATAGATTTGATGGAAATGATTTTATTATTTTATTGTTGTATATGGTGGTAGTCCCTGACAAAACTCAAATTTAGATTTTAAAGGCATAATTGATTAAGAAATTTGATATGAAGGACTAGAGACTAATAAACAAGATTTTAAGGATGCAAATTCACTGAGACATAAAAGATAGAAAAGTTTGACATTATCAAAAGAATTACTTACTAAATGTCTTGTGGTGTTTTAATATGCAAGGATGTAAGCCACTTTCTATCAATTTATTATCAAGTATGAGTCATAACAATGAAGTAGAGAGGTTGGATATATCTCGAGCATAATATGCATCGATGCTGGAAAGTCTTATGGATACCATTACGGTATAAGACCAGATATTGTACAAACAGTGAAAGCAGTTAGTAGATTCCTTGCAAACTGTGGTGGAGAACATGAGTATTATTAAGAGGATCCTTATCAAAAGAATCTTACATGTTGTGTTATGTTTCGGATGATCAAAACTAGTTATTAGATACTATGTTTGTTCAGGTTTTACGGTTGATCTTGACATGTTTACACTTGTAGGTAGGGATGACAATTAAACTCGTCCCCGTCCCGAGTTTGACGGGGAAAACTCGAGTTGACCGGGGACGCGGGCGGGTTCGGGTTTTCCCCGCTTTAAAAAGTCGGGGGCGGGGATGGGTAATGCAATCCCCACCCCGACCCCATCCCCGCCCCGACTTTATATTTAAATTTTAAAATATTAATATTTTAAAAGTATTTTCTTTTTTTTTCTATTACATATAACATCATTTTTTTTATATTTCACCAAATTTTTTTCTTCTACCCACTCTTTAATTTTTTTTGTCTTTTTTAATATTTTATATCAATTAATTTATTATATTATTCTTTCTTTTACCTTTCAGTTTTTCACATTTCCTTAATCTCTCCCATCAATTTTTTTTCAATCTTTTCAACTAATTTGATGAACACAAAGTTAATTTTTTTATTCTTTATCTTTTTCTAAATATTTAACATAAATCTTAGTAGTAACTAATATTATTTTATTTATAATTTATATTTATTAGGTTTTATTATGTCATATTTTTTTATCTTATTATTCTTATTTATCATATATCAAATTTTATCTTAATAAAATAATTGTATTTTAAAGAATTAAAGGAATTGATAATTTAAACTTGTATTACTTTGAACTAATTGAATAAGAATTAACTTATTAAATATTTCCTTATAAACTATATATTTCATATTTTTAAATGACAACTTAAAAATGAATTAACTTATATATATAATCAAATGTTTGAATACAATATTATAATAATAATGTTATAAATATTCAAATATTTGAATACAGTGTTATAATAATAATAATGTTATAAATAAAAAATAATTAAATATTTCTTTTACATACATATTTTTAATATAAATATAATAAATTAAAATATATATTTAATTAATAATAATTATAAATTATAAAATTATAAATATTTATTTATATAAAAAATAGATAGTAAAATTAATTTATTATAAATGTAATTATCTTTTTAAAAATAATATAGATCGGGAACGGAACCCGAAACCCAGTGGGACGGGGATGAAGACTTAATTTCTAACCCCGTGGGATCGGAGCGGGATCGGGAAGCAAAACCTGCCTCGTTGCCATGCTTACTAGTATGAGAGATACAAGTTGTTATAACTCTATCTAATATAGAAGTTAAGTACGTGGTAGTCACCTAGAACATGTGAAGAAGTGATCTAGATTAAAAAGGTTAATAGAGAAACTCGGACACATGCAATATAAGATTGTTGTGTATTGCGATAGTCAGAGTGTCGTGAACATTGCAAGAAATCATGTCTTATATTTCCAACAAAGCAAAACGAATCTAGAAAATGTTATGACAATCAATTAATAGTAACAAGTTTATATAGGTGGATCATACTAAAGACTTATAAGAAAAAATAACAACATGAAAAAGAATAATGATGTTCAATGAAGATTTGATATTAATTTAATTAAAATCTTCAAATAGAAGAATGTGAGAAGAAAAATCCTACATTGAGGAAATTATATATTGGTACTTACTTTTCTTGATACAAAAGAGTAATTTATCTTGTAAATCACTTCAAATTTTTTCCTTCTCATTTCTACTAGTGCATTAGTAGTTGATTTTCCTTATTTTTTATAGAAGATATTATTGTTTTCTTCTTAAATTTAAAGAGTGTATTGTAATTCTTCCGATAATAAAATTCTATTATTGTTTATTATCTGTTTTATTCCTCTTTTTTCATCTTTTATTTTAGTTGTGAATTATTACGTTATTATTACGATTCTTAACCCTTTTTACATTATTTATGCACATATTCCCACCATTTTCTATGCACACATTTAAATCTATGTTACATGCAATTTTAATTAATTTTAAAAAAGTTTCTATATAAAAAATTGGACTTTTTTTTCTTATGTTTTATTGTGTTACATATTATTTTTATTATTTGTAATCAATAAATGTTTTTAAAATCAACTTCAAAAAGATTTTTTAATATAATTAGACTTAAAAATTGATTATTGTTGGAAAATATGAATTTTAAAAATAATTTTATAATTTAATTATGAGATTTTAATTGTTTTCGAGAAATTCAAACAAAATGATGAAACGAGAATAATTGAAAAATATTTTCCTTTTTTTGACATGATGAAAATAAAATGAACAAGTTGTTTTTATTAATAAAAAGAATATTACATGACGAAAGAATTAAAGAGCTTTTTTCATGTGAATTCTATTTTGTTAATTTTTTATTTTAAGTTACTACCTATTTAGTTATTTTAATTTTGTAATATTAATCCGAATCATCTATTATTAAATAAATTATATTGATAATAATGATAACTTTTTAATTAGATTATCTATTGATTTATTATATAATTGAGCGGATTGTTTTTTTAATTTAGAATGAAATATTTTTTGCGTAAAAAAATATTATTTGAACATGATAGTTAGAGAGTTTAAGGGAAGAACAAGTTTAAGAAAGAGGGTAGAAAATATGAATTAATTTCTGTTTATAATATTATTAAAACTCTTATTGTTATAAATTTTGAAGATTGATATTAATAGATTGTTAAAACTTTTTATAAATAATTTTATTTTTGATTTATTTCAAGATTAACAAGTGAAAAAATTTCCGTTATATTTTTCTTGTGTTTAAATATTGTCAATGTCAATAAAGCTTGTGATATTTTTAAACCTTAAAATATACGTAGATACAAAATTTAAAAGAGAGTATGATATGAAGATAAAAAAGAGTGAATTTGTCAAAGATATTAATTTCCTCATAGTTTGAAAGGTAATTAACTAAATCAAGTTAGTAATTTTGTATAGAGCTAGTTCATTCTTATTTTGGATTTTTTTACCTCTAATTAAGTTTTAATGCCAATACAATTTGAAATCAATTTATATGTTAAAATAATTAATTAATGTAATTTTATGTTAAATATTTTATAATTGACATAAATTTATGTTAGAATGGTATAAATGTAACCCGACTTAAATTTATGTTTAATGTTTTTTATTTAAAAAAATAATAATATAATTTATCTTATCCAAATTTACCTTACCGGTCTAAACAAATATGTTACATCTCAATATCACTTTATTCAATATAATATATTATGATTTATCTAAGAGTCAAATATTATAAACTAGACCTAATTTAAATATATAATAATTTTTTTAAAATAATTGAATTACTTTATAAAAAAACATTAAAATTCAATAAATTAAAATTCTTTTATCCAAACAAATCATTTGAAAAATTAAATCATTTAAAAGAAAAGAAATTCAAATTTAATGTATTTGAATTTATTAGAAATTACAATTACCTTATCCAAATACAAGATAAATTTATTTATTTCACTATCACAATTTTCTATCTTTTCATCCTTTTACTTAAAGAACCTCACCTTTCATTTTTAAAAGTTCTTCGACTCTTTTCCTTCACTTTGTGTATTTACTGCAGTATTTCATGTATCTTGAACAATTTTTTTTTTCTCGAAAGACTGCTACTCCTTAGAGTCTTGTTTTTTTAGTAATAATATTTGTTTGGATAGTTGATAAAGTTTTCTCCTTTAGGATTCTTTTATCCTTCTTTGTAGATACTTTATATTCTTTTTTTTAAATAATTTCAAAATTTTTTAAGTGACTTTAGAATCACAATTTTAATAAATATAATTTATGAAATATTCATAAACAAATATAACTTTGTATTTGTCTTTCTCATTTTTTTTCTTCTTAATTTTAATTTAGACTACAATAAAATTTGTAGGTAACAGATGAATAATATAATATTTTTTTATACTTTTCCATAAATCTAATCCTTTAACATAAAATAAAACTAATAAATCATAATTTTTCTCATCAAGAAGTGAAATAATATCTTATGAAAAACTGTTTTCTCCTTCCACCACTATTCTAACCAGAACAAACTTGAAAAATTTTATATATATATATATATATATATATATATATATATATATATTATAATAAAATTTCTCAACCATTTTATTATTTTATTCATATATTTAATCACAAAGAAAAAATATAATAACATATTAATAATATCTTAAACTTAATTACCTAAATCACAATAATTATTATTATCATCTTTTTATATTATTTTAAAATATATAATAAAAATATTTTAATATCTAATTTAAATAAAAACATAATAAAATATATATTTTTTCAAAGGAAAGTAAGCATGGTGGTGCAGTGGAGGCTGCTATGCAATTAAAGTGTGGGGCCTTATTATATAAGAAAACAAAAATTACAATTGGTAGGAAAAGAAGACATTAAAATATACCTAGTCAAAAATTTAGATGGGAAAGAAATAAATATAAGTGGCCCCAAATTATTTTTATACATTTCTTCAAATTAATTCTTTAATAAATTAATTATTTTGATTTATGTCCTTTTATCTTGTTACTTGTATTAATTCTATCTCGGTTAAGTTGTCATGTGTCACAACACAATATTAAATATTAAGCATGAAGTTTAGGGTTTAGGGTTGCGGAAAAACGATGGAATGAACTCATCTGTGAAAAAATCAATGACGCGTAGGTCTTTTTCCAACTACGTACCCAGCAACAGTTAGTCAATGAAAATTTATATATTTTCTTTGTCACTACAAAATATCCTACCAATGACATTCCTAACCACTCGTTCTTAACACTGTGACCAATACTTCCTTCTCCAGAACCCAAATCATCTCCCAAGATTTGTTCATTCTAGCTCTCTCCTTTCAACAAATGGCCGAGGCTTTGCTGGAAATTGTGATTGAAAATTTAGGATCTTTTGTTCAACACCAACTTGCAAACTATTGGGGTGTCCGCCAAGAGACTCAGAAGCTTTCCAGCAACCTCACTGCAATCCGAGCTGTACTCAAAGATGCTGAGAAAAAGCAAATAAAAAGCCATGCTGTGAAGGATTGGCTGCAGAAACTCACAGATGCAGCATATGTGCTGGATGATATCTTGGATGAATGTTCAATTCATTCCAAAAAGGTGCAGTCAGATCATGGACATGGTCCATGCCTCGCCCGTGTGCATCCTAAGGACATTCTCTTTCGTTTTAATATTGGCAAGAGGATGAAAGACATCACCCAAAGATTTCATCACATTCATGAAGAAAGGGGCATGTTCGAATTCCGTCCTGGTGTCACAGAGAAGCAAGCAGTGGATAATGACGATGATTGGCGCCAAACTAGCTCTGTCATTACCGAACCCATATTCTGTGGAAGAGACCACGATCGAGAGAAAATTGTGAAGTTTCTCCTGGAAGATGCTAGTAACAGTGAAGACCTCTCCATCTATCCCATAGTTGGTATGGGTGGACTTGGGAAAACAACACTTGCCAAGCAGGTCTTCAATGATCACAGGGTATGCAAACATTTTGACCTGACAATTTGGATATGTGTTTCTGATGATTTCGTCACGAAGACAATATTGCAATCTATCATTGAATGTAGCACCGGACAGAATCCCAATCTCAATACTTTAGAAGCAATGCGGAAAAAGGTTGAAGAAGTGTTGCAGAGCAAGAGGTATTTACTTGTTTTTGATGATGTGTGGAATGAAGACCAAGAGAAATGGAAGGAGTTGAAGGGGATGCTGCACTGTGCAAGAGGAGCGAAAGGAGCTACCATTTTGGTCACCACTCGACTTAAGGAAGTAGCGTCCATCATGGAAACGCACCCTGCTTATCTTTTGAAAGAATTATCAGAAGATGACAGTTGGTCGTTGTTCAAACACCATGCATTTGGACCTAACAGAGAAGAGAGGGAAGAGCTTGGGGCAATCGGCAAAGAGATAGTGAGGAAATGCGTTGGTTCGCCACTTGCAATCAAAACTCTGGGAAGTCTTTTGCATGATGAGTGTGAGGTAACACAATGGCAGAATGTAAAGGAAAGTGAGATCTGGGATATTTGTGAAGAAAGTAGTTCTATCACAGGTGAGGAAAATTCTATCATGCGTGCTTTGAGACTGAGCTATTTTAATTTGGAGTTGCCATTGAAGAGATGCTTTTCGTTTTGTGCAATTTTTCCCAAAGATTTTGAAATTGTCAAGGAAGAACTAATTCATCTCTGGATGGCTAATGGATTTATTAAATCTGAAGGAAATGTAGAAGTGGAGGATGTTGGAAATAAAGTGTGGAAAAAATTATACCATAGATCATTTTTTCAAGAAGCAATGTATGATGAGATTGGTATGATTAGAAGTTTCAAGATGCATGATCTATTTCATGATCTTGCCCAGTCTATTATGGGGGAAGAATGTGTGCTTTACGAGAATGAAAGGGTGACTCGTTTGTCAACTAGAGTTCACCATTTGCACTCGTTAAATTCTCATGAGTCTGCCGATATGCCTGCTTTCACAAAAGTTGAATCCTTGAGGACTTTTGTTGAATATAATTTAAAATGGCGTCGTGAAGATATTGGTCGATTGCCATCAAACCTTTGTCTCCGAGCATTATGCATAAACTCTTATTCTATTTTGTCCCCCATGAAGGGTTTAGCACATTTGAGATACTTGAGTTTGAATAGAAGTTGGGTAACAAGGTTGAATAATTTTATTTGTGGGTTGCAAAAATTGCAAATATTGAAACTGGAATACTGTGATGGGCCACATAACTTGTTGCCTAAAGACTTGACACAATTACAGGATCTACGACATATTGTGATCAATGGATGTAATTCAATAGGAGAGATGCCTCCGAATATTGGCAAGTTAAGGCATCTAAGAACATTGAGCAGTTTTGTGGTGGGTTCAAAGGCAGGGTATGGATTGGGCGAGTTATATGGCTTAAGGCTGGGAGGGAAGCTGCATATCAGAGGGCTTGAGAATGTGGGCAGTGAATGGGATGCCAAACAAGCAAATTTGAAGAGGAAGAAGGAGTTGAACCGCCTATTCTTGTCATGGGGTGGTAATGCTAATTCAGAAGGTAGTAATGTCAATGCTGAGGAAGTACTGGAAGCCCTCGAACCCCCGTCAACTCTCAAGAGTTTTGGGGTGAAAGGATATCGGGGAATGAAGTTATCGAGTTGGATGAGAAATCTTGCAGTTCTGAGAGACTTAGTGGATGTTATACTGTACGACTGTGAAAACTTTGAGAAACTTCCTCCCCTTGGTAAACTACCACAGTTGAAAAGGCTATACTTATGTGGGATGAAAAATGTAATGTACATAGATGATGAGTCATATGATGGTGTAAAGGAGAAGGCGTTTCCATCGTTGGAGAAATTGAACGTGGATAATTTACCAAATTTAGAGAGGATGTTGAGAGATGAAGGAGTAGAGATGCTCCCTCGTCTTTCTGAATTAAAAATGTGGGGCGTCTCCAACCTTAAATTTCCACGTCTTCCTTCTGTCGAGCGCCTTGAGGCTCGTAGCATTGACGAAGGGGCTTCCTTCATGGAAGGGGTTGTGAGGAATATGCCTTGTCTAAAGACCCTGTGTATTAGATGGATTAAAGGAGTGGTGGTACCCGACCAGCTCAGCAGGCTGGGTGCACTCCAGGAACTAACCATTGTGTCTTGGGAGGACCTTGAGTATTTCCCAGAACATGTGTTGGAAGGTCTGACCTCTCTTCGAACTTTGTCCATTTCCTATTGTGATAAATTAAAATCCTTGTCTGAAGGCGTGCAGCATTTGAGTTGTCTTGAGAGTTTGCGTGTTTATGAGTGTCCAGAGCTGGGTGATCTACCAAAGAATATGAGGCAACTAACTGCCCTTAGGAACGTATCAATTGATATGTCGAGGTTTCTCGAAGGCTTACGAGATATCCCCTCCCTACAACGTTTGGAAATAAAAGGATGTAAATGTAGTTCATTGCCAGAGTGGGTGGGAGACATGACTTCTCTTGAAGAATTAGAGTTAATTGGATGCAGGGAGTTGAGGTCACTACCAAGTACCTTTCCACGCCTCACCAACTTGTGTAGATTAAGAATAAATGATTGTCCTCATCTGGAGGAGCGCTGCAAGAGGGAAACAGGGGAAGATTGGCAACTCATAGCTCGTATTCCAGAAATAGAGCTCCCAGAGGAACAGGCTTCAACATACAGTGGTGAATTAATGATTTCTTTATGTTTTTTAATTTGTCCATAATGCGTGAGACTGTGCATATGTTGATGCTTGAAATTGCGTGCAGAGGGTATCCGACGATCATCTTGCTCATGGAACTGCTTCAAGCCTACAAGACAACCTGGATTTGTAATAAAATCGGATTACTTTGACAATTTGTTTGATTATAGTAGTATTTTTTTTTTTAAATATTATACAGTAATATGTACAATTAATAGACGTAGAGAGAAGTCATATTAAATAATGTGATTAGAAGAAATAAACGGATAAAAGGCTAAACAAATTTTTACTTTCTTATGCTTTTAGTAATTTCTGTGTTTTAAATTTTCTGTTTTCGTCTTTAAAATTTTAAAATGAAGTGAATTTTGTCCTTTCCTCAGTTTTATTATAACACTAGTATGTTTTAGCAGAAATTTAATATGGCCGACTCATTCCAAGGAAGAAGATCATGAAAAGAAGATATCTGAAATTTTGTTGGTTGTGACTGTGTTCTTCGAAATTTCGAAGAGCATTGAGCTTGAGATTGGAGAAAGTTCCAAAAGATTTGGGTTTTTGATGATAAATAGGATCAAAATCACTATTACCAAAAAATTTGTTGTTACACTGTCTGCTGTTTCTTGTTTTCACTTTCAAACTGCCATGTGTGTTAAAATATTCTCTGAAATTGTCAATTGAGCTGCCTTCTTCACAAGTCTTACATAATATCTGATACCTTCATGTATCTAAAAGTACAGGCACATTCATCATGTCAAAGTTTCATCTAGTCTCAAAATAGTATTTACCCGAGCTTCCATCTTCATTCTACACACAAGTAATTCATTCTATTGCAATACTACAGTGAGGATCTCTTGGTGCTGTTGGATTTAATCCATAATCTTCATGGTTTAAAGTTCCTCCGCCATTACCCTACTAGTTATATTTCACAGTTTCTTGAACTGTACTCCAATAAGATTAAGGTGCCTTAAACACCAGAATAACAGCCACTAGTCACTTTGCTCCATGTTTTTCAGTTCACACTCATCATGCATCATTTCCAAAACTCCATGCATAGAACTACAAATGTCTACATTATGGATTCAGGGGCAAAGTTTATTGAACTGTGTATTGTGTATTAACATAAAAATATTTAGAACTTGTACTTTTGATAATAAAATTAAGAGATCTAATAAGGATTGAAAATGCAATTTGATCACCCGAACCTTATACCACCTGTTAGATAATACCTTGAAATCATCTTTATCTATCATGAGGAGTGGGATGTCTTGGTTTAGTGTTATACTAATAATATTCAATAAGTGATCATCAAGAAGATGTTGAGGAAAATTACAATATTGGTTCATTAACAGAAAATCTAACTCTTAATTAAATAAAAAAAATAGTTATTATCAGCGAAAAGAGAATCATCCCAGCTTTAAATTTAAATGTTAAAAGATGATTTAACAAATAGTTATTTTCCTGTTGTCAAAATTTGTAGGTAATAACTAATTTGATAATATAATAATTTGATACCTAGAACTTTCTACAACCAAAAATCTTTAAGGAATTTGCAATGGATAATTTTTATATAAATTTGTGTGTATGTTTTCTTGTTTTACATATTATTTTTATTATTTATAATAAATATATATTTTTAAAATCAACTTTAAAGATATTTTTTAAATTAAGTAGACTAAAAATTGATTATTATTTGAAGATATGACATTTTAAAAACAAGTTTATAATTTAATTATGAGATTTTAATTGTTTTTTTCATATGGGTGACTTTTTAATAACATGAACTCGGTGGAAGAATTCAAGTAAAATATGATGAAAGTTTTGAGATGCTGAACAATAAAAAAAAACGTTTTATCAATAAAAAAATATATTGTAAGGTAAAAGAACAATTAGCATGTATCTTTACAAATAAAATATGCTTTCAACATGACATTTCCAGATTTTAAAAGAAAAACTTGAAACTAATGTCGGTAATCTAAATCATTGTCTATTTAAAGTATTATTAAAAAATTTATTGTTATAAATTTTAGTAATCACTATTAATAGACTGTTAAACAATTTTATATAAATATTTTTATTTTTTATTTATTTCTAAATTAACAAGTGAAACTATTATTAATTTTTCAGTTATATTTTTTTGTGTTTAAATATTATATGAATAAAGAAGTTTGCGATATTTTTAAACCTTAAAATATACTCAAATTCTATCTGGTAAACATTTATTATCTGAATTGAGTTTTATACCTTCCTTATCACATGCAATATTCCAACATTATATTAAGAGCTTATTAAATCTTTAAGAAAACAAAATCAAAATCAAATATTTTAAGTACTTAAAGGAAAAAAAAAATTAAGAGCAAATTAATGGAAAACTTACAATTTAAAAAAAATGACTTTTAGTTATCTCCAACTCCATAGTTGTAAGTAAAAATTATCACCTGTGAGCTGCAACGATAAGGACTTCATAAGACTTATTTTAGATTTTAAAATTTGTGAAATACAATGATAAATTAAAGTGATCTGATTCTATTGTTAAGAACTATGAGTGATAAAAAATAAAAAATTGAGAGTTTGAAGAAAATGAAAAAAAAAAAACGTAGGAATGAAACTTAAAAATAAAGTACGAAGCTGAAAAAGAGTGAATTTTGTCAACTATTTTCGTGACAGTTTCAAATTTGATTACTGAGGTCAGTCAAATTACTGAGGTTCAGAAAATACAAGGAAGCAAGAAGGAAGCAACTATGGAATTACCTAATATTTAAAATCAAATCAATGATGCATTATTCTTCTTCCAACTACTTACCCAGCAACAGTTAGTCAATGAAAATTAATATATCTTCTACATCACTACAAAACATCCTTCCTCTGTGACCAATACTTCCTTCTCCAGAACCCAAATCATCTCCCAAGATTTGTTCATTCTAGCTCTCTCCTTTCAACAAATGGCCGAGGCTATGCTGGAAATTGTGATTGAAAATTTGGGATCTTTTGTTCGACACCAACTTGCAACCTTTTGGGGTGTCCACCAAGAGACTCAGAAGCTTTCCAGCAACCTCACTGCAATCCGAGCTGTACTCAAAGATGCTGAGAAAAAGCAAATAAAAAGCCATGCTGTGAAGGATTGGCTGCAGAAACTCACAGATGCAGCATATGTGCTGGATGATATCTTGGATAAATGTTCAATTCAATCCAAAAAAGGTGCAGTCAGACCATGGACATGGTTCATGCCTCTCCCGTGTCCATCCTAACGACATTCTCTTTCGTTTTAATGTTGGCAAGAGGATGAAAGACATCACCCAAAGATTTCATGACATTCATGAAGAAAGGCTCAGGTTTGAATTACGCGTTGGTGTCACAGAGAAGCAACCAGTGGATGATGATTGGCGCCAAACTAGCTCTGTCATTACCGAACCCATATTCTGTGGTAGAGACCACGATCGAGAGAAAATTGTGAAGTTTCTCCTGGAAGATGCTAGTAACAGTGAAGACCTCTCCATCTATCCCATAGTTGGTATGGGTGGACTTGGGAAAACAACACTTGCCAAGCAGGTCTTCAATGATCACAGGGTATGCAAACATTTTGACCTGACAATTTGGGTTTGTGTTTCTGATGATTTCATCACGAAGAAAATACTGCAATCCATCATAGAATGTAGCACTGTACAAAATCCCAATCTCAACACTTTAGAAGCAATGCGGAAAAAGTTGAAGAAGTGTTGCAGAGCAAGAAATATTTACTTGTTTTTGAGGTTGTGGGGAATATGTCTTGTCTAAAGATCCTGCGTATGAGATCGATTAAAGGAGTGGTGGAACTACCCAGCCAATTCAGCAGGCTGGGTGCACTCCAGGAACTAACCATTGTGTCTTGGAAGGTCTAACCTCTCTTCGAACTTTGTCCATTTTCTGTTGTCGTAAATTAAAATCCTTGTCTGAAGGTGTGCAGCATTTGAGTTGTCTTGAGAGTTTGCGTGTGTATGAGTGTCCAGAACTGGGTGATCTACCAAAGAATATGAGCCAACTAATTGCCCTTAGGAAAAATCCCATGCTATAAGTCTTACAATGGCAATCACTTCTCTTTCTCTTTTCAAGAAAATCCAAATTTCACTGCTACGTCTTTCATTATTTGTAGTTACATCACTGGCGCTCCATTTTTGGATTCCTATTCTTTGCAAGTTTGAAAATATGCAAGTTAGATAATTTATATATAAATGAATCAGATTGGAATTTTCCTTCCAATTTTAATGAGATTGACCAATAAGTGTTACAGTTTTACTTGATAACTACTCATTCCTGTGAAACAGATCATGAACAGACGATAAACATAATTTTGTTGGTTGTGACTGTGCTCTTCAGAATCCTCTTGACATAATCGAAGAGGAGGACTTATTGTGCGTGGATCTTATGTATGATTTGTGGAATATCACGCGTTATACAGGCAAGGATTTGGGGTGGGATTACAGTTTGATTTGAGGAATTCGGCATCTACTAAATAATCCCTCACCTCTTCACATTTCATGGCCCAAGATCCTTTGTTAGCAAGGGATACTTGAGTTTTTCTTCCTAGTAACATAACTTGAATTCACAATGAACAAAGTTTTTAGTTCTTTTCTCATGAAATATTATTTTAATTCTACTAATTTTAAGTGACTATTTAGCATATGTACTTATCTTGCAATCTTAAAAGTGATTGTGTCTTTTATCTTCTATTTTTTCATAGCAGGAAAACCCACTTCAAAGTTGTTAATAAAATTTGCATCCTTTGCATTATGGTCATATGGCAATGTTTGACGAATTCTGGATCCAAAATTCTCTGTTCTTCTAGCAAAGATGACAGTTGGCATGAGCCCTAGTCCACTGTGGCTCCAATCTGAAGGTCGTTATATTCCATTTCCAGCATGATTCCACACATAACCTACTCTACTAATTTGCTCCTCAATTCATGTAAAACACCACAACTCTGGAGGGTTTGAGCTCTGCCCAATGTATCTAAACTAAAAGTTCTTCTCAACTTGGCCCATAACCAATCCACTATTTCATTTACAAAACTTGGGATCGGGGGATTTCATGAATTAGTTCACTCTGAACAGATTTTGACGATGATGATGATGATAAAAAATTTAATTATAAGAAGTACTAGAAAATTCAGAACAGTGGACGACTACTTAAGCTTAACAAATGAAGTTGAATACGTATTATTTATAAATTTTTTGCTTCAAAAATAAATAAATATTGCGTTAAAATGTGCTTTTTTAAAATTTTATTATGAAGATGAAGTAATAATTGCATATAAATAACGTATTCTGATTCTTTTGGTCACAAATGAAACAATAAACGGACAGTAACATTGAACAACAAACAAGTTTAGTTAGACTAGAAAGGTATTGACGGATTTGAACCATGTGCAAAGGGAATCACCTTTGTTGTGGTGTGACAACAACCCAGTCCTTTTTAGCTAAACACTCAACCCACCATACGATAAACCAGTGTCAAATTTCATATTATAAGAGAAGTTGAGAATGGTGGAATGTTAAATAGATGAATAACAAGTTTTAAGAACCTTCGGCAGATATGCTAATGCACTTTCATATGTGCCAAGTTATTGAGAGTCTTTAAGAAAACTTTTAAATATAACTGTTAAACTAATGACCTACAAAACTTTCTTTGAACAGAGTAGGCTAATGGATATAACTATTTTGTTTACTTTCGTGGATGTGATTTTTACTATGTATTTCTCTTCAATATGAATGAAACATGTGGCTATGTATGATACTACTGCAGAAAAAACGAAAATTCTTCTGCTCTCAACATTTTCTTCCCATCTGTTTATGGTTTTCTATGTTTCATGCTTCTGTTGCTATTTATGTTTTAACAAATACAAGAACATAGCCACTACAGCAAAGCAAATTTTCGCAACAATCAATCATCCTGATCCACTTCTATTACAACTTCGAGCTTTAACTTCTAATAAATAAAAATTTGTATAATTCGACGTTGAATTGAAAATTATCAGAGTACAAACGTAATACTGCACAGCATTAATACAACACATTGTATTATCTCTGGTAAGTAGTTCCAATTCATGTATAGGTAGCAGACCATATGCTTTCTGTAGGATTTAAAACTTTCATTTCTTCACATGAATTCACTGATATTACAACAACAACAATATGTAGATATACTAGAGAGGTATCTGATACAATTGATGCCACATAAAGAATAGTATCTATATGAAAAATTTCTATATAACTTAAAATCAGATTATTGAGTGACCAATTTCATCTGATAAATGTGAACATGACTGATTCTTGACTTCGATTATAGAATGAATCAATGTTTTGTTGAGGGCTCTGAATTCGTTCCCTTAGCTTCTGCTTCTGGATTTAGGATTCTAGCCACCCCCAACACTGCATAGGTTTCAAAGTTTGTCATCTTGAACCTTTGTTGGATGAATGCCATAGCTTTTTCTGGCATATCAAAATCTTCTCTTTGTCAACTCCATACTCAGTTTTTTCTTTACGACATATCCATCGCATGCCCTTGCCAATAGTAGCAATGGCATCCACAAAATAAGTGGACTCTCGAATGAGAGCATGTCCACCAGGTCTTAAAACTCGGTCCATCTCCAACAACATATACTTCATTTCACATCTGTTAAGTGACAACCATTAATTGTTAGAAACACATTCAAAATTCGAAGTTTGGAGTGAGTCCATATCTGTGTCACTAAGGAGAGTAAACAAGTTTACATATTCACCTGTGGCTTTCTGCAGTGAAGAGTCCATCAACATGAAGGAGGTCATAGGTTCGAGGATAGGTTGAAAAGGCCTCACACCTACCAAACAAAAAAATTCAAATAAATATCATACCATATGAAACAACACAAATACATTCATAGATAATAACCCTATGGCTCATAATAAAAAGTTCAAAATTACCAGTCATGGAAGATTCCAATAAGGCCTCGATCATAAATCACAGGCAGTGTGTTGGGACCATAAGATGAGACCACATTCATGACCCACAGGGGATCATTAATCAAGGCTGCAGCAAAAGCTCCATATACTGTATTCATGTCCATCACATTTCTTATTTTGTCAGTGCCAAGCTCAGGCAGCAACTTCTTGTAGTGCTGAATGCGTTTTTTCCACTTGCTATCGTCATGATGGAAAGTACTAATACTACCACTAGCACCATGAGCAGTTGTGATCCTTTCAGGGGTAGCATGCAACCGTTCAGGCCATTTAGGCAAGTATGTGAGAACAGATTTCTTATTTTTTGGATCTGGAACCACAAAACAAGCACGAAGTGGAGTGTACCATCCTGCATCTGGTTCAAGGCTGTCATCACACTTTGGTGGGTAGGACTCTTTAGGAAGCTTATCATAGCAACTGTTATCTCGAGCCTTCTGCCACACAGCAATATCATCCTTTTTATTGTACAATGTAAAGCACATGGAAGTGAGTAAATTCTGCAACTTATCATAATCTGATTTTTGCTCGGCAACAGTTGTGTTCCATCCACGCCACCTGTGCTCGTAGTTGACAGGTGGGCCAGACAAAACCCAAAATCCTCCAGGACGAAGAATACGGTGTATTTCCATGAGATAAATACCACCTAAAAGCATATGATAATATCTCCATCAGATAGTGACTCAAAAATTGAAGTGAACTTAGAACGCAGTTAACAAGTCATATATATAAACAGCAAAATTGGAATTAAATTGAATGCCTGACAAAGCTAGATGCAAACTAAAACTTATTACAAGACTGATTAGAAAGAATCAGATCAATTACACCTGACGTGCGAAACACAAACTTGAATTCTGTGTGCGTAAACAGGATTGAATTCTGTGTAATAGATAAAATTCAATTTGCACAGAAGAATTACCAAATTCCGTCCATGGGATAAGGCATCTGGAGCAATGAGCCATATCAAAGGAGTTTGATGGGAAAGGAAGTCTCTGTGTAGAAATGACACCAAGAACAGCTGGGATACCCCGCTCTAGAGCAAATTGAACTTGAGCTTCATGGTTATCTCTTGGGGCAAGAGAAACTGTTAGAACCCCCCGATCCAACAAATCACCACCCCAGCTAGCAACCTGTGATAAATCAGAGTTAAGTAGATTAATTGATGCACTCCTTGTCATTCACATGACTTAATCTTGAGAATTGCTATTTTGCATTGTCATTTGCTAAATGAAATAACCACCTACTCACCCCACATCCTGTATCAATGGCAGTTCTCACTGTCCCATCTTTCATTTCTGGGATTAGCTCTTGCATCATATCAACATATTCACCAACACCATTGGGAAACATAGTACCCCCACCGGGAAACAAGAATTTCTCCCCTTCCTTAATCAACCAATGCTGGTTAGACTTCTCCTTGTTGATCCAGTCATACGGCACGTTCCTGACATGTATATAACAGAAAAGTTGAAGAAGTGGACAACATTGATACTTAACTCAAGTCAACCTTTTGCTAATTAACTCATAAAGCATATAACATTATACCTGTACCAACACTCATCTCTACTCTTTGGCCATCTGATTGGAGGCTTGTATCCATCTGGTGGAGGAACCAAGCATTCTTTCCTCTCAAGAATTGGAGGGCAATGGCGTTCTAAAAAAGTAAGCCGGTAGGTGCCATATTTTCTCCATCTCTGTAAAATTATACATGCTCAATCAACAATGAAAATTCTTCCAAAAATCCTAAAGCATCAACAAATGACTACCATTTAATACCTTTGGATCTGTGCATGGGGTGAAATCTTGATAATCCAAACCACATTCAGGGAAACTGATGGGTCTCATCAGCAGAGAACCTGATGTTTGCTTAGGAGTATCAAGGGTCTTCTGAATGGTATTGACCACAACCCCATCCTTCCCAGAACAAAAGATTCCTCCCAGATAGAAAGAAAAACCACAGAGAGCAATTAAGGTGACTGTAAAAGTCACAACCCGGTTCTTATTTGGCTGGTTGATCGGTTTTCCATCTTTATGCTTCATGTTCCAACAAATATTCCACTATCTGCAAAAACACAACATACAAAATTTCAGTGCAATGCAACTATGACATTTCCTCCACCTACGCATAATTGCATTTTTTTTAAACCTTCAATTAAAAAACAAAGTGAGGATCAGGAATCATCATTCATCAATCACCAACGATTGAAGAAGTAAAGGAAACCTGGAACTTACAAAAGCCACTCTAACTACCCCCCTTATAATAAAAAAAAAAAATACGAACAAAGAATCAACATCTACAATTAGGCTCCAATCAATTTGGTAAAACCAAATTATCTGAATTGCCATACCCTCTAAGTTCAAGCTACACCATCTAACTAGAGAAGCTAACGAAGACAAGGCCACAACAATTCAAATCGCACCACCACATGATCCAAAAAACCACTAACCATAATCGATCCAATTTTGGAAAATAAAAGTAAAAAACTGGCAGAGAGAAAAAGGAGATTGATGATTAATTCCAGCTGGTCAATACTCCACACACAATCACCAAGCATTAAAACGACAAGGGGCAGAAAGTCATGGTGTGTGAATACACGAAATCTGATACTCCTACCGACACTAGTTACTTTCCATTCCGTGTCACGTTGCCTTTTAAGATGTTCACATGACATCGGGCCCCAGCAATAATCGGTTCCAGCAGTCCCTGTGAGGAGCCATTCCACACAAAAGGGGGCATAAGGAAGCTCTGGATCTCACACCATACTGTGCCATATTCCCCCTCTACGTAAAAAGGAAAACCGAATGTGAACATTTTCTTCACACGTACGAAAAGCTCCATCATGCATGGGTCAGTTATTCCCGATTCACTGTGTTCTGTCTCAAGTACATCCACCAATGGCTACGCTAGTGTGATAACCAGAAAAATACAAAGATAAGACCATCCCCAACACCGAAACAAGGCCTGCTACTTTCCCAGTTCAAAAACAAAAATGAAGAATGAAAATATTATTTTGAAAAAAATATATATATATTTTTCAAAAATCTAAGAACCCCATCTCGAGTATGTATAATAATAACTCACAAAGATCGTAAATTGAACTTAACAAATGTTTATCTTAAAAATGTATTTGTAAATGATTTTATTTTTTTCATGGTACTGCTTGTTTCATTTCAAGTAGGATTCTATAACTATTATGTATTTGTAAATGATTTTATTTTTTTCATGGTACTGCTTGTTTCATTTCAAGTAGGATTCTATAACTATTATGTGATCTCTTAAAAAAACAATAGCAAAAAATCTATCCTACCAGAGGAACTCAACTACTTAGATCTCGCTGTTATTAAATTTAAAGAGATAATGAGAAAAGAGAATCTAAGAGGATAACACTCAGAAAACCCACCTCACTCACCGTGGCAAGCGTTCAGAACATTCGAAGATAGCAAATAAAAACTTTAAAAAAGCAGAGAAAACAGTGTAGGTATGGCATTCAAATCCAAAGCGATCTAGATTTGGAAGACAGGAAATAAAAGAAATAAGAGATTTGGAAGACAGGAAATAAAAGAAAGAAGAGAGAAAGTAGAAAAAGACGAGAGAAGAAAGAGAAAAGTGTGATGAATGGGGAGGGGATACCGTTCTACTCTGTTTCTCTCAGAAGCTGGATTCTGGCTGACAGAATGTGAAGGCGCAAAAGGGGTGCTGCCTAAAACATTGGCATGGAATAATATGAAGGTGGGTGAGAGGAAGAGGGTGTGAAGGGACAAGGTTGAAGGGACCAACCAAAGAGTCAGATTTGGGTGTGAGGTTGAACTAAACATAGATCAACCATTTATATAACTATTTCTTCGCCATGTGCTTCGCTTTCCCCTCTGTTTCATCCACTTTCTTCTGTCCTTCCATCATCTAATCTAATAATTAATAATTAATACTCACAAACAAGGAAAAATTAAAGTTACCATCAAATAAAAGTTAATGTTTTTCTTCTCAGCACTGTTGTGAACGTAATTATTAATTGCTGCATGACAATTCCGTGTTGACCCTGAAACCGAAAATACAGTGGCCCCAAACGAGTTGCTCTTGTAACTGTACAGAATTTTGGTGCCCTGTATAATCCGTAGATCATGTCTTTTCGAAAAGTTTTTCCTTGTGTTTCCTACAAAATCGTTTCCCGGATAGACAAAAAAAAAAAATCTAGGTTTTTTAAGTTTAAACAAAAGAATGTCTTACGGTAATAAAATATCATGGTTATTTCTATTCAATTATTTAATATAGTAAATAGTTAATATTTTTTATAAAAACATGGCATTATCATTTTATTTTCAAACACTTATATAAATATTTTTTATATTTTATTATAAATCTTTATGTCATTTTTTAATATAATTTTATAGTTTACTAAATTAAAAATAATTTTATTTAATAAAATCCATAGCTATACATTCGTGTAAACAATCTCTTAACAACTCAAAGTAATCATCACAAACATTAAACATAATTATAATGAAATTAGTATTGTATCTCTCCACACAATTATAATTAAACATAATATTGATTTTACAAATTTATTGACTTTTTAAAAGTGTTTTTTGGTATATTTTAATTTAATAAAAATACTAGCATACACATAGGGAAATACATGTTTTCGTTAATTATTAAAAATGACGAACATTGAACGGTAAATAAGTTCGCACATGTGTCTAAAACCACTTAATTCAATCTTTTTTTTAACTAGGGTATCTTGGTACAAAAGATTACGCATGAAGCATGTAATATTATATAAACATCTTTCCATTTAAACTTGTGGTATAATGAAAAAAGATATTTATAATTATTATGATAAAAATGTTAATATCATCGACCATGACTGATGTCTCACATCAACCTTTTGCACTCATGGAAAACTTTATGATGTGGTGTGATTTTTGTGACAGCATTGTACTATTTTTATTTTATTTTATTTTCAATGTTTTTTTTAGCTAAAAAAACATGATCTTTCCCTCTGTTTATGTTGTCTTGGCTTTCTACAAAACTGTATTGTTTAGGGACATAGACTAGTCATTTTGATTGATATTATATATTTATTAATAAGGAATTTGATTATATATTTTCTTTAATTTGTCTACTCAAATTATATATAGTATACGAATGATATTTTTGTCTTTCATAAGTGTATATTAAGTTAACTGCATTATTACATGTTCACCAAACATACATAGTAAATAAAAGAGTTGGATTCTCATTTCCTATTTGGATCTAAATCATGATTAGAATGTGAATATAACGGAGACCACAAGAAACATGTATACTTGTTCATTTCCTAGACCTAGGATCATTATTCAAATTTCACAAACCAAACCCATGTTTCATGCTTCTCATCATAACAATTCAACCACTTTAATCTACTTGAAATAACTGTAAGTAAAAAAAAAAATGCGTTTTTTTTAGTTATATTGATTAGCTTCTTAAATATATTATCTTTTATGCTAAGCTGCATGCAATTTGGAAAATAACATACGCGGAAATTAGACAAGTGGGGTTCGGCAGTTTGGAAATGATAAAGCATACAAATAAAAATGAAATAAATAATAATAATAATTATTATTATATTAATAAAAAAAATAAGTCATTCTCAGCCAAACTCAGATTGGATCTACGTGATCGCGAGCCCGCAAAAGTTGACACGACACAACGCAAGTTTCAAATCAAGTTCACATGCCGACACCAAATTGAGAATTAATCATAACAATATTTTTTATTATTAAAACATATTCTCTATAATTAATTAATCATAATAACATATAAATTATATTTATCATTATATCTTAATAAATTTTAAATTACGAAAATCATTAAGATATTTGCACGAATATTGGGAAAAAAAGAGCGCGAACAGTATGGATGGAAACAAACTAAGCACTAATGATAGCAGATACGAGGAGGTGGCAGAGTGGTCTCACGTAGTCACGTTCATAAATTTGTTAATTAATAATCCTGTCCCTGACGGTGCTGCTTGCTGTGCTACACCCATCTCAGCTTTCTTGATTTTAGTATTAACATCACTCACACCCACGCCATGAACACCACCCTTTTAACAATTCCTTTCTTCTCGAATTCTGTGTGGCAGACACTGTTTAGTTTATTGTATTTTGTTATGCTTTTTGTTTGTGTTCCTCAAAACATGCTGTTCCCATTATATACTAATTATGTGTTCAAAATAATGAAAATAGTTTGAAGAAAGAAGGAAATATAACAAAGCTGAAAAGATGGGAAAGGATATGGCTTTTGACTTGGTTTTATTATTGCCATGTCACTTCTCTTTGTCAACACTCAGACACCGACTTCCTCATCAACTTTTTTTTTTTTTTTTTTGTGAATTACAACAATATTTGCAGAAAATTTATACTTTTTTTCTTGCTTTTATTTTGACATGAAACAGAACATGGTAAGTTAGGAATATGTAGAAAATAAAAGAATGTCGATGACTTACGAAAACACGACGACGGAGGCAAAAGATGGAATTGACACTCTCGTTTATTGTTTATATTCTTCTCAACCAATTACTGTCGGCTGTAAAAATAAATGAGGAATCCTACAAAATACATATAGTTTTTAAATTTTATTTCTGGATTTTTAATGTTGATTATGTGACTCTTGGTTATTATAATAATAATAATTATTATTATTTTGGTTAAAAGGTTTTAAAAAACAAAAGAGACTCATAACTTGGTTTAAAAGTTGAGATTTTTTTCTTTTATATATTTTAAGATGATATTAAAAAGTGTGACATGTCTATCTCGATTTTAAAAAATGATACACCTCCTAATCTTAAGGATGATTTCTATCATATAATTATATTTTTAGTATGGAATTTAAAACACCTATTTATTATTAAAAGGATTTTAATATAGTATTTAATTCAATTTTATAAAATTAAAAATAAAGATTGTATCCTATTTATATATTATAAAAATAAAGGATATGAGTGATCCAATACTAGGTTATTCATTTTAATAATTATTAATAGATAATATTTTAATATTATTTTAATTAGTTATGATATTATATTAAAAATTAAGTGGTATCCGATTTAATCCTATAAAATTGATTTAAAATATGAGATTTGTACCTTATTTATATATTATAAATTAATTTGTAATAGATGTGAGATGTTAATATATTATTTATATTAAGGAAGAATTTTATCATAATAGTAATTTTTATCTTATTATAATTTTTAAGTTAAATTATAGTTTAACTATTAAATATTCTCATGATATTAACAGTTAGATTGAGTATTTGTAATGTCTCAAATATAAATTTAAGTTTTTTATTATATAAAAAATAAGTAAGTTCAAAACATATTATTTTGTTTAGGAATGAGAGCGTCATGACCTCATATTCTTTATAATAATATTATTAGAATTTATTATCATATTTGAGATATTGTCCATTATTACGTATATTATCTGTTTTGAAACTTTAGTTCATCACGAAAAGGAAGAGTGTATATAAATTAGTCTTAACCTCGACTTATAAGTAATATGAGACGTATAAATATACCAAAATGTAGTTCTTCAATCAAGGACTAAGGGATAAGGAGTGAAATAAGACTCTTTGTTTGAGTCACATGGTAAACGTTAATATTTCGTAAAAAAATGAAAGTGTTTTGATTCATGTCTATTATGATAATATTGTTAGGATTTATTATCACATCTGAAATATTGTCTACCTTAAAACTCCGATCCATTATAATTTTATCCTTAAAAGATATATTAATATATTAAAAGAAAATTATATATATATATATATATATATATATATATATATATATATATTACTTTTAATTTTGAGTTCTACTCCATAGGAGACTTATTAGATGAGCGTGCCAAAACTCATATCAATGAAATATACTAAAATTCTTCTACGTTGTGTTATCTTAAATTATTTGAACTTAAAAAAAAAAAAAAAAAAAAAAAAAAAAAAAAAAAACTAAAACTATGCACTTAAAAACCATACTCGCTAGCAATTAAGGGATCCTAACTTTCACGACGGGATAGAGCAGCATAATTGAGACCACTTTTGTACCTTGTCAACGTCCTAATGTCTTACATCACATCTACACCTATAAATATCAATCTTTATCACACAATTACGTGGTTTTGTTTACAAGAATTCACTTATTTTAATATGAACAACTCACCTTGAATGATGAAGTATAAATCCCATTAGTGACAAAATCAATTGTCATTATAACATATACTAAACAAATTATGAATGAGCTGTAATATCAACATTAGTTTTTCATCCAGTACTAAGATTGTATCTTTTATCATTATTTGCTTTGAAAAAAAAGTTAAATTCTAGATCTCTCTCTCTCTCTCTCTCTCTCTCTCTCTCTATATATATATATATATATATATATATATATATATATATATATATATATATATATATATATATATATACATACATTGCTAGCTTGTTACTCTACTTAATCCATACACTTTCAAGAGGTAATGTTCTTGTAAATGTTATCACCATGAAACAAAATAATTTATAGGAAAAGTTTAAACTTCTTATTTGAGTTTTTTCTCAAATCCCTTCCACTATATGTAAAATATCTAAAAAGAATGAATTAGTTAAAAAGTTTATGGTTTTTAATCATTTAACTTGATCAACATGAATAAACTAGTTTGGTTTGATTGGTTGATTAAGTTAGATTTTTATTTATTAAATTAAATCTTTCTAGAAAATTTTCAGCTCAAGACTAAATTGGAGATAAATTGAGTTTGACTTCCCCTAATAAGAAATGTTTGTTTTGTCTAAGTCAGTTTATATGAGGTCAAATTACCAGATTATGGTTGACCACTCCGATACATCTATATAATAATACAACTGAAATTCTAAAAGAAAGTTTGTGATAAGTGTAAAAGGTTAAAACTCTAACAATTTATTTTAATCTGCAGGATTTTCAATTCAAGCATTTTATTATCACTATACATTTTTTAAATATGTGCAGGGATGGTGTTTACGTAAATTTCACTATTTCAATTTATTAAACAATCAAATTCAAATAACTTTAAGAAATTAAGTAAATTTGGATTCAAAAATATATTTTAGGCTAACTTATTTATATGTTCGGCACTTAGCTCTCTCTCTTCAAAGTTTTAGAAATTGGAAACCTGTGTGTCTAAAAAAATCTAATACCGCGTGGAAAGTTCAGCTAGAAAAAGTATGGTGATGTGCCAATTGGAAGAGTAATTGAAAAGCATTACTTGGATAATAAATTAGGGCAAAGTCTCAACTTCCAGGTCCTAGATTTGTCGACAGCAAACAAATTATAGTGAAGTTTTTGGGCTGTCCAAATTCTGAAATTGACCATTGAAAATTCAATCTTCCGAAGCTTTTGTTTCGCAATTACAAAAGAGTTTTTCTAATTTCATAAAAAAAATGGAGAATTTTGCAAAGGGTAGCAGAAGATTCCACCACCGACGTCCATGTTGGGTTGATTACTTTATTCCTTTCTTCAATCATGGCTATTTATTTGGTGTAAGAACATGTACTTTTCTTGCTATGCAACATTTACATTAATTACAGAATCCTGTGAAAAAGATAGGGGAATGTGAGTGCCACATATAGCAATAATAAATTCTCCATTTTCATCAAATTATTGCTATAATATTCTTACCATTTTCTTTTTCACTTTTGCCTTTTATCTTTACCCCTTTTTTGTAGGTCAATTTTTAACATGGTGGTGGATCAAGCTTTTTGTGTGGTCCAAGTATAGTTTATTCTACTCAAATCCAATTAATTAAGCTCCTTCTTTGACTCCCAATTTTTTACTATTAAACCTAATTTGCCACAATCGTTGCATCATGAAGTTGAACCACCCATTAAACCTGATAACTAAATTTTCATACTCGTAAGTGAGTTTTGTCTTTATAAAAGAGAGGTTTGGGACGATTATATTCATTTTAACATCGTGCAAAGTTAAATTATAAAATAAAACAAGTATAAAACTTAAATTAAAATATTATATATTTATAAAATATTAAAACCAATTTTATTTGTTATATATATATATATAGCAAGTGATAAAAAAAAAAAAAAACAATAAATGTATGTTGGAGATGTGAGAAAAGCAATAATAAATAGAAAGTGAGTAATGTGGAACTCTACCAATGTATATTGCTTTAGCATCGGAATGAGGTGGGGTACTTTAGTTAATATACCATTACCCACTACATTTTGTATTATTATTTTCTTCCTCACTATGCACAATAAGAAATCAAATACAAATTCTATTATTTACTAGGACTCATATTTTATATGATCAAATAATTTATATTAAAATTAGATGAAATATTTATTTTTTAAAATCTAAGTTGTATAAATTAATTCAACTCAATCTATAAGAAAGAAGAATTTGAAAGCTCATTATCACACTCTGCCAACAACATATCTCATATGTGAGAAACCCATACACTTTAAAAGCTTTAAGAACAATATGCAATTTTTTCCTTTTTAAATAACACATAAAACACAATTTTTCAATACTAATCCACTAAAATTGAAGATTGAACATATCTTTTAAAAAAAAAATAGATAAGTCAGACTCTACCTAATTCAGGTTCCATTCATGTTAAAATTCTAAATTCTCAAAGTGTAGAACTAACTAACTTTCCTTCTGATATTATTTTTTGTCCTTTGGTTTTAATATTGTGCTGGGAAATTTAAAAACAGAAAAATAATTATGTTTCTTGTTTATGTTGTTCTCTATACCAAACAACCTGAAAGGTAATTTTGCTTTTGTTTATTTTTTTCTTCTCATCTATTTCTTTTACTAAATTGATCATTTAGTTTCTAAAATTATATTAGATAATGAAAATTGTGGAGTTTTGTTCATATTCTTAAAATTTATTCAATTTTTAATTCTTAAATTTAGATTATTATTATCATTTAAGTCACTGAACTTAAAAAACAAGTCAGTTTTAGATAAAATGTTTGGAAGATTTTATTATATTGTTATGCTTTTTATTTTGTTGAGTCTGTTTTATCAAATATGTTATGCTATTTTTGGAAGATTTTATCGTATCAAACAGATTGTAAACATTTATGTTAGTACTATGTTATTTTATTTAATGTTCCACCGAATGAAAATTTTCCGTGTCCTACTTTTAATTTGTATTTATGAATCAAACTTAATATATTAAATTTTGAATTTTATAGATTTTATATATTTATATTCATGTTGGAGGAAAAAAGGTGAAAAAAGAAAGGGTATTCCAAGTTCTGCCCCTGATAGTGACCGAAAACAAATGAAGACAGATTTGGAAGTTCATGTGCGACAAGCAAATAGTTGTCCACGATGTTCCTCCACAATTGAATTCGTGGTTAAAAGTTAAAACTGGTTGCAGGAGAATACTTCTGTTCATTGTTTCAATGACCAAACTAATAAATGTGGCATTCATACCTAAGAAACATCATGTCTTATTCACATTACGTACTATAACAATTAAGTGGTAATAATAAACATATATAAACAAATTCATCAATATCTCAAATATATATATAAAATCAAGTATAATTTATAATATTTTTAATAAAATATCATGGATCATATACATAAGAGCAATAATTATGTTTGCAATTCTTTTTCAATACTATAAGATAAAATTAAATATATTTTCATAAAATTACCAGATGAAAGATTTCAAACCTGACATGTGTGTTATAATTTTATTTTATTTTCAAATGTTTCTACTTGATAGATGTTCTTTTCAGTGTTATACCTTCAATCTTATTTTTGTTTCTAAGTGGACAAATTCTCCTTTTCTGAATTTTGATGTCAAATTTAGAATTGCAACTCATTGAAATGACTAGTGCAACTCAGATTAGACCTATATACAACGAAGATTACTCCATCAAGATATGCTGACATACATCTTTTAAATATTTATTATACTTTCAAAAATAACATTTTAGGTTATGACACCTTTCTCATAACAAACTTTTTATAATGCAAAAAAAATCTCTTCATTAATTATAACAAAAATGTTGAACTTTGTGAGCTTTGATAGACATTCAAATAAAGAAAACTATGACATCTTTGATATTTGGGATTTATTTAACACATCTTAAGGTCACAAATATGTTTGTAACCATTATTAAGCATACTACCATGTGTAAAAAAGGAAAATGGTGGCTATACTCATACCTCTTTGCTAAAAAAAATAAAAAATCATTAGGACAAATAATAGAATCAAGTTTAATATTATTAATTTGTATGAAAAAAAAAAGCTTAATATATCGAAAAATAAATTTTTTACGTTACTTTTTCATTGGATTATAAAATAACCAACTTAAAAAGATGTGATAGTATTTTAAAAGATAATAGCGGATAATTTAAGTTGGTCCCTTCGATGTCCGACTTAAATTTTATGTTTTATTTTATTCAGGGCTTCTTCTTCCTCATGCGCATAAGAGTTTTTGAGTCATTAACGGCGACAACTACCACTACAACACCTTCAAGAATATTTTCTGACCAAAGTGAGTGGTAACAACACCTGTATTGTGTCTCATTTGTGTTGGTTGACATTTATCTTCGATTGGATTCGAGTTTTAGAACGTCATTATTATCGTTGAGGTTAGTAATTTATGTCTCTAGTTTTATATTTAAATTGAATTCGTGATTTTTTTTATCTTAATCATGATATTGCATGAATATTTCCACTGTATTGTTATTGAAATTGATTTGTTATTGTTTGTGATTGTCTGTTTATTTATTTGAGTGTACCTATGATTTATACATGGTATTGTTACGTTTTTACAGTTTATTTGTTTGAGTCTCACATATTTTGTTATTTGTATATATATATATATTTTTTAAATATGAATATGTATTCATTTTTTTTAAGATTATGTTGGATTCGACGTTTGCTAGTAATAGGAGCGAAAGTAGATCTATTACCCGATTGAAGATGATGACATTAAGCCGTGTTGCTAGAGAGAGGACACAAGTTGACGTCGATTCATGTTCTTATAAGGCGTTGAACTCAAATGCAATAAAGTTTAGGAGCTATTTGAGACTCTTAGTTTGACACCATTTTTCTATTATTATTCCATCTTGAAATAAACTCATATAAATGTGACTATTATGATGTCATGTACTAAATGAGAGTTATAGTTTGTACGAGTATTACTGATTCTTTCAAAAGATAATCATTTTAGTAATAGTTAAATTTATTTGTTTTTATCGAGTATTTTATATTAATGACACTTAAATTATTGCTTCGGATATTTCAAGATTCATCACATTATCTAAACATGATATTTTACAAATAAGGAAGCAATGAACTAGGTTCTTTGTACAAAATTTATGATACTTATAAACTTTGTAAATATAGTTCCTCTTATATAATTTATGAAATTTTATTATATTTATTCGATATTTTTTTTTAATGTAGTTTGATACATATTGATGTACTTTAGAAATTATATATAACTAAGTTGTATTCTTGATAACTGGGTTTGCATATATGAATATTTTTTATACATGTTTTGATTGTTAAATAAAAACATTGTATATTTAAAAAAATGTCAAAATTTACATCGACCTAGCACCATCCAACATAAATTTATGTCTATCATGGATAAAGCAGATATAAATTTACATTTAAATTTTGACACATTTTTTAAATTTTATTAAACCTTTTTACGTTTGATCCACTGTACATTCGATATAAATTTACATTAGTATTTATATTGTTGGACCGAAATTTACGTATATTAAAAGGGTCAATATAAATTTACGTCTCACATGTTAACTACGATCCTTATTTTTACTTAGAAAACAAAAAATAACATATAGAATACATTGACTACCCTAGTGATAAAAATCATGTGTAAAAATCCATAATAAAATGACTAACTAAAAAATAAATTAGCACATTTTGACTTATAAATTATAATTTAAAACATTTAAACAAATAACTTATTATAAATTGAAAACCCCCTAAAAACTAACATAAGAAAACTTTTAAAAATTTTGACATAAACTTGTTTTAATTTTTTAAAAAAATCATTTCTCTTAAAAAAATTATATATATAAAAAAAAAGTTAATTTAACACATATCCATAATAATAACTTTTTTTTTCTTCAAGGTTTTTTCTAAAGACATGTTCCATTCATAGAGATTTATCAATAAAATTCTCAATTTGAAAGACATATGTAATGCAAATGAGATACACACTTTCAAAGAGTAAAATGATAGATCACTTAGAAATTCGTGGGAGAAAAAGTTAGATTCAAATGTAAAGGACTACAAATAAATGGGCTCACATGGGTGAGTGACCCTTGGAGACAAGTATGTGAATGCAAAGACGGTGTAGTTAATTAAACGACAGAGTTTAAGCTAATTAAAGAGAGAAAGAGACAAAACCACATGTAACATTGGCATGTAGTTCACGTGCCAACTTCTTCCTTGTTTTCATTGAACTCTTAATTTCCCTTTTTTCATTCTCCTTTTCCTTCATATGAACCACTTCCCCATGTGCATGCATGTATTAGTCATGTGAAAAATTAAATGAGAAGATGAAATTAATTCACAATGGATCAAACCACGTACACTTATGAAAGATATCGTTTTTAAATTATATATGTAGTTGAAGGTGAGAGCCACATTCACCTACATTTCTACACTTACAATTTTTTCCATGACCTACGAACTATCATTGGTCCATGTCTTCTATGATTATTCCATGTCTACGTCCTCACATGAATATGTCATTTTAAGTACAATTTTTTTAAAAGGATATAATTCAATCCTTTATTGTTTTTTTTTTTCCATTAATAATTACTAATTTAATTTGAATCAAAACAATATCATCACTCAAAGAATTAAGCCATTCAATTTACAAATTTTATAAGCTATATAGCTTATTCATTTCATGAACAAATAAAACTTGTGTAAATTTAATTTAAAAATTATATAATTTTAGTCATATATATCAAATTAGTTCACGAACTAAACCAATCAACTTATGCATAATTTCAATTCAAACTATTTATTTAACCAACTCCATTTTCAGCTCATTTAATTAATGAATTAAGATGAATAAATTGATTATTAGTCATGTCTGAAATTAATTCTTACACTGTTGCCCTTGATAATCAATCTAATACAGCTTTAAAAGAAAAGAGAAGAAACCCTTAAGAGTGACTTTTTCATAGAACTCTTTTATATGAATGTGGGTAGGAAGAAAGGATAGAGTGAAAAGGGCATGTCCTTCGCTGCCACAGCCAAGAAAATTGCTTCTTCCATGGATTTTATTGCTGAAAACGATAGGAATTCAAACCTTTTGTGTTACATCAAATAAAACAAACACAATTAATTCAAAGGATGTTACAGATTTACCTTTGGGCTTTGTCGTTGTTCACTTACTGTATCACTTGAAATTATTGAAAAATTAAACTGAAATAAAAACTAATACACGTCTTAATAAGATAATGAAATTATTTAATACATCTATATTTTTTTACACATATAAGTATGCTTGCATGACCATGTGTATAAACTACACATATATAAAAGTATTAGTTTATTCATTCCCATTCAGTATTTTGAAATGATTATTTCACTATTGAAAAATATATTCCATAAACACCATTTCGAAATATAAGATAAATAAATACATTCCGCATATAAATAAATTGCACATAATTTTTGAATCATTATTCTAAATAAAACATAAAAAATACATTTTAAAATCGCTACATCAACACATGTAAGATGTATTAAAGGATTTATCAATTCAGAAACAACTTATTTTGTTTCAAAAAATAAATCGGAATATATACAAATTCCATACCAGATTTGATAGATAGTCAAAAAACATATCTAAAAATGGGCTAAATGTGAAGAAAATATGGAAAATTCATAGTGTAGAAGTAGAATAATATTGTGGGGTACCTTACTTATATACATTATTTATATTAATTATATTTATCGCTCTTTTATAGAGCAATAGGGTCAAAGTATTAACCTAAAATATGATATATTTTCAAACATTAAATGCAATGGCAATAGACTGCAATGCGCTTCAACAAAATCTCAAAATATGGAGAAGATAATAAGACAAACTGGAATATCAGAATTCAATATACGATTCTGCACGCAAAGTGCTGCATGTCTAAATTTCTTTTCATGTTATACATAGTTCACAAAGCTTTTATCTACATTAATCAATTTTATTAAGATATCAGTTGATCATCATTGTTCAAAATAGAACTTGAATTGATTTCTTTCCCATATTTATAGATCAATAGCACACGCCAGCAGTTGAAGACGACGATCCAGTATCCGTCACAGGAAGTGACAATTTGAGGACCATTCCTTCAGCACTGCAGTGATTGGCCCTAATATCACCAAGCTTCTTGGGACTATAGTCTTCCATGCGGCATACTGTCTCTGTTCTCAATTTTCCCATCTCAGCAGCGATTGTTTTCAGCCGGATACGTTCAGCTCTCGAGCCAATAACTTGCCCGAGAATGGATGCTGCAATGGTCAGTGCCATAGCTGATTTAGGCATCACCACTGATTTCCGAAGCATGGTGATAAAGGGAACAGCGGCATGCACGGCTGCAAACCAAGATAACGAGAATTTCTTGGTATGTTCTTTCCACATGCCAAAGGGCACGTTAACTGCCATGCCCAAAGCTGCAATAACAAGCATTTTTGCAGGAAGAGGCTGAGGGCGCAAGTTTTTCACAAAGGCTGTACGGGCAAGGGCAGCCCTTGCGGCAACAACTGCTGGTGGACATTTAAGCTTCATTCCACTTGGTGGCCGAAAAGCAGTTGCAACAAGAGGTAGAACGTTGCTTACAGCTCTGTAAGACTTGGCAATTGGGCAATTTCCGTTTGCCAACCATTCATTTCCAAGGGCCTCGTGCTTTGAAACATCTCCCTTCTGGAAGAAGCTCACGAGAGAAAGAAAAAATCCATGCAAATAGAGTTTTGAATGTTACTTAATCTAGCTCACATAATTAGACAGCAACAGGAAATGGAAATCATAATTGCCGACACTGATAGCAAATTATTGCTAATCAGATTGGTGTAAATGTATCAAAATATAGACAAATTGATTATTGATGCTCTTGTGCGTACAATAACAGTACATTTTTACTACCAGTAACTAACTTCATGATGAAATGCTAATGACACAATGGATTTCCTTCAAACAAACAAGCTTTCAAATGTGTGTGAATCATGAAATAGGAAAGTAGAAAATAAAAAAATGTTTACCTGAGATGAGTGTTCCTTTTTATTTGATGATTCGGAATTCTTCTGCTTCTTCCATTTCTCGGAAAAATTCCCAAAACTAAATGGGCCTCCTGGTCCAAAGGTTGACAAACTTATGGTGGCAGCTCTTCCTGCTAAAGGGTTGAAAACAGGCAAAGAAACAGCTGCTTCTGCACTGTCACCGTGAAAATCAGATTTCTCAGACAGGGGAATCACCCCATCCTTCCCATGAAATAGCTTAAATGCCATGTCAAAACTGGGACCATCTTCAAATATAGGACCCTTGGCTCCATGCACCTGAACATTGAAAATGAAACATATTGGCTCAAATTTGAACTACTAGGATGCAAGATTGGTAGAAAGGGCACAAAGATGAATAGCTTACAGGAATGGAGGTTTTGGCTGAGGCGAAAGAGAAATTTGTAGGTTCATTGATGTTCCTTAAAAACGGGCACCTTTGGATGTCTTTCATATCAAAGGGGCACTCATATCCATCACCTTTCATTCCTTTCAAAAAGAAATCCATTGTTTTGCTTGCTGAAACAATTTCTTCTTAAAACAAGGAAAAATTTATAAATAAGGTGACATGAAACCAATCATATTAGCGAGAAACTATGTTATTTTGCAAGGAACTAAGTTCACAATCACATAAATCCACATGCCATGAAATATAAGACAGAAACGAAAGATCTTAAAGGAGTAAATTTGAAAACAATAAAATTATGCTGGTAGCAACAATGAATCTATTAAAGAGGGAACAAAAACTTTCAAGGGAAGAAATTGGATAGATCTATCTCTCAATCACTGATTTCTAAATAAACAACAAATTACATATTTCTTTGGCTACTTGTTGTCGAGAGAGAAACTATGTCAAAAACAATAAAGCTATTACTACTGCTTCTCTGTAAATGTGGGAAACTACATCCCAGATGTGGAGCCAAACATTCTGGACTAACATGCTTTGTAAACCAAAATGAAGCACATTTTTGGCCACAAAGAAGCTAAAAGTAAAAAAGGAAATTATATCAGAACAGAATCCCCCACAGTTCATTTCAAAACCGCAGGGTGTGCAGTCTTAGCTTCTCCGAATGTGAGAAACTACATCCCAGATGTGGGGCCAAACACTCTAGACTCGCTTTTGGGGCCAAACACTCTGAACTCACATGCTTTGTAAACCAAAGTGAAGCACATTTTTGTCCACAAAGAAGTTAAAAGCAAAAAAAATAAAAAAATCCAGATAGATCAGAATAGAATCACCCACGGTTTATTTCAAAACTGCAGTGTGTGCAGTTTACAATCCCACCAATAAAAAATATTAAATTTAATTATATAAGATAGATCTATATTTCAATAAAATTAATCAAAGGTACAAATTGAAGCAGTTACCATAAAAAACTGTAGACAATCTCAATTCAGAAGAAAAAGCTAGAAAAAATAAGGTATCATTTCAAAAGTGTCCCTTCTTCACATCAAGGGGAAAATGTCATGGTGTGACAAACCAAAAAATAGGTTCTACACAATACACAAACACATGCACAGGTTAATAATCATAATTCAAAATTATTAAGGCAAGTCAAATACATACCAATCAATCAATTACAAAAAGTAGGAAAATGCAGAAATTGTGAGGGATGAAAATACTGATAAACTTGAACCCTAACAAAGCACGAATCAGTTCCCTCCTCGAATAAATGATGAACACAATTGAATAGCGAGAAGGAAACTACGCCAACAGAAAATTGAAAAACGAAAGCGTTGGAAGAGAGAAAGGAAGAGGAAGAAGAAGATACCGTAACCAGAGAACTGCTAAGACGTGTGGCTGCCACAGGCACGTGTGAAGGGAAGACACGAGTTTTAAAGAGATGAATGAAAAGTGCCTTCACTACTGCATTCATTTTGTGGACCTCATTCAACGTTTGACTTTTTGGAACATTCTAGTCATTATAATTAAGAGGGAACAAATTCTCATCCTAGGGAAAAGAAAATCCTTTTTTTTTCTGTTATTTAATTATAAATCTTTATATATGAAGATTTTATTCAATTTTATGATATAATTTTTTTCCTATTAATATTGTTTTATTTCCTTTGGATTTTACAGCAAAAATATTTTTTGAATTAATTTGACAACTAATAATTTTGTGTGATACACGTATACTCTAACTAAATATGAAAATTAAACTCATTTTTAGAGGAGATCCATCTTTCGAAAAAAAAAAAGTTTACCTTCTTTGTTTAAAAAGTTGAGATGTGAATGAGATGGATAATGTAATTTTTACTTATTATTTTTTTATATTTAAAATTAAATTTTAATATTTAAAATATTTTATTATATTTTTATATTTAAAATTAAATTTTAAGAACTAGTTTATAACTCTGAGTACGGTTAGAAAAGAGTCGGAAAAAAAAAGTGGAGAAAAAAAGTCTGAGAGGGATCGGATCAAGAGATAAAACCTTCTCTGTCCCGTCACATCCATTCCGTTTTCATTCTTAATTGTAAGTAATTTATCACTAATATGTATTATTTTTAACATTGTGTAAATATTTTTCTAGAAGAAATTAAACAAAAAAACTTATTCAGTGAAAAGTTTTTATATAATAAATATATTAATTATTAATTAATTATTTGAAACTATTTAATATTTTAAGTGTAATATATTTATAGTAAAAAAATTAATTAAGATAAATAGTAAAAAAAGTTTCTTTTATTTTTACTGGGTGGGAGGTTATTCTAATTTAACAATCCTTTAAAAGAGTAGTCTTGAATTTAACCATTGTTGCATTGCATAACAAATACAAGCTAGAGTAGTTGATAGAAAATAAGAATAATTATTTCTTTTAAAAAAAATTACAACTACTGATAATTAATTTGAGTTTTTATTCTTGAATACAAATATTTCTCATAATATATATTTTTCTTTGTCTTTGTGTTAATTTTTTTATTCATTGAGAAACAAAAAACAACAGTTTAACCTAAACTGTCTCAAGAAATGAGGATAGTTGGGTGAAGAGAAGGAAGGGACATCCAAAGGACATGGGGTTTTATTTGATATTTTTATGGCACGCTGTTTCACTCGGAAACTAACAAAATTTCCTGCGTCAACGATCTTCATTTCCGATTCCCTAATCGATGCTTCAATTACGTCAGTTCAATTCCAAGTTCCAACTCCAAAATACTCACTTTATTCAAATTTTTTGCTTTTAGATAGAAATTTTTATTTTTAAATAAATAACGTTTTAAAAAAAAATTGTATTAATTTTTCTTTTTATTAATTATGCTCTTATCTTTTAATTATATTTATTACAGATAGAAAATAATAAATTAATTGAGTATTTTATTTTGATTGGAGAAAATATTAAGATGATATAGATATTAATAAAAAAAATACTAATAAATTTATTAAAATTAATAATATTTATATTAATTTATGTAGCTAAATCTTAAAAGTTTTATATTTTAAAATAAAAAGAAAAAAAATTAACCACAATGCTAATTCAAAAATCACTTTTGACACTTAAAAGTTTTCATTTTTTTTGTAAGAAAAAAATGACATCAAAATATGTTAATTAAATAACTTCGTACTTATTTTAATATTTAAACAAACTAAATATACCTAATTTTTATAATTTTAAACGATTTTCCTTTTAAATACATTTTATAATCACATTTAGATTTATCTAAATAAAAAATTGACCAATTTATGTTTCGTACCTTCAAAATTAGCGAAAAAAACTATTTTTTAGTATTTTAATTAAATGCTATCGTGAAAAAAAATCAAGTTTATTTTAATTATATACAGTGAGTAGTTCGTTCTAAATTGTCGTAAACATGGGAATAGTACGTTACAAGGATAATTAAGGAAATCTTTTTATTGGTAATACTTATATATTAATTAGAAAATCATTGATTAGGACTCTTCTGTCTCACCGTAAAGGTTACGATAATTCTTATAACATTATGAATGAAAATGCTTTTAAAAATATCAATTATGATCAACGGCATCACCTGAAGGGGAAAAGTGGTCGAAATCAACAGACATGGTTTGCACGTTGCATCGATAAACGTCGCATTAATACAACATAATTATGTCCTGTCTATACAGAGTTAGGGTGAAACTGCTTATATTTTTCAGACAAAGAGGAACTAGAAACAAAACTAAAATGAGCTCCAAAAAAGGCAAGAATAAGGGCTTGCCAAATTTCAATATCCTCCAAACTGTTGCTTTTGAGCAATACCATATCTTCCCTGCATTGCATTAGTGCTGCCATATGATCCAGTTGCTGCACTGGAACCAGGACAGTCTCTTGCCCAATGGCCAGGTTGATGGCATTTGAAGCATTCACCAGAAGCACCACCACCCGGAGCACCGTATGATGCCCTGTTTGAAAAGCCCCCTCCTGAAGACTGTCCAGGGAGATTTCTAATATTTGGGCAAAGCATAGAAGTATGGCCAGAGCCTCCACAGTTGGTGCATGATGTATATGCACCAGGAGCACCTGCTGAATTACCTTGTTGGTTTCCATACTGTTGATTCACTTGATTTGCTGGCTTACCAAAATATCTACTGCTATTAGTGTTTATTGGGTTATAAGCAGATGACATTACTTGTCCAGTTTCAACACTTCCAAGTCCACTATTACTGGAGAAAGAGTTGGGTACGGTGGTAACACCTTCCGATTTCCCAGTCATGAGTTTATCAATCAAATCCAAACTATCTCTCGATTTAGATGCATAGTTTACCTTTTCTGCTTTTACTACTGTTGACTTAACGCGTTGTTCATCACTGAATGTCTCCTCCTTTACTTTCAACTTGAACACATATTCGGTGAAAAGAATCTTCCGGATGATTTCAGCAAATCTTACATCATCTTGCTCTTCATACTTCAGATAATACAAATCTTTTGCAGGCATGCCCATGATCTCCTCACCACTCTCCTGGAAAGCAGTAACCCATGTTACACCAGTGTGATCCATTATCTGGAATGACAGTATGTACCTATAATCACATGCGTCAATAGATTGATTACACCTGTCACAAAACCATTTTCCATCAGCATTATTAGTAACTTTTTTATTACATTGCCTATCTCCAATCATGATAGGGCATCCTGGGTAACAAAAGTAATCTAACTTCATGTATGAAAGAGTTGCACAGACAGATATCCAATCAGCCTTTTCTGAAGTCCCTAACTTCTCGTCTTTAATTTGAGATATAGTCTTCCTAATTTCATTCTTTGCAAAATTGGATGTTTCTCTAGAAATAGAGAGTGTTGGGCCATTCTTCCCTTCATTTTCATACCATCTTTTCAGTGTGTAAGCCTCTGGAAAATCAGGCTCTACAAACAGCAGGCTAGTCATTATAGTCCCAACAGACTTTCCATTGAAATCATTAATTCTGACAGTTTTTGTCGCCAAAACTGGAAACGTCCCTTCATCGCAAATATTTTGCAGTCTTTGTCCTTCCACGTTGCAAAAATTTCCCCACAAAGTTAACTCTACACTTCGGCCAGACATGTCTTTCAACTGGAGGGTTCTCTTCTGAGTTTCAGTACCATTTTTTCTCATGATTGAAGCTGTAGGACTGATTGAAGTCACCACACCAATCACATCCACAATGGTGTTGTTTTCCAAACTTTCAATTTCGCTAATGGGGCGAAAATTAAAAGTCTGCTTGGGAATTGTGTTATCATCATCAAGGCATGGCTGTATAGTGGATGTCATATCAAGGGTTAGCTCTTGATCATTGGGGAGGTGATTGAAATTCTTCTGAGCTGGCTTTACGCTTCCCCTGGAAACGAGGTATACCTTACCAGCTTCAATTACATTATAGAACTGATCAGCCACACTATTAAAGCAAGTTGCCCGAATTTGTCCACCATCAGAATCCAGAAGGTCAAAAGAAAACACCTTGCCATCACCACGAGCATTGTTATAGTGCCTGAGTTCTCCCTTAGCTGTTACCCTGGCTTTAATCGTCCACATATTCTGATAAGGATTCAATGCCGCTATTGGAATTATCCTGGGGGGAGCTTCATTTCTTCCAATCGGCCCTCTGTTAGTGTACATTGGAGATGGCTGCCGATACATAGGCTGAGGAGGACGAGCATAAGAGTTTTGTAAGGGCCTTGTAGCCTCAGATTGGGGATGACGAATACCAGTGTTCTGATCACCATAAGAGCCACTGAATGATGCTGATCTAGACAAATTAACTCCAGGCTCTACTTTAGGATATGTAGGAGGTGCATTACTAGAATAACCAGATCCAGAGTTGGAAATACTAGAATATGCACTACTGGCAGGAGGATTCACTCTTGGTTGATCTGGAGATGCTGCAGCCACACTCGGTCTACCAGTCACGCCACCTGAGTGTGAACGGTTATTCAAAAGTTGTGAATTTCCAGGGGTGACTCCTGATTGACCATTGCCAGATTCTGCAGTTCCATCCTTTGGCAATGCGACAGGTTCTCCAATCAGCTCACATTTTTCCAGTACAACATCTAGGTCAATGATGACAATAATCCTGTTAAAAAAATTAGAGATCCAAATCATCCACTAGCCCCCGATATGAAAAGAAATACAGCTATAATTAACACGCAAAATTGTCTCCACTGGGCAGTAAAGCACTCAAGTAACCAACAGAAGCAACTGAGGATAACATTTTCCTTTCACGAAACTATACAACCATCACAAAAATAACCACCCATTTCTAAAAATCCTTTCCTGAACCACTCAGATTATCAAGTCTTCAAAAACACAAATGTAATACAGTGAACAAAATGTGAACGATCATCATCTCTAACTATCAATTAACTTACCGAATTAACATCAAATGCATTAGCAATATTATATATCAAAATCCACACTGGAATGTAACATATGCATTACATTAATGTAGATTATAAAACATCAGAATAAAAACCAAACCAAAGCACGCACTGGGACTGATTTTTTTGGTTCTGCAACTCACCCACAATTGGTATTCAGCATTCGTCCACAATATCAATAACGGCCAACCCAAATTAAAACCTTTACTACAAACATTCAATGAAAATTCCAACGGCTTAAAACCCATAATCGCCCCAGACACATAGCTGAAAATATCTAAATTCTACACCCTGACATAGTATGCATTTCACCTTTCCTCCGAACGAAATTTCAACAACCCAAAAACACAAAATCAGATAAAAAAAAATATAGAAAGACAAAACCCATTTGGCAAGAAGTAGAACTCACTTGCGGTTCTGAACATCGTTACAGATGAACTGAACGAGTCTAACAACGGAACCTTTCTGCAACCTTCCGGAATGAACCAGGTCATTCATCTGCGTGGCGAGCATGCCTTGCTGGTAAAAGGAACCATCGGAAAGAACCAACCGGTACCTCTCGGTGTTACTGGCTTGCTGCGACTGCACCAACTTTAAATCTATAACCTGTAGCACCGGTTTCAAACCACTTGAGCAATTGGCACCGCATATTTCCTTTATCGCCCCTGGTGTCAGAGACCCTGCCATTGTTGATGTCTTCTTTTTCTTTTCTTTTTTCTCTTTCTTTCGATTTTTGGGAGAAATTGGGGATCGAGAAGAGGAAGCCCAAGGGAAATGGAACGAATAGATCGCAGAGTGGGAGTGGAAGGTTACGGGAGAGAGTGGAACCCTAGCAGGATTGAATAATTTAAAGAAGGCGCCATAAGTGGTTCAGTTTCGAGAGTGAGGGAACCGCGAATTGCGAGTGGGGGAAATTAATTTCGGAATGGTTCACAAAGGGTATTGGGATTTTCTTAAATGTCGACCGTGCCCCTGAAGATTGGTGTTTTGTGGAAGATACAGCCTGCAGGTGTGTAAGTGAGAGAGTCTTCAACAAGTTATTGTTTTTAGGTCTCATTTTTTCAAATTAATTGAGTTTTTAAATTAAATTATAGTAGAATGTTCGATGCTAGTTTCTTAAATCTTCATGTTTTTCTTTTTTTCTCTTTTCTTTTTAAAATGTCTTAGTTTGTTTGATTCAACTCTACATTTTAATTTTTAAAAATAAAATGTTTAATAGTTTTAATAATAAAAATCGTGATTATTGTTGAAAATATTAATATAAAAATTAAAAGATAAAATATTTGTTATTAATTTTCAAAAATTAGTTTAGCAAAATAATTATTATATTTTAAAAAAATATAAAATAAAATATTATTTATAAAAATAAAAATTAAATAATTTTTTTAAATACGATATGAATATGAATCTTAGCTTCTTACATTTTTATTTATTTATTTGTAATAGTTCTATACAATTACCTGTCAACTGTCATCGTTAAATGCATTCAAAATATTAATTTAAGATAGTCCATTATATTTTTAAGTAGGTAAATACCATAATATGTTTTTCTAGGGTTCATAAAACTAAACCTATGAAAAAAATTTGATGCACTAAAATTTTATTATATTTTCTAATGTATTATTTTTTATTGTAAGATTGGATTGAATTTTAAATTAATGATTAAAACTAAAACAAATAATATATTATATTAAATATAATATATCATATTTAATTTTAATTATTAATATATATATGTATAATTATTTATAATTTTTTATGTAATTTATAATATTTTTATTAAATGTATGATATCAATTTGAATTAGAATTTTTAAATTAAAATTTATATAATTTATTTGCATAATAAAAATTAAAATTATGAATTTAAACAGGATAATATACTTTTTACAATATATTTCTTTATTTAATAAATATTTATTATAAATTTGTTAATAGTTTTACAAAATATTTTACAATTCTTTAAAAAAATGAATTTATAATTTAATAATAACAAAAATCACAAAGTTATAATTGTAAATAGTAATATAATTTAATTTAAATTTGTATTAAATTAAAATCAGTGATGATTTATTTTAATAAAAAATAATCAAAATAAATTACAAACAATCCTGTAAAACTTAAATGATACTAAATTAACTATTAAAATTTACAATTTATAACCAAATTTAATAAATAATGATAATTATTACATTTTTACGTAATCATTCATTATTCAGTGTCTTAGTGAGATTTTTTTTTTTTTAATGTGTTTTGATTTTGAAAATTTTGATTTATGTAAAATTTAAATACGAAGTACATGACAAGGATAGTATATAGACTCTTCTGTGCTATTTGTTTGACCATTGGACGAATGAAACCCGTTTGCCATTACCCTATAAATATCTCATTCTCCTAGTGCATTTACACCCGAAACCCTTTCCACCGATCACCGGTTAAATGGTTCCGACCACCGGTGACCGGCATCAGCACTACTTTCGTTGAGGTGAGACCTAGCTCTTTTCAGATTGATGGATCCTTCTGATTCTCTCTCCCTCTCCCAAGAACAGGAAGCACCCAAAAAAAACGGTGTCGTATTTGTCATACTGCGATGTGTTCTTGCGATTGTTTTCCCTTTCCTCTTCCTTCTCTCTATTCCATTTCTGGTAGGATTGCTGGTCCTTATGTTCGCAGATTTCTCTATCCCCAACCCCATCTCTCTCCCTTCACAGTGCAAAATAGTCTCCACCGGTTAGTTTTCTTTTTTTTATTTGTAATTTTAATTCAGGAAAAAGTGTAGAAAATTTTGAAAGCTGAAAAACCATGTATGGGGAAAGTGGGTTAAGTTTTTTATGTTGACAAACAATTAAATGCCAGATTACTTAATTTTTAGTTCAAAAGGTAGTTTTGGTTATTTGTTTTATCTTAGATAGCAAAAGATGTATTTGTATATACTCTTGATAATTAGTCTTTGAATAAGTAAATGACCTATGAAGCTTTCAAGTGCTTGATTTGATTTATGTTTTTTCTATTCTGATTTTTGTATGATTGGTATAGTGTTTACTTCAATGTTAAGATTTTGAGATAATTTGAAGTGTTATTGCTTATATTACTTCACACTAAATGTATGTCATAATTATTTTACAGGTGTTGATATTAGGTCATCTAAGATTTGTGAACTTGGATTGATAAATTATAAATCAAAGGATGTGTTTCAGCATTTTGAAAGAAGTAAATTTCGCTGCCGCTATGATTACTATTGGGCTTCAGTATTCAAGGTTATTATAACTAGTTGACTTTTTTTTTTTTAACAGTAAAACTAGAGATTTTATGATTTTTTTTTTCTTTAAGATCGAGAAGGAAGATAAAATATTCTCCCTAGCAATGACTATGCATTGGAAAATAGTGTTGACAAACAGGTTCTTAGTGCAGTAAAGCTCTCAGAGTCATATCACCTGGCAAGCTGCACTGGAATTTTCAGTCTTTCCTCTCGGTCTAAATATGTTAAAGAACTATAGAAATTATTCACTATCTTAAGTTTCTTCTGCCTTTTCTCCTCTCAACCTTTCTAAAATTAATCAATATAACTCCTCCTAAGTCTAAGGATATATCCAACATCGATGAATAATTCAGAACAATCTAAAGAGGGAGCTGTATTTTTGAGTTAGAATTTCACAATTTTATTGGTAAACCGTGGTAAGAGTTTCCTGTGGTATGCGAACCTGTGCCTAAATGTTCGTGTCAATCTTTTTATTAAGTGCTTAATTGTTAGACTTTTTAGTTATTTACATTTTAACACTAAATAATATCTTTTCTGATCTTTCTCACATTCAAATATAGAACATGCTAACTTATCTGACGAATAATTCATTGTGCATTATATGCACACAGTTCATATATGGTCTATTTTTTAATGGTTATGATGACTGGAGAGTCAGACAATACTTTTGGGTAGCTATAAAGAATATATATTAACTCCTTTCAGGTGGAATATAAGGATCATTTTTCTGGTCAGACACAAGTTGCGTTTGCTGAGGCTCCAAATGAGGCACTTCCTCTTTACTGTAGGCCTAATTTTGGTGCTGCATGGCTGACACAATATAAATTTAAGGTAGGGTTCTCAACTTGTGGCCTTTGGTACTATACTAAGTTGTCAAGCTGAACTGATAATGATGTCGCTTATAATAAAGATTGAAATATTAACAAGTTCAATACCGTTTAAAATATTTTCTAATTTTCTCTTCCTGCTTTATTAGGTCAATGAGACTTATAATTGCTGGTACACATCTGGCATTTCCAAGGTTCGGTTACCTCAAGATAATCTTTTTGGTTGTGATGCCCACCAGCAGTCTACTCTTGAGAAGAGTAAACAATATTCTACCATGTGAGTAGTCTATACTATTTTTTATAATCTACCAAAATATTTCGATTGTGCATTTATATTACTAAATTAAAACGGGTATGTAGAATGAGAATGCGGAATCTAACATTTCGAAGAGTTCTTTGTTCAACTTTTAGTTTGTTCTTTGATACATGTCGAAGAAATAATAGAATTTTGTATATTGCAACGCCAATCTCAGACCTGTATCAAGGTGATGGCAGGTTCTGAATGCAAATGAAAATGAAGGAACAAAGTGGTCAAGACAATTTGAGAGTGCTCATTCTTTTCTGAAATTCCCTACTCCGGAATAATTTTGACCTCCTTCACACCATCCCACTGCTGTGGTGTATCCTCCTCCACAGAATTCTCATGTTCCCCAGTCTGCTTGTGAGCTCAGCTGCTAGTTATGTAGGAATTGATATTGGATCCTCTCTCTCTCTCTTAGCTATGATTTCCTCATTTTATTATTTATTCACTCTAGATGTTCCTAGAGTCATACCATTATTACTTAAACACTTCAAGACAAAAAAATATCCACACCCTCTATGCAGTTGTTTATGGTCACACTCGTATGTGTAACCAGACATACCTATTGAAAGAGGACAAATAAACTTGGACTTCATAGTTTCAATTGATTAATTAATGATAACTCCTTGATATACCTAAAAAAACAAATAGAGAAGAATCTTTTTTTTCCCAATCAGTCTTTAATTGTGTATAAAGACAATGAAATTTGGGTTATATCATTAAACAAACCTTGTTATAAATAAAATTTGAATGAGTATTGAATATGATTTTAGATCGTGATAGTTGGTTATAGCCCCCAATCTATCTTCCTAATTGGTGCTTCCATTGCTTCAATGACAGTGAATATAGACAACATAAATTTATAATTTGTATGTAGTGTTTCTTTTATCAAGATAATATTATGTTTGAGCGACATTTCATATACATTCATGTAGTTTAATTACAAATACATTATTTTTATCAACAATAATTTATTTGTATGAATTTTGTATCAGGGCGATGGATATGGCAATTTCCTGGTTTTCCAATAGAGGAAGGACCAAACATTGGAGGTGGGAAACTTTAGCTGGAATTGTAACTGGGTTCTTAACTTCATTGGTCTCCATAACCTTCATTAGGTTCCTACATCTACTGCTATCTTCTATATATCAATCTTTCACAACATGGATATTTTCTTGGCGTGTCAATGTTGTTCTCATCAGGCGCATCTGTTTTCTTTTGGCATACTTATCTTTTGTGGTTTGGTTAGCTATAGAATATGGGAAGAGACTTGGTCTCATGGACATATTTAGTTTCCCTAAATTATAGAACTGATTTTTGTGAAGAGCAATGTCCTTGTTGCAGAGTCCCAATGATTAATGAGTGTCTTAACGAAGTCATGTATAGTTCGAGGAGGGGAGGGGAGAGATTAAAACTGCATTAGTTTGCAGTAAATGGACTCATTTACTATTATAGTAAAAAAAAAATATGTTACGCTTAGTTCAAACAGTAAGTTTAGGAATAGTTGTTTACATAGTTGTATCTCATATGTCCACCTTAGGATCTGGTCGAAGTGCTGGTGTGAGTCACCTATGCCAAAATGTTGTAAAATTCATTACTGTAGCATTTTGGTTTGTTGGAATGTTTTTGTCGACGAGAGAATGAAATTGAATTACCATTTATTTTTCATGTTTGATGTGAGTTCATGAAAGAAAAAATGTAATTTAACCTTCCACATGTTAGTCATTTAAAAGTCTATCCCCAAAATCTAGATAATCTTCAAGGTTAATAAATTGTGAAAATGAATCTTATATTACAAAATTTGTTAAATTTAATAAATTAAGTCACATAGCAATGATACATGTACCTGATTAAAACACCTTTCTTTACTCAGACATACGTCAATTATAGAAAACTGCAACTATCTGCTCATTCTTCAAATCTTCAAATGTATGGTGCAAACTGTATCTGTTCGTCACTTATTATTATAAGTGGGAAATAATAAAACTCTTTTTGGTCATTAAAACAAAGAAATTTAAGTTCTAAAAAATATGTTTAGCAGAAAATAAATATTAAGGAAGATGAGCCAAAATAAATTACAGTGAATTCGTGAAATTAAACACAAAACAATATTTGTTTGTTTATTTTTTTTCATGTTAGTTTTCCTCTCTTTTTTATTACATTTGTTTATTTTATACTGTTTTTCAAATACATAATATATATATATATATATATATATATATATTATCAATAAGATAATAAAAATAATTATATTTTATATGATAAAAGATGATATTAATTTATAAATAATGAAAAAAATAAAGCCTCCTTTACATAATTAGATTTGGTAAATACTTTTTTTAATTAATCTTTATTAAAAAAAAAACTAAAAAACTAAAAAACTAAAAACAATATTAAACAAGATATGTGTGTTTACACTTGGAAGTCACAACTCATAAAACAAGTCCCAATATACAAGCACATTGTTTAACTAATGTAGATAACTCAGTTCACTTAAATTTACCATCCAACTAAATAATTTAAATAAATGGTTTATTTCAATTCATAAAATCTTTTTTTAATTCCTTAAAATTCTTCTGAAAGAAGATTATGCGAACAAATATTTATTGATCTTCTATGTATTTAAATAAAAGTATTATTATCAACGTTAACATCGGAATATACGATTATATTAAAATATTTTTGTTCATTATCTCCTATTATATATTGAATTTGAATATATAAATTAAAAAATTGATTATTTAATTTCAAATGAATTTATTTTTAATCTTTCCCTGATAAATAATCTGATTCCGTTTAAAAAAACAATCTAAAATGTTTTATGAAAAAAATAATATTATTGTGTTTACATTACGTGTCTCACAAATGTTTCACCCAAACACTTTGTTCAAAGTTTCCTAATCCCAAATACATTTTAAAATTTTAAATATTATATTATTATTATTATTATTATTATATTTTGTTATTAATATTATTATATTTTACTACTGATATAACGCACGGAATATTTGGCAAGATTAAAAATAAACAAGTTGTATTCTATAAATTCTCATTCCCTCTTAGTCAAACAAAATTCTTCGCTGCACTCATTATCTTGTATTGTAGCGGCTGCTTCTTTCTTCAAGGTTTTTTCTTCTCATTATTTTGTTTCTAATCACATTCCTCTCATAGCTTCTCATCGCTTCGTATATTTGTTGGTATATGGATCATCTGATTGTATTTTTCAAAGAGTTCGATTAATGTTTGAGGGGAAGGATGTGTGATTTTTGTTGTGTTCTTGAATGATTGATTTTTGTTTTGATTTGACAGATCTTAGTTGTTTTCGAGAACTAATGGGTAAAGAGAAGGTTCACGTTAATATCGTGGTCATTGGCCATGTGGACTCTGGGAAGTCAACCACCACCGGTCACCTCATCTACAAGCTTGGAGCCATTGACAAGCGTGTGATCGAGAGATTCGAGAAAGAAGCTGCTACGGGTGCTTGACAAGCTCAAGGCTGAACGTGAAAGAGGAATCACCATTGACATTGGTCTCTGCAAGTTTGAGACCACCAAGTACTACTCCACAGTCATTGATGCCCCCGGACACAGGGATTTCATTAAGAATATGATTACTGGGACATCCCAAGCTGACTGCGCTGTTCTTATTATTGATTCCACTACAGGTGGTTTTGAAGTTGGTATCTCTTGTTATATTTATATAAATTATTATATAATTTATTATTCTTAATTTGTTATGAATTAATATTAATTATTTATAATTATTAATTATATCATATATCATTATTATTTTATAAATAATAATTTAATTTGAAATTTTGATAAACGTTCGTGATGAATGAGATTGTTTATAATCAGTTATTTGTTAAGAGATTTTTTGTCTTTGTTGCTAAATGTATAAAATTGATATTTATTAGGTTTTCAGTTTTAAATGAAACAATGTAGAAACACTTTCAATAGTAACATAATAAAAAGAGAGCATTATTCTCTTATATGCGTTTTATGATCCTTCAACGATTTCAGGATTTGTGTTTTATGATCCTTCAACAATTTTGGATACATAATCTGTTTACTCTTTTGAATATATTATGTTTATTGTATCTTATATTGTTATGTGTATTAATCATCTCTCACATGAGTTTGACCATCCTTAGAGATGATTAATGCATGTATCAATATAAGATACAATAAACATAATATATTCAAGAAAGTAGAAAGATTGTGTACTCGAAATCGTTGAAGAATCCATAAAGCGTATATGAGGGGTATTGCTCTTTTTCTGATAGGTTACTATTGAACATAATGTAAAAAATGTTTCTACATTGTCTCACTTAAAATTGAAAACTAACTAATGGGGTATTAGTTTTATGTACCTCTCAGCAGAGACTAGGGATCTCTCAATAAATAACCGATTATAAACAATCCAACACATCATGATCATCACAAATCTAAATTAAGTTATTATTTATAAAATAATAATGATGTGTAATATAATTGATAATTAAAAATAATTAATTTATTGATTAATATTAATCTATAACAAATAGAGAATAATAAATTATATTATAATTTATATAAATACACCATTTTCCCACTTGGATAGCATTAATAAATAAATTAATTATATCAATTACAAAATAAGCATAAGTATCAATTAAGAAATATAAATATGAATCACAAAGATAATATCCGATAGAGATGATTACCCTATGCTTAAATTAAAAAAAAAAAGATGATAAATAAAATAAAACCAGAAAACCATAATAATATAAAATATGAATCTTAAACTCTCACTAACCCAGTACATCAAAAGACTTAATCACACCCATACAAGTTATATGATTTTGAAAAACTTTAATAACTAAGTCTTTAGTTAGTAGATCTACTAACATGTTTTCTGTACCAGTATGCTCAATTCAAATTTGAAAATCCAAAATTTTCTCTTTAACAAACAGAAAATTTATATCAAAATGCTTTGAGCGATTAGAACTTCTGTTGTTTTGAGAAAAATGTACGGCAACAGTGTTGTCACAATATATCACAAGTGGCCTAGAAATACTTTCAATAATTTGAAAGCCATAAATCAAATTTTTAAGTCACACATCTTGACAAGTAGTTTCATAACAAGCAACATATTCTGCTTCCATAGTAGAAGTAGCTGTAAGAGTTTGTTTAACACTCTTCCAAGAAATAGCTCCTCCTGCCAACTTAAATATAAAGTCAGAAGTAGATTTTCAATCGTCATGGTAACCAGAAAAATCAGAATCAGAATAGCCAATGACCTGAAATTGATCAGACTTCTTGTAGGTCAATATGTAATCCTTAGTTCCCTGCAAATATCTAAAGACCTTTTTAACGATTTCCCAATGATCCAAACCTGAGTTGCTCAAGTATCTCCCTAAAGTATTAACAGCAAAAACAATATCGAGACAAGTACAAACTTGATCATACATTAAACTACCAACAGCAGAAGCATATGAAATTTTTTCCATTTCAACTCTATCATTATCATTTTTAAGACATTGAGATTTAGAGAGTTTACCACCTTTTTGAACAGGTGCTACACATGAGGAGCAAAAATGCATGTTAATCCGTTTGAGGATTTTATCAATATATCCTCTTTGAGACAATCCAAAAATGTCATGTGACCTATTACAAAAAATCTGAATGCCCAGAACAACAGAGACATCACCAAGGTCCTTCATATCAAAGTGGCTATTTAACATAGACTTTGTCTCAGTCAAAAGTTCAACACTGCTACTAGCAAAAAGAATATCATTAACATATAAGACAAGAATGATGAAGCGACTCTCATTTTTCTTCAAGTAAATGCATTGATCCGAGACATTTTCCTTGAAGCCAAAAGAAGTGACCACCTAGTCAAATTTCAAATACCATTGTTTAGAAGCTTGTTTCAGCCTATAAATAGACTTTTTCAACCTGCAAACCAAATGCTCATTGCCTTTTTTAGCAAAGCGATTAGGTTAAACCATATATACTGACTCAAATAAATCCCCATTAAGAAAAGTTGTTTTGACATCCATTTGATGAAACTCCAAATCAAAATGAGCTACAAAAGTCATAACCACATGAAAAACATCCTTAGTAGAGGCCGATGAGAAAGTCTCCTTAATCAATGTCATCCCTTTGATTATAGCATTTTGCTACAAGTTTGGCTTTATATCTCTCAACTTTTTCATCTAAACTACGCTTAGTCTTGAAGAATCATTTACATCCAATTGGTTTACGACCAAGTGACAAATCCACAAGATCCCAAATTTCATTATGGGCCATAGATGCTAACTCATAATGCATAACATTTAACCAATCAAAACCATGAGAACTAGATATAGTCTCTCTAAAAGTAGCAGGATCATCAACATCATTAAGACCATATTCATGCTCTGGAAGATACACCTGATAATCATCAGGTATAGAAGACTTGTGTAATCTTCAAGATCTCCTCAAAGGAACTTCTTTAGCAACGTCATCATGAACTTGTTCATCTACTATAGGTGATGTAGCATCAACAAAATATGGAACAGAATCATTTTCGTCACGAACAACTGGAATCACATTATCTACAAGAAAAGAAATGGATGGTACAGGAACAACAACATGCATGTCCAAATCATCCTCAAAGAATATTGCATGGTCAGACTCAATAACCCTCATGAAGTGAGAAGGGCAGTAAAATATGTTACCACGAGAACCGACACAATAGCCAATGAAGAATCCACTGACAGTCTTAAAATCAAGTTTTTTCAACTGAGGATTATAAGGTCTCACCTCTGCCTTACAACCCCACACATGAAAGTATCTTAAACTTGGCTTCTTCTCAGTCATAAGCTCAAAGGGAGTCTTTGAAACAGACTTGCTAGATACTTGATTAAGAATATACACAGCAGTCCTTAAAGTGTCTCTCCAAAGGAAATTCGGTAAAGAGGAAGGACTCAACATACATCTCACCATATCTAGAAGAGTATGATTCCTTCTTTCCACAACACTATTTTGCTGAGGAGTACCGGACATAGTATACTGAGGTTCAATACCACATTCATCAAGAAATTTAGCAAAAGGTCCTGAATTTCTTCTAGTCTCATCACACCTGCCATAATACTCTCCACCTCTGTCAAACCTTACATATTTTATCTTCTTTTCAGTTTTCAACTCAATAACAGCTTTGAAGGACTTAAAGCATCCAAGGAACTTAACTTTTCTTGTAGGAGATCTATCCATTCAAATCTGGAATAATTGTCTATAAACATGATAAAATACGTATATCCACCCGTAAAAATGGGTGTGATAGGTCCACACACACATATCAATATGAATAAGTTATAACACATCATCACACCTGTTTGTACCTACATTTGTTACTCTTGTAATAAGCTTGCTGTTAATACAATCAATACAAATATCAAAATAGGAAAAATTTAAATAATGTAAAATACCCTCTTTAATCAACCTCTTATTCTAAGATCTAGAAATATGTCCCAACGTCAATGCCGCAGATATGAAGGGCAAGTAAATCGTGCAGGCTGGTCTATCAAGAAAATTCTATCATTATGACTACGATAAATGGTGTCTGCTTGTTGAGGCTATTATTTTTGGTGTAGGGATCGTTTTTTCCGTTTTTGTTTCAGGTCTGCTCCCTCATCAAGCAACCTTTGTTCCCACAACTGGGTGCTTGATCGGCGGTGGCAAGGTTTTAAATTTTGTTCTTCTTTATTCTTAACTATTGCAATATGTTTTTGTAAAAACAGTCACAGTTTTGTAAGAGCAGGGAGTTTTAGGACTAGTTCTATATATACTGTAGGTTTCGATTTTGAATATCAGCTTTTATATATTGTTCTTATTTCAGATCTTTGGTTATGTTTCATTTGGTATTCGGTTTAATTTGATTTCTAATTAAATAATTATCCAATAAAAGTTAAATAATATTTTATTTAATTTTAATTTAATAAAAATCTAAATTAAATCAATTTAATAACATTCACGATTCAATTTGAATTATTTTTTTCATTTTTTTATAAAATTATTAAATATTTTTAAAAAAGTATAAAATATATCTAAAGAAATATTTTATCAAAAAACTGTTAAAATATATAATTTTATATTATTTAGTTTGAATTTGTTTATTTTTATTTTTTTAATTTAAAATCTAAACTAAAATGTTTTGTTTGTAAATTTTAATTATTTAGTTTGAATTAGTTTAACTTTTAATTTGAAATCTAAACTAAAACGTTCTGTTTGTAATTTTTAATTCATATCCAACCATTTGAATGGATAAAAATATTTAATAAAATTTTAATTTTGATTCATTTTTAATATTTTTATTAATTTTCTAAATCTGTTTTCCGTAGTTTTTTTTACCAGTTCAACGTATATTAATTAATTAGTTTTTTATTTTAACGCTTTAGTTTGATCTAAAACAGCTAGAGCTTCTTCTTTTTTATGTTTTTAAATTTTCAAAAAATGGATCTGATTTACTTTTTAAAAATTGGAAAATTGTTATAGTTTAAAAATATAGTTTACACTCACAAGTGTACTGATTCAAAGATTGAAATTGGGATTTGAAAATATTAAATTAATTCTCTAGTTTAGTGTTTCACGACTAAAAACATATTTTCTTCAAACTTCATTAATCGGATTTTTTATTTTATTTTTAAATATTAAAATTAGATTTATAAAATGTTTAAAAAAATATAAGGGTTTATGTATTAATATCATTTATTCAAATAATTTATAATAAGAATTATATTAATTATCGATCATTATAATTATTTTATGCATTTTCTTTTAAAAACTATTATGATATAATAGTGTAACCACATGAGTTAATATATGTCTTTATCTATATGTCTTACGTTATAGTTAACTTCATTTCTAATTATCATTTATAACTTCATTAATAGATATCAAATCTTTCATCCATAAATATATCCATGATGATCAATTTTTAAAAACATATTTAATATTACAAGTAATTTAGTTTAATTATTTTTTTAATTCAAATTTCAAACTAAACTTCCCCTGAGTTAGGAAAAAATTATTTGAAAAAATTCTATTTCAGTTTTCGAAATTTTTAAATTATTGTTTATTTTTCATATTGATTTTTTATTATTTTTTTATCTATTACATTTTGAATACTACTATTTGTCGTTACACACTTTAATATTATTAATATTTTAGTCATATCATATTATGAGATAAATGTCCAGAAATTTTCAATAGAGAAAGTGTTTTAAAAATAAAAATAAGTATTTTATTATAAATCTTATATCTAAGTTGTTTAAAATTAGAAAAACAATTACTTATATAAATAATTTTAAATAAATTTTAAACAATTTATCTATAAGAATTATAATAAAATATTCATATTTATTCTCAAATACCAAAAACTCCTAAATATTACAAAATTAGTTTTTCGGATATTACTAAATTTTTACGTGTTACTATGTAACGTGGGAGCAAAGATTGTGTAATATATTTGTGAGTTTGACCTGCAACTACATGAATAAGAGTTTATTTTTCTTCTAATCTATTCATTATATCTAGGTTGCTAAGGAATTTTCAACTCGTTTCATTGTTCAACATCTTTTAACTTATCAACTATTTGGCAGTGTGACAGATGCAGTAGCCATGGATGGGTAAGACTAAGAAAGGCTTTTTGTCTGGAATCATTGGATGTTTCTTACTGATAACTTATTATTCCTTGGATTTATTTTCCAGCCTTATAAATAAGCTGCAATTGGCAAATGGTGTTTGCTGATTGACTTCATGATGGTAATCAGATAAAAGTAGCAAAAGAACAACAAGCACTCCTTTTCTGAAGTCATCCAATCCAATTACCAAATCTGTATAAACCTATCCAAGAATAGAAATTTCACCATCTACCAGTCTCCAGTACCTCATCAAAATGAAGTATTTTTCTCTAGCGTTACTTCCTTTTGGTCTATACTTGTCTATACTCAACATTTGCTTGCAAAATCTTCGTCTCAAAACTCAAGTGCAGGTTCTCACGTTAGGTGCCAATTTTTGGATGAGGATTCGGATGTTTTCCTCTGGTTCCTTTGGATGAGTCGGGGAAATTCATGGGTGGCTTGTTTAATTGGTTAACATCTACTGTTTCAGGTGCTTGGGTTATAGTTTCTTCCAATTTTCTAGAGGAGTCTTATGTAGAGGTTTTGGAGGCTGATGATGGAAGATTCACTGATTAACTATTTTATTATCTTTTATTTAAATTAGATATTAAGATATTTTATTATCTTTTAAGAGAAAAATTAAAAAGACATTAAGTTATTATTTTAATTTAGGCAGTTATGATTGAGATATTATTAATATTTGATATTTTGTAATATTTTTATTCTATATATACATAGAGTATATGAATAGAAATATACCCACATGATATATCAAAAATACATATACACAAAATACTAAAAATTCTCAACAAATTGGTATAAGAGCTTTGGTTCAACACAATGGAAGGAGAAAAAATTTTTTCACAAGTCGCTATTCCAATTTTTTATGGCGAAAGTTATGACTTATGGGCTGTAAGAATGCAATCATATCTTGAAGGATTGGATGTATGGGAAGCTATAGAAGAAGATTATATTGTTAATCCACTGCCTGAAAATCCCACCATAGCTGAAATGAAATTTTACAGAGAAAGAAAAATGAAGAAGGCAAAAGCTAAATCAAGTCAGTTTGTTGGTGTTTCACAAATGATCCTCACCATAATCATGACCCTAAAGTCATCCAAAAAATTTTGGGATTATTTGAAAGATCAATATGAAGGGGATAAGAAAATTCGAGGTATGAAAGTTCTAAACTTGAGGGAATTTGAGATACAAAAGATGCAAGAGTCTCAAACAATTAATGAATACTCAAATAAATTATTGGGTATTACTAACAAAATAAAATTGTTAGGCAAGGAATTTTCTGATTCCAGAATAGTTGAAAAAATTCTGGTAACTGTGCCAGAGAGATATGAAGCATTTATTGCTTCATTGAAAAACACAAAAGATTTGTCTAATATTACTTTGGTAGAAGTGTTACATGCTTTACAAGCACAAGAACAACGAAGATTGATGAGAAGAAATTATGCTGCTAGTGAAGGTTATTTACTATATCATGATGGAGGTTATGTCCAAGTCAAGAACAGCGAAGGTACAAAATCACGAGTCTTTTTTGTTTGTCCTTATTGCAAGAAAAATAATCACACACCCAACAAGTGGTGGAGACCTGATGTGAAATGTCACAAATGTGATCAATTGGGACATATAGAAAAAATATGCAAATCACAACTAGAGGAAGTCGTTCAAGTTATAAAGTGGAAGAAGTATTTCTCCTTGCATCAACATGCTCTACAATCAACAAATCCACAGGTTGACTTATAGACAGTGGTTGTACAAACCACATGACTCATGATCGAAAACTTTTCAAAGAGCTCAACGAATCACATATTTATAAAGTGATAATTGGTAATGGAGAAGAAATGGATGTGAAAGATACGAGAACAATTGCAGTTAAAAGTCATTCGAGTATCAAATTGATTTTTGATGTTTTATATGTTCCTGATATAAATCATAATTTGTTAAGTGTTGCTCAATTATTGGAGAAAAGTTATAAGGTGTCTTTTGAACACAAACTTTGTGTGATTAAATATACAAATAATTTAAAAATATTTAAAATTCACATAAAAGGAAAAAATTCCACTTTAGATTTAATGAAAGAAGAGATAATTACAAACGAAGATATAAAAGAAAAGTCAAAGAAAAAACATGAAGAAGATTTCTTGAAGGAACTTGATATTAAGGAGGAAAATAAAGATGTAGATGAAGAAACCGTTTTCAACGTCCATCAAAGAGTCAACCGTACTATCATGAAGAAGTTTGAAAGAAACAAAAGAGATGAAATAGATAAAGGAAGAAATATGTTGATAAAGAAAATAAAGTTGAATGAAGATGTGATCTCGTACAAGAAAGAAAATGGTAAAAAGTATAAATAAAAAAAGAGGAAAAATTATAAGCAATATAAAAGGAAAAATATCAAATTCAAATAAATAGATATTAAAATAAAGTGGAATGTTAAAAATATTATTTTATTATCTTTTATTTAAATTATGTATTAAGATATTTTATTATCTTTTAAGAGAGAAAATAAAAAATATTAAATTATTATTTTGATTTAGATAATTATGATTGAGATATTATTAATATTTAATATTTTATAATATTTTTATTCTATATATATATATATAGATATATAGATAGAATACATCAATAGAAATACATTTACATAAAACCATAAAAATTCTCAAGAGATTAATTGCTTCTTTCTCGTAGGGCACGTTTTTTGAAGTTAGGATTATAAAGGATTATGGAAACAAAGTCTTGGACCAGATTGTTCAGATTTTCTTGGATGAGAAATTCAGGAATATATCTTCCAATCATAATAATGTCTAGGTTGATAAATGCACTCAACATAGAATCCTTGGAAGCATACAGATTCTGAATTAATGACCAAGGTTTAATATACCAGATCCATATCCGTTAAACCGTTGTTCTTGCCTCTAAAATCTTGATTAAGAGTTAGGTTTTACCAGATACATTGTCACACTAACAATTTAGAGATCCAAGCATTTATATTTTACCAAGAGAATCCAGAGGTTCACTATCAACCATCAATTGGCCTGAACTGTGTCCCCCTTAAGTTAACTAGGGTAAGATTTTTTTGACATAGCTTGTCTGAGGAGGATGAAGTAGGGAAACAAAACATTAGATCTTTCCTGTTTCAGAAAGAATTCTTTCAATCTCTTCAAGGAGACGCTCCTTTTCATCTGCCAAGTCTTCATTCTGCTTCTGAAGGTCCTCTATCTGCTTTGTTTGTTCAGAATCCTTCCTGAAAATTTACAGTGCTTGAGTTCAATATATCAAATTTATTTAGCCCTTTTGTAAAGTGCATACAAAGTTTAAGTGCTAATAGGAAATCTTGTGGTATGTATACTAATAGGCAATCTTGTGTGGGATAAAATGTGTTTTAATTCCTTCAATTCTCAGTCAAAACTAAATTTAGTCTATATTTTTAAAACAATGATTTTGGTTCTTGTATATTGTTTATAATTGGTGGATTTGGTTTCTCTGTGAAATTTAGGATCTTAGGGTGAGAGACAACACTAAAATCATATTTGATTGACAATTAAGGCAATCTAGACACATTTTTACACTAATAGTGACTTGATTTTGATTACCTATTCATGAAGGACAAGTTGAGTTTGAGTGATCGAACTTCCTTCTCAAGGGTCTCACACCGCTTCAAAACAGCTTGCACGTCAGAGGGAACTGATGGTGTCAAATTTCTTTCCTTTGCCTCAGCCATTCTGCTTCATAATGTTATCATAAGAATAAGATTTAAAGAAGTTCAAACTAGAATCAAATACAATATTAGATAGGAAGAGATTATCTGTTTATTTCCACATACTTCCTTGAACGCTCCACTCTACGCTTTTTTGTGGTGTCCCCTTTTTCCTCTGCACAATCATTTGGTAAGAGGGACATGGTCAAATTATGAAAAGAACAGCTTAAAACTCATCACTTTCTCTACATTTTGTCACATGGCCAAAAAACATAAAATTCTGTTTGACATTGATCAGAATGTAAAATTTGCTGTCAAATTAAATCTTTGAACTAATAAGAGAAAATATCTACACTGCAAGATTTGAGCTGATAAGTATTAGCAGAAGTGTTCACTGAAAGAAATAGCTATTAGCAAAAAAACTATTACATCTGCTTACTAATAATCTTGACCTAAACTTTCTAAGATTAAGGTAGAAAGCTTCAAAACGGGTCAAGAAATAGAGAGGATCAAAGTTCTAAAGTAATCTTTTGAGCATAATAACTCCATTTAATATAAAATAAATGGCTACCTGAAACAGCTGATGTTACAGATCCGTATCTTTCTAGACTTCTCCTCTGCACAATTAACCAGATTAAATCACATGTAAAAAAAATGTTAAAATCTCTTGGTAAAATCGCAATTGTGAATGAAATAGATTGCCATCTAAGAATAGGTTTTACCTTTCGATCATCTTTTATATTATCCATTATCTGTTCTCTGACACCTCCATTTCCACAAAAAACACATAGTTTAATAAAAATAAATGAAAATAGCTAGAAATTTAAATAATCAAGAAAAACTTCATTTTGACATTATATGATTTTTTTTAAAGGATTTAGACCTAATATGATACTAGTGTGCTATGTTTGATTGTATAAGAAATCTGAAGTAATTAGGGTGGGAGCTTCAAGTTAGTACTCGCTGTTTTGCTGCACTGATTTTCACATAAAATATTACCAAATTGAACTGATTTCAATTTCCGAGCATAATGTTCCATCCATTTTACTTTTTCCAAAACTTAATGATTCGACAAGATGTTAAAAGTATGGCTCAAAATGAGGCAAATATATCAATCTTTTGTTGACTTCATACAAGTGGAGGAAAAATTAAAGAAATATGACACAAGAAGTGCAATAATCAATGATTTAGGTAAACTAATGCAGCTACATCATCAAGTAATATTTATACCTTTGACTCTGTTTTGAGTATTTTCTGAACTTCTACTTACTCCCACTTGTTTCCACGAGCTTTCACAAAGATTTTGATTTGAATTGCTGGGACCTTCGCATGCATCCAGACCAGAAGAGATTACTGGTGCAGCAGCAGAGGATTCGCTTTGAGATGGTTCTCGGGAAGTATTTCCCACATATGTTTGGTTTGTTTGATTTGCAAAACCATCTGAGACAAAGTAAACTCCAGGATCCTTAATTTGAACAGTAGAGCCCCCTTGAACATTTATTAGCTTTTGATGATTCCAATGTTCTTGTTCTTCATTAAACCCAGTTTGGAAAAGTGGTTCTTGAGGATAAAAAAGTCCATTTAAGCTATCTCCTGCAGCTTCTTTCTCAACTTGGTTTCCAAGTCTCTTGCGTTGTAATGTACCCTTTAGCATACTTACACAAGATGAGACTTTATCTGCATTAACCAATTGATGAGTGTGGAAGGTAGTTGAAGATGAGTTTGAGGGAGACATGAATGATCCCTTTTGGCTTGGAAGCTCACATACAGTAATGTGATCAAAACCATTAAAATTTGCAATTTCTTGTTTTGTAGTGTCCACAACATGTTGAGGGGCCATGCTCATTGATTCCATTCCTTGTTTGGTTTGAGCATTTTGCATTTCAGTATACCTCCGCCTGCAAATTAGTGGTTTGAAATTTTCTCAAACAAACAAATTAACTCGCTACAACAATGAAGTAGAAGTAAAAAAAATTAGGATCTAATACATAACTTCTGTATGGATGTAACTATGTAAAACCAACAGATGAACTAACATAGTGCAAGGTGAGAATTTGAAGTGCCTCTTGTAAACATGATTTGGAGGAATACAAATATACAGGGTGTGGTAATGGTACCTCAATTCAGAGGACCGGCTTCTTGTTACTCTTTGATCACTTAGAAACCAGGCCTGCATCAATAACTAGACATTGATTGACGATGAAGCTATGAAGCTTTGTTAAACTAAAGCATTAGCAATGAGTTTGGCATTTACAAACCTTGGCCAGAAACAGGTCACTACTAGATTGTGGTTCTCTATTAACAGGATCTCTGAAGAAAATTGGCAGTCAGCAAGGCAGTAATATTGAACAACTTTCTAAATCATATAATTAATTGAATTGTTGACAAAAAAAATCACAATAAAGATAATGAGGAAGAAAAAATGAAGTCCCATGAAATAAAATTAGGTTTGCAAATATTTCATTTGTATAGCCGTTTGAGGAAGACTACAACAAAACAATTACCTGATTGGAAAATTGATGTCACCTGAAGCATCATTGGCTAAAAGGTTATTTTGCATGTAAAATTTGTCATTGTTTCTTCCGTCCGAAGCTACATTAACATGTTGCTGATTAGACACATTATTTGCTAGTTCTGTGGATATCCTGCAGTTACAACACAATCACAATATCAAAACAAAACACGTATTAGGACTTATGCATCTGGTTCGTGTATTTTCCCAAGAAAATATATAGTTAAACTTAAAATTATTGAAACAATGATTCAATAAAGGATCAAAAGAAAAGCCACAGTCAATTGCAACTGAATATCTTGATTAACACTATCATGATTGATATACCTAGTTTAATTTTGAAATTCTCACAATTAATACTTATAAAATGTGTTACTTGCACTAACATAGTTACCTCTTTGATAATCGACTGTTTAGTCCCATGCTTGATGAATTGTACCCCTGATTTTGAAAACAGATCAATTGATTGAAAGGAAATGTAACCATAAATGTAGCATATGAAACATAAGATAAGAATTATCCAAGGACATGTTCCATAGTCAAAAGAATGCCTATAGTATATAGCATTAATGTAACATCATAAAAACTCAGACGTGCCATAGTATTGTCTATTTGCAGAGATCACAGCAGTATTTAAACTAGACAGTAAGGTCAACCATATATCATACTGTTAGAGGAAAATAATTCCACTCTTGAAGAAGAAAATTTATGTGGCCTGGTGTCCAACCCTACATGACATAACATTCTTTAGATAAATCAAAATTGCCTTTCATTTATTGGGTTGAAGCATTTCACATGTTAAAAATGATAATATTAGTTCATTTTTTTGTTTGCTCTGCTGGGTTATGTTCAACTGGTGTTTCTTTAAGTCTAAGGAAGGAGAAAAATCAGTGGACCTTGATGCTTCAATTAAGATCCAAAATAAATCCTGATTAGTCTTTAATCTTTACCTTCTTCACGACCATTTGTCATGTGATATTATCTGTATCCCTGTATTATTATTTAAAGACAATACCAACTAAGAACAGTTTTTAGAAGTACTTTATTGTTATCTGAGGATAACAGCCTTATTTCACTGCAAAAAATCTTATCAGGATAGAAGAAGAGAAGGATCAGCAAGATGTGAATGGTTTATTCTCTAACCTACCGCAGCTTGCAGCTAAAAATAAGCAATATGCACGTAATATATCAACAAGATTCATGAAAGGTAGTATGCTTAATGGCTACAATATGAGCAAAGTATAGGCACACACTTTCAATTTGATAGATTAGGTAGTCTTGTCCTCATTTTAAAAATCAGGGAGACTAGGATTCGTAATTATGGATAAACCTTAGATGCAGTTCCCTAGATAAATTTGTTTTTAGTTTTCAATCAAAATTAGAGTTTCACCTTAAATAAAAAATTGCATTAAATATCAACATAGATTACAGAGGTAAAAATCTAATTCTGACTGAAAGACAACACCAAAAGCACATAAGGACGTGCATCTAAGTCCTGTTCTTAAATTATAGAGGATGTAGTGTTTCACATATTCTCTTGGTAGGGGGTGATCATGAATGAAACCCAGAAGAGTGTACTCAAGTTGCTAGATTTTCCGCTTCCTATGCTCCTCTCATAATCATAGTCATATATATGCTCAAATATACCCTAGACAGAATTCAGGAATTCTTTAGAAACTTGAAAGGAAAATATATATGTCAAGCAAACTGATATTAAGCAAATTTCCTGCTTTGATCTTGTATTCATCACAAACAAGAACATAAACAACAAATATCAAAGTAACATGGGTCATATATAGTGGCTTGCCTCTCCATTTGTTAGCCAACGTTTAAAGAGCTCCTCACTGTCGGTGCGGAAGGTTTGTGAAACAGTCTTGAAACCCAACATATCCATGGTAGGCACTGGCATACCAATAGGACTCTCCATCACTGTCTTCAGAAACAACTCCTCACTTGAATTCTTGTATAAGCCAGAAAACCCCCTCCCTTCCATTTCCATGTGCCTCAGGTCAACACTTGAATTAACTGCTTGATGCTGTTTTCAACTCGAGTTTGGTTGAGCCTTTCCGGTTTCACAACAAAGCTTTCAGCTGGTTCTCTGTCATATATCATAACACCATCCTCCAAAACCAGAGGAATAAATAGTCTACTTCATTTTTCAGACGTATATATCACTCCGAAAATTCAACCCCACAACCCAAATCTTTAAACTCTGTCAAAGTAGCAAATATTACTTTAAGATAGGAAGAAAAGAAACGAAAGAGAATTAATGAGTATCGGTACACATGCAACAAGGGAACAGGTCCCTGCAACAATTAACACGTGAAACTTCACAAAACCACTTTTATATAAAAACAAACTGTGTTAGGACTCAGCATTTACTTTGTTCCATGGCAAGCCTAAAAGTAAATTCTTTGTCTCACTAAATTAAGTAAATATCAGAACAGTGGCATCTAACAGTGAAAAAAATACTCTAAAGATTCTGTGCACCATTCATTTGTCTCTTGTGTGCAACCAAAGTGAAATGTTGCGGCGGTAAATGAAGTCAACGGTTAGAAACCGCGTGGAAGTTTAAGGGGCAGGTTTAAAAGTAAGAAAAGTTTTTAGCTTTTGAAAGAAGCATAGGGAATCATTACATTAAAATAATGAGGATTTGGTCATCTTCTGTACTAAACAAATGCCACAGGTGGTGCAATTGGAAGAGGGTCGTGTGAAAGGGACATTGAGGAATATTCATTGGATTTTCTGGTTTTAAAATTAGAAGCTGTTGAGATGGCGCTTTCATTGTTGGCTAAGCACTGCAGCAACGTTTCCTCAACTCACATTCATGAAGCAATTCCCTTTTAGAATGTGAAAATCATTGCTCAACTGGTTACATGATAAAACTTCAAAGTTCCACCATTTCACATGATTAGTTGCCCCATAAAGATTTACATTTCAAGTTTTATGTATATTCGCCTTACAAAGTTGCCATTATCATCACTTTTGTGAGAGCTTCAAGGTGATGTGTAAAAATAAAGAGGTAAGTATAAAAAAATCTAAGGTTTAAACAAGTTTCACATCCCATTACAATTTTTATTATCACTGTCTAATAAATTTTTCTTAAAAATATAATAAAGTTAAACTTTTTGTTTAAATATTTTATGTTATCTCCTTCAATTATACGTGTTATGTGTTTGTTTAATAAAAATATATGTCATATACGAGATGAAATCTAAAAAACTGAAACTAAGTTAGGAAAAGAAAAAAAAACTAAAAATAAGAGATGAAATCTCAGTGAATATCTTTCTTTAGAGACTTAAACTGAAATTTTGAATTTATTAGGTATCTTGCTGAAAAAATATATTTATCGAGTATTCAAAATCAAAATATATGGAATTCTTATAACTTAATTAAACCTAAAATTAATTTATACATAAAAAGAAATTGTAAAACCTCTGTCGTTTTAGTTTTTCCAAAATATATATTATAGAAAAACTTATTTCACCTTTTCTTCTTATTCTGATATTATTATAAAAGTGTTTATGAAAAAATTTATTAAAACTTCCTTTGCACAGTAAACACATATACCTTATTTTCTTATTTTAAAAATTAGTTCATTCTTTAATTTATGTTTTAATCAATAGGAATAACCTTCTTCACTAATTGAGAACTCATAGTTTAGTTTTCTTTTAAATATATTTTTCTCTTAATATATAATAAACTAAGAATTTCATGCTTAGATAATTTATGAGAATCATTTATAATTATAATTGAACTTATTGTAATATAATTTTGTTAGGTTTAAACAAGTTTCAAGTATCTAATATATAATAATTTTTGTTTTGAATGCACCTTTTTTTTTTCAAATTAGGTATCAAATAAATTATAAATTTTTATTTTAAGTTCCTCAAATTATTTATATTTAGTCTTTATTGTTATTATTTGACTTTTTTTTACTAATCTTGAAACATTTTAGGACTTTTTATTGGTCCATTAACTTATTTATATTATAACAACCGATTGTTTTCCCACAAATGGTAATGTTTCTTATCAATATAGATAATAGAAATAATTTAATTTTTCAAAATTCTAATGCATGACATAATGTAAAATATTTAATTTATTAGATATCTGATTTAAAAAAATATTGGATACTGAAAATAAAAATCGATGATATATTATAAATCTGAAAGTTATTTAGTTTTTTTTAACATATTATAAATAATAATTTTATCTTAAGAGATAAAAATTTAATATGTTTTATATTTTCATCTTTGCGCAATTCAAAAGTAATATGAAAGATAATTTTATTTAGAATATATTAAATACATCTTTACTAATACTTTACACTATAAACACATAAATTTATAATGTAACATTAAATTATATGTATTTACCTTCTTTAAATAATATTCTATAAACAAAATCATTTTTAAAAAAATTAATATTTAAATTATTAGTTTTAATATATTCAAAATAAAATTAAAAACTAAACATAAGTAATATTTTTCTATATGTAATTATCTTATTCATAAAAAAGTAATAAATACATTATCTAATTTAATTATGCATAAAAACAATCCATTAAAGTAAGAACTAAAGAAAAACAGTACTTAAAAAAAATAGAGATCTCAAATTAACAATTTTTTTACAATAATTAAAACCAAAACTTATAATTTCTTTGACTTCGTGAGTTCAAGATTACATAATTAAATATAATTTTAATCCATTAGAGTTGAAGATAAATGAATGCACCTTAGATTTAAAAACAATATCACTCATCATGCACTGTATTTGTGTATTCGTGAGTCTCCATCAACTTCTATTATTGAGACCGCTGACACAGTTTGCCTGTAATCAGTATCACAAAAATGTTAATAAAATAATCTCATTTAGTGCTTTTTTTTTATTATTAGTATCTTTTGGTCTTATTAAATTTCTTTGACTTCGATTCTTTTTTAAATTAATAACGCTTTGTTCATATCAACTTTTTTGTAATCGATTTTTTCTGTCAATCTTTTTTTCTTGCATCACTAATTTTTCCAACAATTTTCCCTTGGCTAATGTGATATATATCTATCATGTGAGGTGAGTTAAAATTTTCTAGAAATTGATAAAGTTAAATTGACAATGTTGAATAAATAAGAAAACAATAGCATAATCTTTTAACATTTTTAATAAGGTTTATTATTAAGATATTTATAGTTAAAAAATATTTTATTTGGAGTATGAGATGTATTAATACATAAGGATATTTGAGAGAAAAATTTTCAGATATCTAAATAAATATTATTATAAAATAGATAAAAGAAGATATATTTTAATGACAGTTCATTATAAACGATTAATGAAAAAGGTACTGTTATAATTTTAAAATTAAATTTAACTTTTTAATCACAATTCATAGATAATTATTATTGAATATCATATAAGACAATAATTATAAAATAAATTATTATTATTTGTCTAAATAAAAAAATTTTAATGATAATTATTTTATAATTATTGTGATATATGTAATATACGAGAACAATTAAATATTTAATTATTATTATATGTTTAAATTTTTAATAATGAAATCATCATTATAATTAGGTCATTTTATATTCGTGTTTCTATTTTTCTTTTTTTCTCCTCTCTCTTCCTTTTTTTCTCACACTATCCATTGCATTTCTTCTTTTATTACTCACGTCATTACTCTTTGACTTTTATCCTCCTCATTTCTTTCTTCTCTTATTTGTAAAGAGTCTATCTTAATATCATGGATGTTTTTAATATTTTCAATCTTGTAAAAAAAAAACAATAAAAATATAGTTTTTCTCATCTTCTTTTCATTTTTCTCTCCTTTATAAAGTATATATTTTTATCATGATATTTCTAACTTTCTTTGATAGGAGAAAAAAATAATTCAGATTATATTAGGAAAATTTCTTTTGAACGAGTAGTAAAATGAGTAACGAGTTAAAGATTGTTCTACCATGTGATTGTTAAAGTTTTTGTTGACATTAACCATGTGTTAAAAAATTAAAAACTATAAAATATTATAAATGTATAAATTCGATGTGCGGAATCTTCAACGTACAATATCATCGTTATATCAATAATATACCATGAGAAATCAAAATCATCATCAATTTTATAATTTTGAATGATGATTTTAATAGCAACGATTTTAAAACCGCCGTTATATTCATGTTTTAAATAAATAATTTATAAATAAAAAAACTCATACATATAATGTCTAAGATTTAAAATTAAAAATAATATAATATTTTTTAATATGATTAACTCATTTCATTCATAAATATTTCTCTAATAATTAAATTCTCCAAATTTCTGATTCAGCTTGTATAAATTCTGAACGTACTCGTGTTAACCTTGCACAACATTACTCAACTAGTTTATTTTTACATTATTAATCATATGCTACTCTAGTATATTTTTACATAACATATAACTTCATCTTTTACATTTGAGTTTCAAAAATTTCTCAAATGCTAATCTCAAAAGTTTATCTATAACTATTCATGATAACCCAAAACTAAAACTTTAACAGAGACCTTCTTCACTCTTACACCTTAGTACTTAACTTTTCTCTCAATGGTGTTTCTACCCTGGTATTACAAACACACGTGTACATGAACAATTCAACATTTAACACCCTTCATCAGGTGCGCTTTTACGATTTTATATACTCAGTCATAAAAATTTTGATTAAGAATTTATAAACACTTCCCACCCCATTTTCAACAAAATAAAATACAGTGGTGCTGGTGTATGCTGCACAATGACGTGTTTACAAACATACACATACCTAAATACAGATGAAAGAATATTATATTAACATGAGAGTGATGCATCAATGGTGGAAATATATATATATATATATATATATATATATATATATATATATATATATATATATATATATATTTATCATTACAAGCAATTATATCAGCCGCAGCCTGGCTGCTTAGAACATCAATTTTGGTTACGTAATTGAGGAACAAAAACAAGAGAACATGGTTAAGCACCTCTCTTAATCATGCAACTCTTGCAGGCAAATTAATCAATATGCTACTTGCATCTTTCATGGCTAATGGCAACAAATCCTCAAATAAACACTCCCCTCAAAATAAAAAATTGTTTTCCTATATTTTTATTATATCAATAAATTTAGTATTTTTTAGGTACTTCAAAAAGTCTTATATTATATAGAAATTGAGACTAGATATAATTTATAGACTCTAATGTAAAACATCTTTTCAACACAAAACTGTGATGGAATACCGAATTTCAAAACAAAAAAACTTTAGATGATAATGGATTTAAAACAAAATCCAAATGCTCTTTTGGAGTATGAACACTAAATTTAGCATTATTAAAGGCTGAATACTTTTATCATGTTTGTCAGAAATAAACAGAGTAAAATTACATTTTTGATATGTGACTTGTATTTACTGGTTAACCTGAATTATAATCTTTGGGATTCTTGTAAATCTTATCTAACATGGACCTCAGTGCATGTCACAAGCATTATGGTAATTTTTGCATGTGTTTAACTGATGCGTGCTTGAACAGAGAGAGAAGAGAGTTGAACATAATAAATGGAATATATTAAATGTCGTGCAGGCATAATCAGTGCAAGAAATTGACAGAATTTGGATGTGAATAAATTAAGTTTGAATACGAGAGTCAAAGTATGAACGGCATTAGAAGAGGGAATATTTGGTTCATCCGGCACAGGTTACCTAATTTTTGAGCAAAAGAAGACAATGCTACTCTTTTTGGCTATGAAAGTGTGACCGGCACTGATAGTTATGAGTCGTGATTAATTATTTCAGTAATCACCAATTATGACTCTTCATCAGTCGGCAGCGTTTTGTTTCATTGGTCACAAAGGTTGACCTATACAACACTGTCTATCATTGTTGACACTTTCTTTTTTTATAACTAATGTTTGATGAAAATTTTATCTAATTATGTCAGTGTATATTTTTTTTTCTATTCACAAAACTCAACATACATGGAAAATTAATAGTTACAAATTGAGCTGCATAAGTTTATCACCGCTTTCCTCTTTATAATATACATCTAAATGACAAATTTTTTAATAATATCATTTATATTTATCATGCTAATAATTTAAAATAATTATTATATTATTTATGAGAATTGTCAAATATATGTTTTATGAAAAAAATGGCCAATGTAATAATATTTTTCTTTTAAAGGCAAATATAAGGTGTTCCTAGCCACTTCTGCTGTATTTGGTTCAAAGAAAAAATTTGAAACTTCAATAAACAGAAAAGGAAACGGGAGATTTTATGGGTGAGAATGGGAAAAATAAAATAATTAAATAAACAAATATATTATCAGCTAGAAGGTAAGCAACAAAATAAGTTTTATAAATAAGAAAAATAATTTTATAAATCAGAAAACATATTATTAAGAACCTATCTAAAAAGAATTGTTAATAAAAATTATTTAAAAATAAAAATAAATATTTTTTAATAAATATCACATTTAAGTTGTTTAAAATAAAAAAAATTACTTAAAATAAAAAATTATTTACAAATAAATCCACCCAAATTTTAAATAAATGACGTTTAAATCTCATAATAAAATATTTAATTTTATTTTTAAGTAATACTAATAATTCACCTTTGGATATATCTAAAAAAATTAATGAAGAAATCAATTGAACTAATAAAAACCAACAAATTTCTGCGTAACTGAACCATAAATTTCCACTCACCCACACAAAATTAGTAAAATGCAAGACAAATATAAGACAATCCTACATCTGTCAGGGTTTGTTACAGCATCCTCAAGCTTTACCCAAGATGTTGTATACTGATATCCCCTAACATTGAATTCAAGGATATAACAGTATCAATAGCTTAAAGCTAATATATCTCATCATCAGGAATATCAGGGTTCAGGAATTTCCTTGGATCTTTACTTATCTCTTCATAGTTTAGTGTTGATTTCACCCTTTCTGGCACTGGCATGAGAGGAATAATTCTATCTCTATCGATTACACCGTCAATAATTCCATATTCAACAGCTTCAATCGGAGACATATATTTATCCCTATCAATATCTTTCTGTACTTGCTCAAATGAGCGTCCAGTGAAATTTGATATAATTCTTGTGATATTGTTCTTGTTGTGCATAACTTCTTTCGCCTGAATTTCTACATCTATTGCTTGTCCACTAGCACCTCCAAGAGGTTGATGAATCATAATTCGTGCATTTGGCATAGCAAAGCGCTTGCCTTTGGTGCCACCACCGAGAATAACAGAAGCTGTTGATGCTGAAATTCCGAGTGCAACTGTGGAAACATCGGCCCTCACAAGCTGTACGGCGTCATAGATAGCCATTGTAGCACTAAATTAAAAACAAGTAAAGTAAATAAGCAGAGAAAAAGGATTGAGGCAACAAACAGAACAAAGATTTGCGATGAAAAAACCACCATGCAGAGTATTGATATTCAAAAATTTAACAAAAGGAATCCAACAGATACTATATCCAAGAAAATCTATATTCTATACAGACTTCCAATCAAAGCTCTAAGCTTCCTAACATCATATGGGACCAATTTGTCAACCCAACATGAAAGGGAACATCATCCTTTAATCAGCATTACTTGGATTGCGTTGTTTTACAGTTTAGACCCCAATCATGGGTTGAATTTAATGAAACCAACATGGACATGCATAGGAACATGTGCAGACTGAAAAACAGACATGAACTTAGCAAGCCCAAAAGAGTAGGAAAAACAATATGAGTAACAAGCTCTTGTCAAAATCAAAATTAAAGAAATAACTGGTCATTCTGAAATGGCCTTAGTTCTCTTGAGTAATAGAATGGAGAAAGACAAGTGTATAAAAGCAAAAGGAACCAAATAAAAGGAATAGGTGAAGAGAAAATCTTCACCAAAGTGGAAGTCTCCATTCTCTTTGCATGATACCAAAGTCACTCCTTTGTATTAACAGGTGCCAATACAAGTAGATGTCTAGAAAATATCAACATTCCTCTCCAACAATAGGCACCTCATAATAATAATAATAATAATAGCAAACAAAGCAAAGCCAAAGTGACTTGCCCAAATCATTTGCAGCAAAAGATCCAAGACTCTGCAACATAAAATCTTCCAAAACTGAAATTTTTTAAAGATCAGAGATTTGAAGATTTCAAAGGGCACGTTGTTTACATGCTGCTGGAGTTTGATCACAAATTAATTCCATTAGAAACATCAAAACAAGATAAAGCATGGTGCAACTAATATACCACCACAGGAGGGAAAAGTTTCCCTTCCATCAAACTACAATGAGGTAATGTGAAAACGGGACATGATGGAAGGTGGTATCTGTCTTTTTCCCTGAAATAAAAAATGACCACTTAACAGTTTAAAGCTCCTAAAGAATATCAGCTTGTAGAAAAGTTAGATCAATGAATATAATGCAATGGAAATAAAAATTACAAAAACAAAAGGCATAAAAATGTATCAGCAAATGAATTTTGGTGCAAGGATTGTCTACAGATACCTTTCAGAGTCAAAAGTAATTTGAAATTTGATATGGTTGAATCATGATCAATTGTCTACACACCCCAATCTATGTCTTGTTCTCCGCATGAAATAGTGTTCTTTGCCTTATATCTCAAAATCTAAGTAGTTTTACTCATTTTACCAGTTTTACTTTGTTGGTTTAATTTAAATTAAATTACACAGTAGCATGGCAGAATCTAAAATATGCTAACTAGAAATCAAGAACACAACATGTCATAAGCAAATAGATATAGGTCTGTGTGTGCATATGTGCATGTGAGTGTGAAGGAACACCTTATGAGAGAAATGAAAAGAAACTAGATTATTAGATTATCATTACAAACAAGACCAAAATACCAAGCCATCAAACATTTTAACATTGTTGTTAGCCATGATTGGAACCACTCCCTTATATCTGAGTGTACAAAAACTGAGCATATAAAAATATAAGTTAAATAAACCTAGTATACCTTAAATCATGTTTAGTATCGCTTAAAACAAGGTGACTTTTTGTAACTATTGATGAACATATCAATTTAAAACTGAAACATACGGCAAAGGAACCATAACAATTCCTAGTCGGTAGCAATATGTCCTCCTAAAACAGTAAACTCAGAAGGTAAAAGTAACAACTAAGCAAAACTCTTCAACAGAAATCAGAACAGCCTTTGCAATGCCCCAACTAAACTAAATGAGTAATATCATCAACATCTGAAGATCATTCAATAGTTTATTCACCGAGTCATATGATATAAACTGCAGGCAGGAAAATAAAAGTCCTTTTCCTGTTAACAGCCCAGTGAAGGGTTTTACATATACCAATACACTATCAGAAACGATAAGATAAAGACATAAAGCCCATCCGAAATTAAACATAGAACTCCCTGGTTCAATCAAATAAGCTTGTTCATGTATTATGTAACTTCATTCAAAAGAAGCTTCAACTATTGGCAGTATCACCAATTAAACATTCAGTTACCAGTAATCACAACTATAAACAGTAATTAAACACAAAGGTACCCTAATAATGTTCAAGATACTATCACACATGAAATGTAAACACTTCCCCCAGGCTAGAATTTTCAAACTATCACATTTCAAAGCATTAGCCTCTTCCTCTTACCTTAGACCTAAGTTTGATCCGTAAGTGTTGTCATCTATCCCTAACTTCTAATATCTTTTTTTTTTTTTCAGAAAAAATCAATTAAATAAAGCCAGTGCAATAAAGAAAAAAAAAATATTGTTCCTACCCTTCGAACTTGCATTCCTAATCCACACACTTTACCATACACATTTGCCTACCATTCTGAAAAATAAGAAAAACCCTACAACCAAAACCTCATCTAACCTGAGAGAGCCACCGGTGGAATTAATGAAGAGCCTTATATCTTTAGTGGGGTCTTGGGCGTCCAACAGCAGCAACTGACTCATAACAGCATCAGCCACAAAATCATCGATGCTGCTCCCGAGGAAAACGATCCTCTCCCTAAGCAAGAGCCCCATCACGTCGCCCTCCGCACCTCTCGCCGCCGTCGCCGGCGTCTGGGGCGCGGAGAGCTGGAATGTGAGACTGCGGTTCTGAGATTCGGACCCAAGGTTTGGGTTTTTGGAGGGAATTGGCGAGGCCGTGAAGAAGCACCGAGGTGGGGTTCTAATGGGTTTGGAGAAGGGCGAAAGGGAGGGAGAGGGTTTGGGGGCGAAAGAGGAAATGGGGGGCTTAGGGTTTGGGGGGGAAAGGGTTCGAAGGGAAGGCGAAGGGTGAGAGGGAGAGATTGAGAGCAAATCCATGGTGTGAATAGGGGAAATGCAGAGGAAAGTTGGACGAAAGGGTAGCGACTTCACTTGGTTTATTGGAGACTACTATTAGATAACGTGGATTTTTATTTTTATTTTTTATTTTTAAATTTCGTTTTTATAATTTTAGGCATAGGTTTGGGTTAGAAAATAATAATTACTTTTTTATTAAAAAAACTAATAAAGATGAAAAAAAATGAATATTTTTAAAAATATATATGTTACGTTAGGGATTTTTTTTTCCCGAATTGTTTCTACTCAAACAGAATCCAAAAATAATTATTTTTTTTATAAAGATACGTTAGAATATCAAAATCTATGTGTTTTTATTAGAAAAATTAAGAAGTTTTTGGGTAATACGAGGTTGAGATTGATACGTGTCTTAATTTTTTTTTTTTCCAAAGAATCAATTTCTTAATATATTTAATTTGTAGGATTTTTATTTTTTATACGTAGATGTTTTATTTTTCTTTTTCTTTTACATAGGATAAGATGTTTGATTTAATAGATAATAAAATATTTGGTGGAACATAAATTATATGTTCGAGTAGAAAAATAGTAATAGGATAGGACAAATTAAAAGATGAAGCATGAGATAAAATATGCCAATTTTTTTAGTGACTTACTTGCACGATGAAGGATTTTGGATTTGAAACACGCACCTCTTAGATGAAAGAAAAAAATGAAATAAAATATATTTTTTTTATAAAAGTGTAGAAATTTATTATTTAATTAACTATAAAATAATATTTTGTTTTGTATACAGAACCATGAAAAGGTAAAAATATTTCTATCCATCCAATTGTATTTATTCTACGTTTTGGTAAATATTTTAAATAAAAATGGTGTCTTTAACGTGAAATTGTAAAATCTACGAGTAGTTTCTTTGGTTGAGATGTGAAAAAACACATTTACGATCCTTCTTAATTAGGTCCATCAATTTGATAGATTTTTAAAAACAATCTACAATTTGTTGTTACTTAAATTAGCATAGAATAAATATATATGTTTTAACGTAAGAGTTAAAAATACTTATAATTACGTTAAGTTATTTATGTGACGTGTTAAAAGAAGCATCATTATATTATATAAGTTTTCTATATATATATATATATATATTTTTTTTAAATAAAATAACTTAAATGAAATATTTTTCTCCTCACTTTTTCACCATCTTAATGTTAAATCCGATTTTATTTACGTGTAAGAATACGTTCACTGTAGGTCAAATTAATACACCATATAAATTAGGATAAACTAATGATAAAATTCTTTATTCATATCATTATCATAAAATATTTTCAATATTTGCATCTGAATAAATAAATCAAGTGTCTAAAATTTCAACATGTAAGTTACATCTCATATCATCATATAGTTATTTTCACAATCATAGATACTTGACTCTATTTTCGGATTACTCTCGTGCATTGAATTAAACTCACAAATTTGCACATGTTACACTATCTTCCCTAGGTGGGATATCTCCAACATAGTTTATATAACTAGAACATGTTCCCTTATATGATAAGCTAAGAATTGTTAGATAAAATTATTTTTCACACTATAAACTAAGTCATAGAGACCTACTTCAACTCTCATTACCTTATACTTTTCTTTAGGTGAGTCCAATATCATTAAAGTTAGGATATCTCTTTCAAAATCTCAAATTCAATACATTACTTATATCCTAACATAGTATCTCCTCCTTTGAAACTATTATGTTAACTTCATCAATTCATCACAAAGATAGCATGCATATAAGGATAATACATGATATTTCTCACATTACAACAATATATTTTTCTTTTACATATATTAACACACATTATTTCATGTTCAATACATGTATTTTATTATCCTAAGTCATGTATATATCATTTCTCATATTTCAATAAATAATAAATTTATGATATTTGATCTATGTCTATTTTTTTGTCATAACATTTTCTACAAATATCATTTTTATTAATTCTTGTTTCACTAGGTTCCTTATTTTAAAGGCTTCGATTTGCATACATGGAACGTTATATTTGGAATCATGAGCTATTTTTTATAATTTTTAGAAGTTCGAACAACAAAATTATAAGAAATTTCGCTTGAGTGAAAATACACTCGAGAATCACCTTTTTTCTGGAAACTTATAGCTTGAGCGAAACTTTTCTAGCTTAAGCGAGATTCATTTTCGCTTGAACAAAATTTTTTTCGCTTAAGCAAAAATACACCAAAGAAAAACATCTTCTACTTGTTTTTTTTTTTTCATTTGAGTGAAAATGCACCCAAGAGGAGTTATTTCCTCTTTTGCATATTTCACTTAAGCAATTATCGTTTGAGCGAAATATGTAGATAACAAACCTACTAAATCCGTGTTAAACTACACTCCAAACATTAAACATTATATCCTATAAGACTCTATTACTCAATTTCCTTTTAAAACATGTCATACCTAGTCCAATTATAGTTATCATATCCTAATAATTTATATAAATCATTAATTTAACTTAACTCATTCAATCATAATTTAAGATACAAAACAACCTATTAATTTCCTGCAAATCAAATAATGTGACAAAGTCACCTCTACAATCCAAATCTTCTAACTTAGAGTACAATGAAAATAAAAAAACAACTATTTTTTCTTACCTTCCAATTTTAGTACTCTCAAAGTTTGAAAATTACAAATTTCTAAATTTTTAGGGAGTCAGATCCTTCTCACAGAAAATCCAATTAACAAATCGAACATACTATAATGTTCGTAAACTAGTGAAAATTCATCTTTACCTCACTAAAGTCACATGCAAGACTTAAATGCACACACAAACCTTAGTCCCAAATTTGTAAAAATACTTTAACTTGGAGAAAGAAAAACTTACTTTATTTAAGATTCTTATCGGATAGAAATGTTCTCCTTGCTACTGTTAGGAGCACAAGTAATGTACTTGAATTTAGAAAAATATAAAAATTAGATAAGAAAATTTTAGAGAAAAGTCAGACGATTTAAAATTTAGATAGACGATGGTTCTTTAAAAATAAAGTTTAAAAGATAAGAGATTTATATTTAAACTATCTCAAAAATAAAAACTTTAAATTTTACTTTGTTTAACCACTATTTCTCTTTAAACTATTAAACTCTTCGTATATATATATATATATATATATATATATATATATATATATATATATATATATATATATATATATATATATATATCTCTTTAACTTTATATTCTTAATTTTGTGATTTTCTTATGTATTTCCTCCTATTAACACTATTTGGAGTAGTAACAAAAAATAAAGAAAATGATGATTGATAAAAATATATTATTATATGATAAATAATCAATATTTTCCTTTTAAGAGTTTATTTGTTTTTATTCACATCATAAAAAAAAAATTAACCTTAAAAATATTGATGGTGTTTTGTTTCTAGTAAATTCAAGTGTATTAGTTTGTTATTAAATACTTAAAAACTCTAAATTTGTTATTAAATACTTAAAAACTCTAAATTTGTTATTAAATACTTAAAAACTCTAAGTGATATATGAATTATGATTTTCCTAAATTTAAATATGTTTATAAAAACAAACTAAAAATTAGATAAATTTATGATAAATATGGGTAATATATGAATATAGATATGTTGAAACAACTCAAATAAGTCAAGATAAAAAAATTTCTTAAATTAAATTAATTTTAATCTAATTTATACATGATTTAAATAGATTTATATAAAAATAATTCCAAAACTCAGATTAATCAATTTTATATAATATTATGTTTTTATTTTATTTTATAAGATATTTACTTATTTTAAAAATAAAAATTATAAATTCACTTTTCATTAATCCTTTGTGTAATTACTAAAAGTAGGACTAATATACTCGATTTGACCTATCTTAATTTGATTTATTTTTATATTATCTAGACATATATTGGTATAACCTATCTTGATGTGGTACATCTTATCGTAGTCTTATTTAGTTTATTTTATTTTAATTTATCCTATTCACTTAGAACATAACCTAACAAATCTTTTTAAGTTGATATTTTTAATATGATTTATCTTGATTTAACTTGACTCAATTTAATTTATGATTTATCTTGATTCAACCTAACTCATGTATATAAAAATTAAGTAGTGTTAATTAGATTTAATTCATAAATATAATAATGAAAACTTTTATAATTTATAATAATTAAAATAATTTATCCAAATAAAAAATTTAAATTCAAATAATTTTAATTATCTTATCTAAATAAATAATTTTAAAAATTAAATCATTTAAAAATAACAGGAATTCATATTCATTGTATTTAAAAGTTTTAAAAACTATAAAATACATTATATATTTTTATTTATTATTTGTTTGAATTAGTTTTTTTTATAAATTGTATTTATACATATAATATTTTATTTATTTATAATCATGTGAAAATAGTGAATTGTCTTGACAATTATAATCCATTTCAAATATAAGTAAATTTGAGTCATATTTGTTTTTTTTTGTTTACTAACTATAATAGATTGATAATCCGTTGTCATTACCTTATTTGGAAATAGTGAATCAAATAACATTCACCATGTTTTTAATACATTTTATAATAACAAAAATAAAATAAAATTTGAGATAGAGAAATGTTTTTTCACAATTTTCTCTCAATTCATTAGAAAAAAAATGCATATATTACTTTAATTAATTTATGTAGATGCTAATATGAAAAAAAATGGTACAGAATCACACTTATATTAATTTGATGAAGAAATTTATGAATAAACTAATTTATTAAATTCATACCTCTTTATAATTGAATAATATATTTTTAACTTGTAATTATAGTCTATTTCAATAATTTTTTATCTGAGTTGAAAAGATTGCAAATATGTTTATTTAAATTGTGATGAATATTTGTGACATACTCTTTTTAACACATTAAGAAATTTCATTTTATCTTTTTAAAATAATTTTTAAGCTAACAAATTTTATCAGATAAAAATGCGATAATTAATTAGATAGTTGTAGTTTTAGTATGTAAATATTTACTTGTTTTAATTTTGTTATGTGTTTATAAAAAGAATAGAAAAATTCAGACCCAATAGATAAATAAATATGATTTTATTAGCACATTAAAAAAATAAATAATACCTTGTCAATATTTTTACTGTTTTACTGAATAATACACCAGCACATTTTAAGGGTTTCACAGAGAGAGATTTTTAACGGATGAGAAGATGAGAAAAAAAAGCTTAATTTAATTATATACATAATATACTTATTTTAATTCAAATTATTCATAAATCATATTTTTATTATTAAGTCAATTTTTTTTACTTACATATATATACATAATAATTAATTTACTTTTAAATGAAAACTATAAACTACTTTAAATTTAACTATATTTTATGAAATAATTATTTTTAATTATTATTTTGTATGACTTAAAATAAATAATTAATAAAAAATAAAGTGAAAATAATATCAATATAATATTCAATATTATTATTATAGTATTTCTTTATTTACATATATATAAAATATTAATATTTTAAAAAGTAAAGTTTAATATTAAATTATTTTTTCTCTAAAACCTAATTATTAGAAAAATACAATTTGTTATTATAATTTCAATGTATTATTATTATAGTAAGAATAATCATAATAATCACAATTGCATTTAAGACTTAAATAAATTAAATTAAAAATGTAATATATAATATATTTAATTTATATCGTTAACTACTAATTTAAAAGAAAAATATACAATAAATAAAATGTTACTGATTAATATATAAGCATAAAACAATTCATTATTAAATTAAATATAAATAAAATTAATGTCAATCATTTAATTTTTGTAAATACAATTAAGACCATGTAATTAAATTACAATTATGAAAATGAAGTTTGGATATACATAATAATTTATGATTATATTTTTATTTTTGATTGCTAATTAAAATAAATTATATAATAAACAAAATATTAGTACTTAGTATTAAAATTTACATTAATTATTAAAATTAAATACAAATAATATTATTTCAGCATATTTATAGTTTTGCTAAGTACAATTAAGTTAAGAGCTTTTAATTCAATTACAGTATATATTATTATAAAAAATAAAAAGTTTGTACTTTTATTTATAATTTTGAAACAATCATTATAAAAGTATATCATTTTACAAAAGATAATAATTTATAATTAAATAATAATATAAGTATTTTTAAATTAATATAATAACATATGTTTTTGTACATTCACGTGTAATTATAAGTTGTTTTATATACTGTACACATATTAGTTTTTTATAATAATTATTTTAAAATTCATATTTGAAAGTAAACTATATATAGAGAGTAATTTATTATTATTTTCCATTGTATTTTCCCATTAATTTTTTTAATTGTCAAAATTCTTAAAAATTTTCTCTCTCTTTATCTATCATTTAAAAAATTTAAATAAACTTGATTATTATTTTATTCATTTATTTTGTATAGTAAATAGAAATGAAAGTGTATCAATGTATTAATGGTAAAATTAATGTTTATGATTATAATTAATTTTAATTACATGATAATTATAAATGTACTCTATTATTTATTTAAAGGAAGTTTCTTGTGAGTGAAATTCACTTTATATATATATATATATATATATATATATATATATATATATATATATATATAAAAGGAAAACTTGTAATTAAATTTTATAAAGGTAAATAAAATTTATTAGTATGTATTTAAATGACAGTGCATAAATTTAAAAGTAAGTAAAAATATTAAATTGTTTAGCTTGAAATTATTAAATTTGATAATAATTATTAGAAGTTTTAAATAAACTAACTTTAAATTAATGAACATTTTAAGAATCTCTACATTATCCATGTAGTAAATATTACAATTTTCAAAAATTAAAGTTTTTAAATTTTATTTAAAAAAGTCAGAGTATTTAGTTGTTACTTTTCTTGGGCATTCAATTTTGGTCATTCTCTTCTCTCACCAGCTGTAACAGCGGTTGACCTCAAACCACCCACCACTCTCTTCTGTTTCTTTCTATTTGTTGTTTTTTCCTCAAACAGGACAAAACAAACATAGGGTAACTCCAATGCAATGCAATCAACTTTGATCAAATGCTGATAAAATTCAAGGGTCCCCTCTCCTGGATCTTCTTTTAGGTCACTGTTGCATCTCTCTCATTTGCTCCAACGCCACGTTGCCTTGGTCAGTCGCAACTTTTTGTATTCATTGTTCCATTTTCCAGCTTCATACCTGGATCTGCAATTTTTTCCTCTCCCCCATTGAATTTCTTATTGCAATTTTCAAATTTTCTTTCAAAGTTTGATGATTTTTGAGTTATCATGGAACCATCAGTTTTGATCAATGCCGTGTGAAATGGGGAAGTGTGTTTTTCTCTATGATTTTAAATATTTTGGACGTGTTTTTCTTTATGATTTTAAATATTTTGGACTTTGTGTATGAGATTTCGTTTAGATTTTGTGAAATGTGAATGACGAGTGCAATGACATTGAAGCTTCTAAGGGATAACAAAGTTGGAACTTATCTGGAAAGGTGGTTATGGGGTGTGTGCAGGTTGGAGGGAAATGATTGATGGAGTCCACTGAGAATGGGAGCGTGTCAGTTAGAGAGTTCCATGCGAATGGAAGCCGCATGGTTGCATCAGAAGTTGAGGCCAAACTTGATCAAGGAAATATTCAAGAGGCAGAAGATTCTTTGCGAGAAGGATTGTCGCTAAATTTTGAGGTTTGGTTTAATGCTCCCACACACTTTACTAGCTTGTGCCTGCCATTTTTCTGTGTTGCAAAACATTCCCTTTTCCCCCCTTTGTTTCCCTTTTACGACATTTGGGGGGCAGCTGTTTCTGGATTGTGCATTTCATATTTCATTTAGTAAGAAGCAAAAACAAAGGGCAAAATTCTCACTTGGATTTATTGGAAGAAGCTGATCTTGATTTCAAATGATTACAATAATTGTCTCTGAAACGTTTTTTGTTGTTGATGGAATTTAGCATGTACTTATTACTCATATCATCATGCTTAGACTTCATTATGTTGTCTTGCTTTATATTTCTGTTCGGCAGCAACATATGGAGACTAGAGAGTGCAAGGTCATTAATTATTTTAATAATGAAATGGTTGAAATTTGTTGGGCATAAGTGTTTTCCTGGTTTTGTAGAATATAATTGGATCTTTAAGAGCAAATTTAAAGGTCTTTGGCATCTATCTTTATTTCCTTATACCTTAGTTTTATCTGAGGTGTAGAAGTCTATGGTCCCAAGTCCTAACCTTCTACTGAAAATGTTAATGCCTACCATGTATAAACTCTTCGAATTATTAAAATTGTCCCTATATTTAAACTTTGAGATCTATTGATACAGGAAGATCTCCCAAAAGTGTTTGGTTTAATTACTACAAATTAGAGTTGGCATAGGGCAAGAAACACTGACAAAAAGAATAATTTTTTTACAAAGAATTTTTTTTAATGCCTGTCTTATCTACCTGACAGTGACTATTTTCTTATCAATGCCTTCAATAACAAGGGGATAAATTTCTTTTATGAGCCAAACAGTAGGAACCCTCCTTCCCAAAATCTTTGAATATGTGAGAGCATGCAGCTTTTGTGTTGTAATCAGTACTCATTAGTCTTGTATGAACATCAAACATATTGTGGATTTCAATTTGACACGTGAATATAACATAATTGGATTTGAAACTAGAAAAAATATGTCAATACAAGAAATGGACCTCATAATTTGTACAATATTGATCCCTTGAATGTTTGTATATGAAGATCTTGCATGCCTTGATTCTTGGCACTGGATTGGAGCCGCTGTTTTTTGGGAGAAATTAATCAGATCCTTGAGTTTTGCCCTATTGTTACTTTTAAAACTTTGCAGGAAGCAAGAGCTCTTCTTGGTAAGTTGGAGTATCAAAGAGGAAATGTAGAAGGTGCTCTTCGTGTGTTTGATGGGATTGATCTCCAAGCTGCCATACAGCGGTTGCAATCTTCCTTTTCTGAAAAAACAACAGTCAAGAAAGGTCGTACTAGCACTGAATCAGCCTCCTCAGCCTCTCAGCATGCAGCTAGTTTGGTGCTTGAAGCCATCTACTTAAAAGCCAAGTCTCTGCAAAAACTGGGGAGATTTACTGGTATCATATATAACCTTGACTTTCTTAATATTCTTTTTCCCTTTTGAAAGGGAATGATTGCTTAATGGAAACATTGAAATGCTTGTTTGATGGATTCTGCAGAAGCTGCTAATGATTGTAAACGAATTCTTGATGCTGTTGAGAAGATATTTTATCAGGGCATTCCTGATGTTCAAGTGGATAATAGATTGCAAGAGATAGTCAGCCATGCAGTAGAGATCCTTCCAGAGCTTTGGAAACAAGCTGCTTGCTATGATGAGGCAATTGCAGCCTATAGGCGAGCCCTTCTTAGTCAATGGAACCTTGATAATGATTACTGTGCAAGAATTCAGAAGTCATTTGTTATTTTTTTGCTATACAGTGGGGTGGAGGCAAGTTCACCTAGCTTAGGAGTTCAGGTTGATGGATCATACGTGCCTAAAAATAATCTTGAAGAGGCCATTCTGCTATTGATGGTTCTTTTGAGAAAGTTTAGCCTTGGTAAGATGAAATGGGATCCTTCAGTCATGGAGCACCTTTCTTTTGCACTTTCTACGTGTAGCCAAACTTCTATTTTAGCAAAGCAACTTGAAGCATTGATGCCTGGAGTATACCATCGAATTGATTGTTGGAATTACTTAGCTTTATGTTATTGTGGAGCTGGAGAAAATGACACGGCTTTGAGTCTGCTAAGAAAGTCTTTGCACAAACATGAACGACCAAATGACCTTACATCATTGTTGTTAGCAGCCCGGATCTGCAGTGAGGATCCTCATCTTGCTGCTGAGGGAGTGAACTATGCACAGACGGCAGTCAATAATGCTAATGGTCAAAATGAACATTTGAAAGGTGTTGCTCTTCGGATGTTGGGACTTTGTTTGGGAAAGCAAGCTAAGATTGCTTCCTCTGACTTTGAGAGGTCTCGCCTTCACTCCAAAGCTTTGGAGTCATTGGTGGCGGCAATAAAATTGGAGCCTAACAATTCTGATCTGCTTTTTGAATTGGCTGTTCATTATGCACAGCACCGAAATTTGACTGCTGCTTTGCGCTCTGCGAGGCATTTCTTTCATCAGACAGGTGGTTCTGTGTTGAAGGCTTGGAGATTGCTTGCTCTAATTTTGTCTGCACAAAAAAAATTTTCAGAAGCTGAGATGGTAACAGATGCTGCTTTAGATCAGACTGCAAGATGGGAGCAGGGGCCTCTGCTTAGGCTGAAAGCAAAGCTTAAGATCTCCCAAAAACGACCCATGGATGCTATTGAAACTTACCGATACCTTCTTGCATTGGTTCAAACCCAGAAGAAATCATTTGGATCTCAACAAATTGATTCAAAGGTAAGATTTTGCCATCTACTTATGTTCTTCCAGGATTCCCTTGTTTCTTATTATAATAGCCAGGCATGTCAATTTTATTTGTGATTACAATGGGTTTTTTGTTATGAAATTAGGGATGGTAAAGTGGTCTAGGCCCACAAGTTGATCCGCTAGTCCACCTCACACTGGTGAGGTGGGTTGGTAATTTTAGTCCATCAACCCGTTTTAGTCCATCCTATTTAACCCATCAACCAGACGGCTTTTTAAGAAATATTATATATTTAAGCTTATTATTGATTATAATTTGGTATTTTAACATCTAAATATTGTAATTTTTTTAATTTATCAAATAAAATTATTAATTAATAAATAAAAACTTAAAAATTATTTATATAATTAAAAGTGTATTTTTAAAAAATTAATATAAAAAAAGATATTAGCAGGCTGATATGTTAGCTCTTTCTTTAATTAGGCGAGTTGGAGTCGGTAATCCATTTTGACCATGGAATATCACCCCGCTTGCCCCTTCTTTTGGTGGACTAGAGGCGGCGCAGGTCAAAATAGGATGGGTTAACCCATTTTGTTATCCTTTATGAAATAACTTAAATAATGTCCTAATGAATTTCACTAGATCGTAATAGTAGTTGAATATGTGTAATGGGGAATGTACGTTTCAGATAGAGATGACAAACTCATGGATCATATAAATTTTATTTCGGATAAAAAAATCCATTAATCTATTTTGATCCATTAAAAAACTAACTAAAATTTTTTATTCATCTTTTCTTTTGATAGAAGTTCAATCCAATCCATCCATTAACATTTTTTTTATGGATGAATATCCAATCTATCCATAAAAATTTAATTTTTAAAACAACTGACAATATATTTTTGAAACTATATTTTAGAAACGATTTTCAAAAATAAAATTTTGTAATACATATTTTAAAAATATATTTTTTGAAAACTGTTAAAAGTAAATTAAAGATTTAATTGTGAAAAAAATTAGCTGAATTAATTTTCATCCACTAAGTATTGATGGAACGATTAGTTGGATTTTGACAAAAATAGTGGATGGATCATTAACCATCCATAAAATTAAAAAATATGATTTGAACTGATGATTTTTTCTTTATGTTTTTTTTTAACGGATGAAGTAGATGAATTATGAATAAATGATTTTTTTTTTCAACCCTAGTTTCAAATAAGAAATCTTGAATTTATCCTAGACAAATTCATCCCCAAAAGCTGACTCATAGTTTATGTGGGATCACTACACAACCTTATCTAATCAAGATTGATAATTTCAATTTGGAGATTGTAGGTCTGATATTTTTATTTTGAATTGCACTAGGAAAACTGGTAGGACTGATTTTCTTAAATTCTTCTGGTTAAATTGCAACTTTAGTCCCCCTTTAATTTCGATTTGTGATTTTAGTCCTTTAACTTTTTTTTTTTTTCCATGATTTGTAGTGTCTACATTTTTTTAATTCTGCAATTTTTGTACAATCTTCAATTTTGCGATGTTTTTATTTTCATCTTAGTTAATTAAATTATGTCTTGATACTCAGTAAATGTTAGGTAAAGGTTTTAGTTGGACCAAAATAAAAGAAATAGAAGTTTGCAAAATTGTGAATTTTGTAAAATGTGGGGACTAAAATCTCATTTACCAATGTGAGACTTGTTAAAATATGTTTTATTTTATTTTTTTGATATATGTACCCAGATATAGGGTTAGGGCTGGGTAAGAGCCCAACCTCTCTTTTTTGTACTTTCTCTCATATATAAATACAATATATAAGTGTCATTGCACAATGTCTTTTTACTCTAAAATATTTTTCTCAAGTTGGTATTAGAGCAGGGAAGATCTCACTCTAGTCACCATTATTCGCCACTACTAGTGTCGCTTTGACGTACGAAGTGTTAGGGTTATGCACTCCTCAAGGAGTGTGACCCAACACCATTAATTGTGACATTGACTGGCACCACACACAACTAGTTGAACGGGAGGTACTAGAGATTCGTAGATCTCTCAATACATGTTCTTCCTTTTGGAAGAAAACACAAGATAGTTTTGCAATTGACATTCAACGTCTCTTTGATGTAACCTAAATTGTAGTTTCCTTCAAACAGACCAACCATGATATGGTCTCTTATGTTGCAAAGGCTAGAGCTGTCGTGGAATGGCGAACACCTTGGAGGGACTCAATAATAAACTTGATAAGTTGTATATGGTCATAATTTTTAGAAGATTACAATCTGATTTTGATCATGTACGTGATCAAATTTTGGTTGGTGATCAAGTTCTTTCGATGGATTGTCTAGTCACTAGACTCATTTATGTGCCTAACTTGATGAAGGATGAGAATCGAACTAAAGTTATTAAAATCTTAACAATGATTGTGTCTTGTGGACGAGGGGGGAGGGCATAATAGTCAAGGAGGACATGGTGTTAAAAGTGGATGTCCTCAATTCTCTTATTATAAGAGAATGGGTCATACATAGGAAAATTGTTATTCCTTACATGAATTTCCTAACAAGTGTCTAAATTTGAGAAATCAAATTTTAAGATTTCTAATGAAGAATACCAAGAACTTTTAAGGTTCAAATATGAGAAGTCCAACAATCATGGTCAATCTTCTTCAATACCAAGTATATCAATAACATGTATTTCTCAATGTATGCGAGATCAAAATTCATGGATTCTTGATTTAGGTGCCTCAGATCATATTTATGGTAACAATTCTTCATATTTCTTCTGGTCTTATCTTAAAATGCCTCACTTGGTTATTGTGGCTAATGAATCCAAAGTGATATCACAATGAGTTGGCCACGTTCCTTTATCACTTTTACTATAAATTATGTACTTTTCTTTTCTAATGGTCCTTATAACTTGGTTTCTCTAAGGCAATTGACTTACTAAATTATTCTATAACTTTTAATTTCAATTCTTTTGTTATACAGGAATATAGTATGGGTTATTTGATTGAAGACGGACATGAATCACAAGGTCTTTATTACTTGAATCGAAGCCCATATGAGTGATGTTTTGCTACTTCAACCCCAAAACTTTTGCATGATTGTTTTGGTTATCCATGTTTATCAAAGTTGAAAATGATGGTTCCTAATATTAAACAACTTTGGGTTTTAGAGTGTTAATCTTGTGAATTAGAAAAATATGTTAAGTTTACATTCCTTAAACTAGGGTTAGCAAAACGGGTCAAGTCCAGTGGGCCGACACGCCACCCAATATAAATATGGAGGGGCGGATTGGTATTTTTAGTCCATCAGCTTGCTCTGGCTCGCCTTACCAAACTTGCCAACCCGCGGGACGGGCTAGCCTGCGGCCCGCTTAACTGATAAAAAAATTATTTTTATTGTAATGTAGTTAGTCACAAAGACAACATATAAAATGAAAATTCGTAAAAAAAGAATTCAAAAAGTCTCATTCTCACTTACTCACTACAGGAAACATTCTTCCTTCTCAAGCACAACCTCCCCTCTCTCCTCTCCTCCTCGCTCACCTTGTTCCTAATCTCATGACTTGAATTGAAGGTGTGAGAATTACTCAAGAAGAGAATAACGTAAAAATTTATCAAATAAAAGAAATATAATATAATTTTTGTTTAAGTGTTTGAATTTTATAATATAAAAAATAGAGATTTTACAAGTTTTGATGTTACCTACATGTATTTGTTATTATATAAATTTTATCTTAATTTGATTGTTCTAAATTATAATTTCTTAACACAATATATCAACTTATATTATTAACTTGAAATATATATGTTGAATTATTGACAAACAAATGATAATCTTATTGAAAAAATTATTTAAAAGAGATAAATTAAATAATTTTAAAAATAATTATGGTGGGACAGATTAAAGTCTATAGTTTGTCATGACTATAACAGGTCAGCTTGTCCCGTTTTTGGTGGGCTAAAAGACGAGGTAGGCGGACCGTTTTGACATCCCTACCTTAAACAATCTAAAAGTCGATGTAATTTTGTTTTTTTCTTAAATTTAATCTAATATTTGGAGACCTAGTCATGTTACCTCTTTTTTGGTTTTTCAATATTTTGTAACCTTCATTAGTGAATTTTCCAAATGTATTTTAGAAAGAGAGATTTGAACTTTTATCTATGTTTATGTCTTATTTATTTTTTATTTTTTTTCATGAGATTAAGAATTGATTTGGGAAGATAATTAAAATCGTCAAAAGTAATAATACTAAAGAATATTTTTATGTTGTTTTTTCCTTACTTTTATCTTTCCAAGGAATCCATATGTCCTCACATCCTATAACAAAATGGTATAGTGGAAAGGAAGAATAGACATCTGATTGAAATTGCACGCATTAATGTTGAATGCTAATGTTCCTATTCATTATTGGGGAGATGTAATTCACAATGTTTGTTTTCTAATTAATAGAATGTCATCTTCTCTTGAGAATGAAATTCTTCACTTTGTTATTTTTTTTGAATAATCCTTTGTATCATGTTTCTCCAAGTTTATTTGGATGAACTTGTTTTGTTCAAAATATCTCTCCAAGTCTTGATAAACTCAATGCAAAATCCATTAAATGTGTTTTCTTGGGGTATTCTCTTCTTCAAAAAGGGACAGATGTTATTCTCCTTTATTTAAAAAATATTATATATTTGTTGATATTACCTTCTTTGAGGACACACCTTTCTTTTCGTCCTCCATGGAAAACCTTACTTTTGTTCAACAAGTTTGGCCCGAACTCTCATGTGATCCACTTGCCATCCCTTTTCCTTCTCTAACTCCAATTGTAAGATAACATTGATCCACCACACCTTCTCACATATAATTGTAGGGTCCAACCTACTCCTTTACCTATTCCTGAAGATCCTCGTGATTTTGATTCTCCTTTACTAGCTTCCCATACCATGGATCCTTCATCCTCATCCTCCACTTTTGATTTTGATTGGCATATTGCACTCAGAAAAGGTGCTTGCTCTATTTGTAATTTTTTTCCTATTTATAATTTTTTTAGTTACCATCCTTGTGTCCTTCATATTTTTCATTTGTTCTCTCTTTGTCCACTACTTTTATTCCTAACAATGTTCATAAAGCACTTGATCATCTTGAATTGTGGCAAATTATGATTGATGAAATACAGTCTTTTGAATGCAATGACATTTGGAAATTTATTCCTCTTCCTCTTGGAAATAAGACTGGGAGATGTAGATGGGCCTATACAGTTAAGGTTGGTCCTAATAGTAAAATGGATCGTCTTAAAGCTCGTTTAGTAGCTAAGGGACTCAAATTTATGGTTTCGATTACTATGATACTTTTTCCATATAGCTAAGATTAACGATGTTTGGCTCTTCCTTGCCATTGCTGCCATTCATCTATTTTACCAACTTGACATTTTTAATGTCTTTTTTCATGGTAACCTTGAGGGGGAGATTTATATGGAGCAACCTCCTAGATTTGTTGCTTAGGGGAGTCTACTTTAATGTAAATTATGTCAGTCTCTTTATGATTTGAAACAATCACCCCAAGCTTGATTTGGTAAAAATTGTCACATTATGCTGATTTTTGGCTTAAAATAGAGTGCATCTTATCACTCATTATTTTACTGTCATACTTCATTAAGAAAATGTGTTTATTTTATGGTTTATGTTGATAATATAGTTATCACAGACAATGATTCGACTAAGATTACTCATGTCTTGTACACTATAATTGGATCCAACATCTCACCATGCACCACAGCTTTAGAGCCCATGCAAGCTTAGTCCTTTAAATAGTGTTGTGAACATCACAATACTGGTATCACCACCCAAGTCGAACACAGTGAAAAACTTAGTACCAATTAATAAGAACATTGAGAGAACCACACCATAATGTTTAGCCTTTGTAGTTAAAGAGTTAAAGTGACCAAAGTCTCATACATCTAATGTGGAACTCAAAAAGTCCCACACCTTGTAATTGGACTCTTAACAGTTTCCTCAAATTTTGCTGTCAATGCACTTAAAGAGGAGATTCCTATTGTGCTAAGTGATGTTCCAAAGTACAGTTCTATACCATTTTAGATTTGACTTAGATGAAACTTAAAAACACCGGGTTGTTAGTTACGAAACAAAATTCACGGTAGCAAGCATTTCTTAGTGTTACAGAAAGGTAACCTGTGTAAAACAAATGAGTTGGTTTTTGTGTTGATGGCTGTTGTCTGGTAAGCTTTATCTGCAATCCTGTAAAAATGAGTGTTACAAAGATGTGTCAAGTAAAAAATGTATAGGAAAGACTATTTTTTTGTATACATTTCTTTTATGTTGTTCTTATGTTCAGGTATTTACATTTTATCGTCATTTTGTATACTGAGTATTAAGTGCTTCCTTCCTCTTTCTTTTTGGTTGATGGGGACAAAGAGGAAAGGAATGTCCCCCCTCCCAACTGAGATGTTTATTGCTTCATAGGACTTCAGTTTTAAATTGTTGATTTCCAGTCTGACTCCAATTTTATCAACTCTTTCCAGGCTGTGGATGATAAAATAAATGAATTTGAAATTTGGCATGGTCTAGCAAATTTATATGCTAGTCTTTCTCGTTGGAAGGATGCTGAAATATGTCTCCAGAAGGCCATGGAGTTGAAGGAATACTCTGCAGCATTAATGCACGCTCAAGGCAAGACCAAAAACCTTTGTGTTGTTTGAAGTTTCCTATTTAAGCATGTTGAACTTAACCCCTTTTGATCTAATAGAAACCGAGGTAGGACCGTGTATTGAATCCCTGGCATGAATAATAATGTATCTGGGGTGTAACTTCTCTAATTACTTACCTCTTTCCCTTTCTGCTTTCATTGAGGGAAGTTTACGAGAGCTTTTGGTGTACAAATATGCATGTCTTCCGTGTATCTTATTGGGTCCTATTTGAGGGGACCTTTTCTATGATAGACATTTTATATTTTCCCGTGTGCTTTGGCAGGTGTTTTGCTTGAAGGACGTGGGCAAAATGATGAAGCTCTTGTTGCTGCCATTAATGGTGTACTAATTGAACCAACCCATGTTCCATGCAAGATCTTCATGGGTTCTATGATTCATAAAATGGGTCCAAAGTATTTGGATTCTGCAAGAAGTTCATTGTCTGATGCACTCCGAATAGAACCCACAAACCGGATGGCTTGGTATTACTTAGGATTACTTCACAAGAACGATGGCCGAATAGGTGATGCTGCTGACTGCTTCCAAGCAGCTTCCATGCTTGAAGAATCTGATCCCATCGAAACTTTCAGTTCTGTACTTTGACAGCATTCAATTCCTGATCAGTTAACTCTGCAGCCAGCAGTGACATTTATGTCATAATGTTTTTCTGTTGATATATCTTCTGAGTTCAGTGGAACACATAGAAAGAGTTTTGGAACTGTATTCCTTTTATTTTCATTTTAAATTCTTGTAGGATCAAAGAAAAGGAATTAAAAACAGTATAGTAAATAAGATAAGAAAGGGATTGATATTAAACTGGTTGTGGGATGGATGAATTGTAAAGAACTTCTTGGACTGGCAGAGAGATATTAACGTTAAACTACTGCTCAGCCTTGTAAATATCCGTGGAGCAGTATCATTGTAAGGATAGTAGAGATTCAGATTTCTTCTTTTATGTGTTTCAGTTTGTTGGCTAGATCTACAAGCCAAAAGAAACTGTTCTGTTATGTACATTTGTGTAACTTTTTTTATCTTTGAGGATGTTTCATATTTATTTATATGTATTTCCCACCAAAACATAAGCATGTATAAACCCATTTCTATGATGGGCACATGCTTTGTTTGTTTCCCTCCTTGTAACACACAGCTACTGCTTGTGTCTTGCACCTTGAAAACTAGATTCGGCTTTGTTTTCCATGAATTTAAAGCTGTGAGTGATAATTTGATATTAGAGAGCTTCCTTTCACACTTCACTTTGCTTAATGCTTATAACTCACGACTTTATTTTCTTTTATATATATATATTGAATATGTTTAGTTTAGTTATAGCTTATGCTTGAATTTCAAAATATGTTTAGTTGCCTTTACTTATGTTTAAGTGATTTAAGAATGAATCTTAATTTTTTTTAAAGGCAAAATAAATTCTTATGAAAATAGCATTTCTAAGATCGCCATCTTTAGTGTTAAGATATCATTAGATTTTTATCTGCTTTTTACTTTAATGATAAATTTTATTTTAAGATTTTAAATAATCTTTTAGGTTCCACGATAAACTTTAATTCAATGTTTTCTGAAGTATATTTTAAAAATATTAGTTAAATTTTAATTAATTAAAAATTTAAAATATAAGAAAAAAATAAATATTTTATATTATATTAACAAATAGTAATGATAGTTACAAAGGAAAAAAATACATTTTTTATCATAAATTATAGTAATGACAAAAAGTATGATTTTGAATTTTTTTATTAAAAAATTATTTAATAATTTTATAAAAAAATGAAAATAAGATATCTAATTATATTACTTCAAATTCATATTTTTAAATAGTTACAATTAAAATTAACCTTAAATGATTTAAGGTTAAAAATACAAAATATTATAGGTAAGAAAATTAATTTAAAATTAAAATTGAAATATTTAAAATTAAAAAATAATAATAAAAGATTTTATATCTTATTTACAATATCTTTCCTAAAAATCTTTGAAATAGGTCAAATTTTGAAAAAAATATATAAATAAACACTATTATCTTACAAATCAACCCTTAGAAATGATATAATAATGAACAATACAATGAGATACTAATTTTTTGAAACCAACAAATATTTATATGTTAACAAATACTTTTCTATTTTCCCGTTTACATTAAAAAAAATCTCTTACATTCTAGAGTAAATTTTTGTGTTAAAATTTTTTATAATTAATAGTTTTAAATAATTTATTTATTGTATTTGTAAAAGGACAATAATCAACATTTTGAGAACAGTATTTTAGTTTGAGGAGATGGTACTTTAACCTCATGAAATCTTTGAGTATCTCTAATGCATGATTATAATACAGTCTGAAGGAAAGGTTTTATATGTATTTACTGTTATTCTAATTATAACTCGTGACAAATTTTACAATATTTCATTTTTTTCAAGTGTCTTTAGTTATATTAAATTATTCTTGTCAAACATATTTTAAGAGAGGACAATTCAGAAATACATACTTTTCCCAAGATGGCTATTTTTCAAAATATTCCTTTGATTCTATGAAAAATTCTCCACCTTCTATTAATATATCTCTTATAACTAATATTGTAAACATTAATTATAAAAGAATGTAATTTCTATTTTATTTATATTTTTCATTTCTTTCTCTCTTTTTTCTACTTCTATAAAAAAAGTTAAATAAATTTTTAATCCTTGTAAAATTAGTAACATGTTAAAATCATCTTTATAAGTTTTTTCGTGTGAATTGCATATCTATAAAATCTAAACTTATTTAGTTCAATTTTTTAACTTAAAAAAATATATTTTTGACAAACAGAGGTATTGACATCACTTATAATGTCATAGAGTTTAGTAAGATAATAAGAATCACATGTGAGAAAATCTCACCTTTTATCTTTTTTTTTTAGTCTGATTTTTTAACTCCCTTAAAAAATTATATATTTTGACAAAACAGAGGTATTGACATGACTTCTACGTCAAATGTCGCCAAGTTTAAGAATCACAAATGAAAGCACCCAACAGAGTTTACTTTTCATTTTCTTTTCTCTCCTTTTTGTTTTGCTTCTATAAAAATAAAAGGTAAAATATATTTTCAATCATTGTAAAATTGGTAACATGTTCACATCATCCTTGCAAAATTGTTCGGATGAATTACATGTTTATAAGATATAAACTTGTTTAGCCCAATTTTTTAACTCCCTTATAAAATGACATTCCTAACAAATAGAGGTGTTGATATGACTTCTACGACAAATATCAGAGTTTAATAAGATAATAAGAATGAAGAATGGGAACATCTCAATTTCTTCTTCCCTTTCTTTCCCTCGCATCCCCTTCAGGAACTCCTTCCCTGTCACCTAAAGTTCAACTTGTAATCATAACTAATACTAAGTGCTTCAATATGAACGTTAGCAACAATAACTTTCTTATCTTGAACAAATTTTCCAACATCCTATTCCATTGGATTTGTGTTAGTCCAACAACACTAACAAACCAAAGTCAAAGAGTTGAGATGAATATTTTATGGCTTCAAATCATGGTTGGTGATGTCGCAGTTGTGGTAGAAGTCAAGGTATTGATAAATTGTTGAAAGTACTTTTTAGTTATGTCCTTCTTCATCTTTTCTTTGTCCACTCTGCTAAAAAGTTCTTCAGTCCTGCATCTTTCCTATCTCCTAATTGTTGAATAGGATGTTCCTGTTACTGCTCATGTCCATGTCATTGGATCTACGATCCAGATAGGGAATATTGATTAAACTTGTGTTTTGAATTGAGATTTTTCAATTATAGATTTTGAATTAGGTCTGATAGTGGTGGGAAAGACCCATATCAAAGGGTTTTTACAGTACTTGAAGAGGTTAAAAATCTTTATAGTTACGTACAGATGACAAAGACAAAGGTTCATGGTGAGAATACAAGGATGACAATAGAAGTTAAGGATAAAGGTGGAAGTATTCGAGTTAGTATCAGAATTGATGGCGGTGGACACTCTATGTATGGCATCTGACATGGAAGCCATGTCAACTCCTCCGCCTGCTAATATTTTTCTTGCTCATAATTTTTATTGTTCCCAATCAAGATTCATACCACACTCCGTGGCAAGTAACATAGAAGTCATGTCAACTCCTCCGTTTACTAACAATGTAATTTTTCACAGAATTAAAAAATTAGACTAAAATTTTGTAAGGATTTTTATAACATATAATTTTACAAAGACAAAAAACATATTTTAAAAAAATCGAAAACAAATAGAGAATGTAGACGTATAGGTATATAGGAAATACAAACAAGAGAACGAAAGTAGTTAACCGCACAAGTCTTATCGCTTTGCCTTTGCCCATTGCCATCCATAATCATGTCTCGCTGCATATTGCTATTACTGATGCGTTGAATGGGTAATAGAAAAGAGGCTAACTTCCAGTCCTATAACAGTATGACAACCAAATTATCAGCTAAAATGAGAAGCGGCACGTGGAAACTGAACAGGATAATCTAATCTGTCAAGATAAATTGTATTAATCCAGAATAAGTTGTTATTTAACAGCCTACAGATAGTCCAGTCTAGTAACCCAACAAAGGGATTCCAAATCAGAATATTACATACTACATTACAATAACAAAATTTAACCTCTACTATGCCTATTCCAACCTACATGTTCTCTTCTTCTTGGGTATCATCTGAACTTTGGAGATGGCTTAACTTAACTCTCGCTTTTTTTGGTTGCGACGACTCTTGTCTTGTGTCATCGTCATTACCCTTTCTCTTCTCTCCCACATTGTTTTCTTCATCAACAGCAGCTGCAGGAGGTTCAGTATTCAAATCACCTTCCGATCCCAATTCAGATGCCTTGGGATCAGATTCTTCAGCTGTATCTTTATCTTCCTCGCCCAGTTCTCCATTTTTTGCTGACTTCTGATATTCCTCCAGAAAGGATCGGATTTCTTCTTTGCTAGCAAGATCCAAAGGGGTCTTTCCTGCCTTTGTCTGGGCACCAAGGTTTGCCCCTTTCTTGGCCAAGTACTTGACGAGTTCCAGATGGGAACCTTGAACAGCATAGTGTAATGATGTCATGCCTTTGCGGGTAAATGCTTTGAGAGAGGCCCCAGCTGAAATTAGAGCACGAACAACTTCTAAATGTCCCTTCTGTGAAGCAAAGTGTATTGCAGCCATGTCATCCATAGCAGAAGCACCAGCATCAGCCTTGTGCTTGCAGAGATAAGCGACTACCTCCGCTTGCCCAGAAAATGCTGCTAAATGTAGACTATGGTAGTCAAAGAAACAAAGTGACAGGGTAATGCTATAAAGAATTCCCAAGAAAAACCTAGGGTGTATACTTGACTCCTATTTAAAAATAAATAAAGAAATACAGAAAACAAACACCCACACCAAGCTCTTGTCGAACCACGTACAATACTACTCCAAACGACCTACTCCTTTGAGTTGACCATAAGACAGAAGAAGAGGATGAAAAAATATCTTCTAATTTTTTTGGTTTTTGGATTCCAAAAAACATGTTTTGAAAACAATTTTCAAAAATTAACCAATGTTGGACGAGAAATGAATAGTTGAATAGCATGAAATTGTTTTACAGAATAATTTTCGAAACCAAAAAGTGAGAGAAGTAAATCGAACAGACCCTTAGTCAGTACTTCACCAACATAAAATTTTGTTCGAATTCTGCTTACAACACAATCCGAAGAAACATTCAACCTCCCATATGGATTGGGATAGATATATGATGGCACCCACATAGGTATAAACAACATCACTCTTTCCTTACCCCCTTATCTTCCATGAAAATGTCTGTTTTCAGGAACGCATGCTCGCCATCATGTTACTTGTGACAAACATAATTAGGTGGTGTCATTCTTCAATCACAATTGAAGGTTCCGATTGTAATTCATGTACGAAAGGTTTGCATGAAAAATTAGCATAGGAATTTCTGATCAGAAAACACTACCAAAATCACTTAAAAACTGGATGTAAGTTTTCTTCAATAAAATTATAATGATGTATAAAATGAATGGTTCGAACAGGACAGGAAAATATGCAAGCCATAGAAAGGAACGAATGAAACAAATGCTGCAAGTTATCATATTGTTGAAATAACCAGCTAAAAGTAGTTGTCAATGGCAGCTACTGTGTTGTGTAGTGATAACAAGGAGGAATGAAAAGTATTTAGCATCAAACAAGAGTATTGTTATCTACAACAACAAGACATTGAAAAAAAAAAGATCAAATAATTAGGGTTCCTATCGCGTTGCGTTCACATCACAATCGAACTAATTAATATAGCAAGAAAAAAAAGTGAATGAGGAGGATACGGTGTTCTGGAATGCTTATCTCTGGAATTAACGGCCAAAGGATTTGAAGCCAAAATTGACTGAACGGCAATGAGATCACCGGACCTTGCCGCCGTATGAAGGTCGTCGGCGCTCCTCGGTCTCCGTGGATTACCCATCTGCTCCTTCTTCTTCGACGCCACAAAACCTTGTGATGTCAATTTTGAATATTTAACACTTCTTCTTCAACCTTCTCTCTTCTCCGTTCTTCTCTTCCGTTCTTCCCACAGTTTTTGCCAAAAGCCACACCCAACATATGAAACAAATTTTCTTTTTATTTATTCGTTTTCAGACTTTATTAAGTTGTTATTATTATTAAACTAATTTTTTTATGTCATTAATGAACATTTTACTAATTATGTAGATATTTATCGATTTATGCAAAATATAAAAAGGTTTAAAATATTTTAATCATGATTATGATAAAAGAAATATATGAAGGTTTTTATGTAAAAACTAGTTATTACCTTACTAAATAATATTTAAATAGTGATTTTGAAATGTTTTATAAATTTAATATTGTTTAGAAGATTGCTTAATTCATTCATCTTAACCAACCTTGAAGAATTCTAACGTTTAAAATTTAAGTTTATACATTTTAAAAGTTAAAATTTAATTGGTAACATTTTTAATTTTAAATATATTGAAATTTTAATAGTTGTGAAATATTTGATTTTCTAATTAACTGATGTAATGTCAAATGTTGAAAGCTTCTTACAAAATCTAATTGTTTTACATAATACACAATGAAACATGAATTCTGTATTACTCAACAACCATTATAATTTTTTTTAACTATTTACTTTATTGATTATTTTTTAATCAAAATATCTTTAATTATTTTAGTTCAAAAATAGTAAATGTTAAGAATTCTCTAAAATAATACGTAGAAAGTAGAGTTCTAAAATTTGTAAGTACTGTTGTTTTTGTACTTGATTCCATTACATGCTAATGAGTAAAAGGAGATGTCAAGTGACATAAGTGTCCATAACAAGAGTGTGTAAGAAGAAAATTTGAAGCATATAATCATATATGAAATGATGAGAATTAAAAATTAATTAATAATAAAAATAATAATGATGGGAGAGGCAAGCTCATAATCTCAAGTTGAAATCTTTTTATGGTAATCTTATAAATCAATGCATAGGAATTGCTTGGTAAAATCTTATATTACATTCATCCTCACTTTAGGGTTTGTATTCAAAAGCTTAGAACACGACAACTAAATATAAAACATAATTTGTTACCGTATCTAGGATTTATAGCAATTATTAATATTGGCTAAATCACTCATCACTAAATAAAATTGATGTGTTGTAAGCTAATACCGGTATTGAATTTAAATTCCAAACAATTAAATTAAATAAAATATTGGTAGAAAAGTTTTTCTATCAACGTAGAACATTTTAGTATTTCTATGGGTTACTATGTAAAACCTAATTATATTAAGACCTGAAAAAAAAAAAATATATATATATATATATATATATATATATATATATATATATATATATATATATATATTAAGCACCACACATATCATAGAATTCATCACTTATCCTATCCTATTCGATTAGTTCATTATCAGATAAATCATTAATTTCAATATCACTATAAAAAAAACAACCACAAAAAATATTCATGAATGAATGAAGTAAATCGAATATAACATTGTAACATTGTTGTATTTATATAATTTATTATATATATATATATATATAAATTATTATTCTCTATTTATTATGGATTAACATTAATCAATAAATTAATTTATTTGTAATTATCAATTATATTACACATCATAATTTTTTATAAATAATAATTTAATTTGAGTTTCTCATTAACTGTCCAGTGATGGGTTGGATTGTTCTGAATCAGTTATTTATTGAGAGATCCCTGGTCTCTGCTGATAGATGGATAAAAACGGATACCCCATTAGTCAGTTTTACATGTAAAAACCACTTTACACAGGTAACCTATAAGAAAGAGAGCAATATTTTCTCATACGCGCTCTATGGATCCTTCAACAATTCCAGGTACATAATCTTTTGAATATATTATATTTATTGTATCTTATATTATTATGTATTTCAAACAATTAGTATCGAGCCAAAACCTAACATCTTTCTGGTTATTGTCATGGTAGAAAGTTGCCCTTTAGTTGGGTCAAAAGTACCATTTGTCTAGTTCGGCAGACTTCGTTGGAGAGGCGTGTTGAAAGTCTCACATTACCTACCTCATGTCATTTAGTATGGTTTAAATACATGTTATGCTACTCCACATATTGTCAATTGGTTTTATGTTGGAACCTTAACATGTTCAAACAGAAAAACCTCTTATTGTAAATTTAGGATTCAAACAGAAAAACCTCTCATTGAAGATTTAGGGTTCAAATAGAAAAACCTCTCATTGAAGATTTAGGATTCAAACAGAAAAAATCTCTGATTGCTGATTTAGGGTTCAAACAAGAAAAAAACTCTAATTTTCATAATTGGGGGTTTTATTTAATTAGAGTTCTCTGCCCCATAAAAGAATTTTAAAATTCACTCCTTAATCAATTAATTTGAAGTGAAACCAGAAAGTTAAATTTTCATGTCTTTTGATAATAAATAATTATTAAAATTTATGATACGTTCTGTAAAAAATAATGAACTATTATATTCTGTATCTTTTAGTTTTGATACAATTGTATGAAATACATAATAATATAAGATATAATAAATATAATATATTCAAAATCCATCAAACGCATATGAGATCGAATATAACATAGCATTAAATTTAAAACCTTATTATAAGTTAGTCAAGTTAATAACTAAAAATAAGAAACGTAACGAGTTTGATACTTTCTCTTGGCTTGGAGTTGCTGCTGCGACAGTAATCCCGTGTTGGACCTATTATTCATCGTACGCGAGAGACAAAATGAACGTGATCCAAAGGAAAAGTTAATGAAATGTAATTTTGTGAAGTCGATTCTGGAAGCAGCCAAAGTGGTTTGAAGAATTTATATTTATGGCGTGATGGCGTGGAACGCTTTTATTTGCAAACTTATTAATGTTTTATTGCTTAATTAAATGGGACACTCATCTTATTATGACATCTTTAGTTTGAATAGATGATGAAGAATGGATTAATCTATTTTACTATGATTCATTAGCCTTGCGTGAAGGAAGCGTAATCATCTATACCTTCACTTGTTCCCTACAATCATGGCTTTGTGGAGCATTTTTGTGACTTGATTTGTTATAGCTCAAGATTGGACCCATCTTTAATTCTTTCCTTTTCTCTTCCTTCTACCCGTTTGCTACTTTGTATTCATGCAGCTACATTTCAAAAAATGAAGTTGGAAGGAGGCTTAAAGTTAACAAAAACATACAAAAGCAACCCAAGAAACGGTGCCACCTTCCAAATTTGCATGCGCTCTACCCACCACGCGTACTCAGCGTACGTCATTTTGTATTTATAAACGCCGTATCTATCATCCTTTTCCGCTTGTAAATGGAACTTTGATTCAAACTAATTTTAAAATTATTCAATTTATGTTTACATAGTTTTAAAATTAATATAATTTTTTTTAATGTATTACAATAATTATTAAGTTCACTCCAAAATCAAGTAATTTGGTAACGTAGAAGCGGACAGGTAATTTTTTTATCTGAATATTATATAATGTTTTGGCGTCACTCTTTTAGTCTGTATAATATTTATATCAATTTTTTATTGTATTACATTAAATTTTGGTTTTCAATTGGGATTAAGTTTCCAGAAATTCATGGGGCCCCAGCCAGTTGTCCCAACCCCTTTTATTTGCTCCCCCACCCACAGAGCCAAAGCAATGCAGAAGCTACGTTCAGAATTTCCAAACATAGAAAAACCACGAACACGTTCGGTTTCTCTTACGGCCAAACCATGAGATGAGCGATGATAAATGATATGTACGCGGACATGAAAATCACGCTCACAAAACCATTCATCCTAAGGTGCTTCCTCATCTCCCTCTTCCTCTCCCTCCCCTTCCTCTTCTTCTACCTATTCTTCCCACACCAACAACCCCTCCATCATTCTGTAACAACCAAAGACCTCAGAATCCGACCCGGTTACTCCTCCTACGAATCCTACATACAGCGCCAGCTTAACAAGACCCTCAACCCCAGGCTCCGGAAAATATGGACAACCCGCGACTGGGACCGCAAGATTTCGGTCTTCGCGCGGTTCTTCCAGGAGCTTAAGGACAAAAAGCTTCTCCAAAACACGTCAAAGGCGCTTTGCATCGGTGCGAGAGTGGGGCAAGAGGTGGAAGCGTTGCGGCGAATCGGAGTGGCTGACTCGGTGGGAATGGATTTGGTTCCTTACCCACCTCTGGTTGTGAAGGGGGACTTTCACAACCAACCGTTTGCCAACGACACGTTTGATTTCGAGTTCTCCAACGTGTTCGACCACGCGCTGTACCCGGAGCGGTTCGTGGCGGAGATCGAACGCACGTTGAAGCCCGAAGGGGTGTGCGTTCTCCATGTGGCGTTGTCGAGGCGAGCTGATAAGTACTCCGCTAACGACCTCTACAGCGTGCAGCCCCTGGTGGAGCTCTTCAAGCACTCCGCTTTGGTTCACGTTCGCAGCGTCGATGGCTTTGGATTGGACACCGAAGTTGCGTTTCGCAAGAAGATCGGGGGACCTACTCGGCATCAACGTTTGTGATTGGTTTTGTTTTCTCCCTCCTCCCTCCTCACTTTTTATTTTTTGTTTTCTGTGATAGGGTGGCCATTCTTTCTTTCTTTTTGGGTACATTTGATTTTCTTTTTCTTCTTTAATGAAGTGGAATGGTTGAGTGGTGATGATGAATCTGTAGTTTCGCCATTTAGCATATTGCACTGTGCATTTGCTTTGGTGACGGTAGGATATATAGCACTTCATTGTCTTAATTATGATGCACAAGAATTTCTTAACTGAAACATCTGTTTAAAAAAATCATTTTTTTACAACATTTTGTTATAGCATTTTTCTCTTTATTGTTGAATTTTAATAAATAGTGTGTTTTAATGTTGTTTACATGTAGTTGTCAATAAATTCAGTTTTAATTACCAGAAATAAACCTAGTCAGTTCATATGTGTTGATGTGTAAGAGAATACTAGATTGAGCAGTGTGGTGTGGAAGTATTGGTTAGGGAGAAATAAATAGACGTTATTCTATAAATGAAACAGAAGGAAGTGGTGGTATAAGATTGGCATGCATTAGCCACAGGAACTGATATAGCTTAAACTATCTACACATTCTTTTAGCATGTTTTCAACGAAAAATCAATTACTTACACAGATAAATTAACCATAATCACACTCTTAGAGAAGGGACCACCCTTCAATAAATATTCAACCAACGCATCCATTACATGGCTAAGAAGGAAATGAGTTATTTAATCATATTTTATATTTTTGGATACAAAACTAGAGGTACTTTTTTAAGTTTTTGGAATATTTACTATACATTTTCAATCAAATATTCAAAAACTATATCTCTGCACAATTCGCTTAGCAATTAGCATATGTATCAAGGAAATTGTCACAAAGTTATCAAAAATTTAATTACTCACACAGAACAAAGTAACTATAATCACACCCTAAGAGAAGGGACCATCCTCCAATAAATCTTCAACTGACACATTCATCAAGGAAACCAGTTATTTAATCATGAATACTACTGGTTCTGTTTATATTTTGTATATAAAATATAAGTACTTTTTAAAATTTTACTACTAAGAAAAATTATATTTTCAACAAAATAAATATACACAAACACTCTTATGTGCATGATTCACTAAACATATATTATTTAGGAAATTTGGTCACAAAGTTATTAACAAAAATTTAATTACTTACAGAACAAATTAAATACAATCACACTCTAAGGCCTTGTTTGTATCAAGACACAAAAACAACAAATGCGCGGAAAGACCAAGAAAAAAATTAGCTTTTGTGATTTTTTAGGGGAAACGCGAATCCAAAAATCTTTTATTTTTTTTCATAAAGAATGCGAGGAAAGTTATTGAAATTATAATAAATAAAAAATAAAATAAAAATAAAAATAGACATTGGGTTATTATAATTCTTAATAATATTTATTTTTTTTTATTTATTATTTAATGTACATTATAATGATATTATCTTATTGGGCGTCGTGGACTAGTAGAGGCTTAGCTTCAGCAGTGCCTTAAGACGGCCGCAACTACTAATTAGGTACGACAAAAAGTGTTCTGTGTAGGGAATCTATAAATACAACTTTTAAAGCCACAATAGCATAATTCAAACGAGGATGATTAATTGACATCCCATACATAATAAACAGCCAATAATATTAATTTAATAATATTATTGTTATTATTATATTAATATAATTTAGTCGTAAAAAAGGAATTTCAGATCTCAAAAGAATTTTTTCCAATTGAAATATCAATAATGAACTGGATATTTCGTCTTATTGGATATACGTAAGCTTTAAAAAACGATGATAATTTGTAATGTAGGAACAGTACCTACCACGTTCGTACCTGAAATCCTATGTGAATGAGTTCAATCAGTTATCAACTGGACTCCCTTACTTACTTAAATAAAAGATATTTAATAACAACCCTATATTAGGTATTCCGAATATTAACGGTTTCATAACAACTGTTTCTTTCTTTTATATATAATATCTCATTTTACAATTTACCATCGTATTCTTTACTCATACATAAATTGTTTTGTTTACTATATGATTACTTGATTGGAGAGTCTTCATAATTATCATCTGTATTTCATTAATGTAAATACTCTTCAAATTCTAACAAATAATATTTTATATGAATTGTAAGTTTCCATAAATGATAGAAAATTATCTCTATTATTCTATGGTACTAATAAAAGCTCAATTAAATTCACTACATGAAAATGGATGCAACAACTATTGTAAGAGCATTAAACCAGCAATATTCAATTTGTATATTTTTTTCATTTATATGATATTTACCTTTTTATTTTTATGTAATGGAAGATATTTTAATTCATTTTTCAACTTTTATCTATATCTCATCAATTCAATACTCTTCAAAGTTCTAGCAAAGTACTAGTAAAAATTAATCAAATTAACTATCGATGAAAATAGATGCAATAATCATTCTCAAAAATATTAAAGCTCTCGTGGATCGACGACTTCGATAAATCTTTTTAGATATTTTTGAGACGTATTAACATAAGAGATCTTTAGTAATAGAAACATGAATCAACCAAATTAAAGAATATGACATTAAATTTAATTCTAAATCTTAAAATATTATATTTATGAGTTTCTCTCACTTATAAATTATTAAATTTTCTCATTTTTATCTAATGTGAGATTACAGACTCACTCTTAAACTCTAAGAATCAAAACATCAAACATATACCATTTCATGTAAAAACAAATTTTCACAAAACCAAGCCAAAAAAAAATGGATGAGAAAACTTATATGCACAAAAGTATATATAAGAACACTTATTTTTATATTAGTGCTAATTCATTCCAATTGAATTATGTCCTAATCAATTGTTAAAAGATTTTGTTTCGTTTAGGAATGAGAATGTTTCAGCATCATGTTCGCTATGATAAGGTTAATTCTCATATTCGAAGTATTGTCTGCTTTAAAGCTCTAGTGAATTAGAGTATACCGTCTCATGTCCACTATGATAACATCGGGTCAATTCTTATTATGAAGTATTGCTCGTTTTAGAACTATAGTGCATCATGATTTTGTCTTTAAAAGATATTTTAGTGGGTTGGTTAAAAGAGGAAGATATATATAAACTAGTTTTAACCTCGACTCATAAACAATATGAGACCCATCAATACCAAAACAAATTCTATTATAATAAATAGTTTATAACAAATGCATAATGTCACTAGTAACACCCTCTTTAACTCTTCTTTACTTAACGAACAATTTTCTTTTTTCTCTGTGAAAAAAGTTACTCTTAACTTTTTTGAATACATAATGTTTCTCCAAGCAATATGAACAAAGTTTGAATAAAGATAATATAAGAAGATCACTCTCTAATATAAATTTGAGTTTCATAATAACTAAAAACCACTCCACATAATACAAAAAAAATGCTTATTATCTACGGGTAAAATCCGTAGGTAATGACAAAAATCCGTAGGTAATGCACTCACCTAAACAAAAATCCGGAGGCCGATACTCGCAACCACTAAGCTATTAGGATATTTTGATACTAGTTTACAAATAAATTATATTTATATTTATCCGTGTAAATATATAAATATAAATATATAAATATAAAATATATATAAATATAAAAAATATATATAAATATAAAAAATATATATAAATATAAAATATATAAATATAAAATATATATAAATATAAAAAATATATATAAATATAAAATATATATAAATATAAAATATATATATAAATATAAAATATATAAATATAAAATATATATAAATATAAAAAATATATATAAATATAAAATATATATAAATATAAAATATATTTATATTTTGATATATTTATATATTTTATACATTTATATATTTATATATTTGTATTTATATATTTATGTATTTATGTATTTATATATTTATGTATTTATATATTTATGTATTTATATATTTATATATTTATCTATTTATGTATTTATGTATTTATATATTTATGTATTTATATATTTATATATTTATCTATTTATGTATTTATATATTTATATATTTATATATTTATGTATTTATGTATTTATATATTTATATATTTATGTATTTATATATTTATGTATTTATGTATTTATATATTTATATATTTATATATTTATATATTTATATATTTATATATTTATATATTTATATATTTATATATTTATATATTTATGTATTTATATATTTATATATTTATGTATTTATGTATTTATATATTTATGTATTTATATATTTATATATTTATATATTTATCTATTTATGTATTTATGTATTTATATATTTATGTATTTATATATTTATATATTTATCTATTTATGTATTTATAAATTTATATATTTATATATTTATCTATTTATGTATTTATATATTTATATATTTATGTATTTATGTATTTATATATTTATATATTTATGTATTTATATATTTATGTATTTATATATTTATGTATTTATATATTTATGTATTTATATATTTATGTATTTATATATTTATGTATTTATATATTTATGTATTTATATATTTATGTATTTATATATTTATGTATTTATATATTTATGTATTTATATATTTATATATTTATATATTTAGACGAATAAATATAAGTATAATTTAGTTGTAAATTATTATTAGAATATCTTAATAGTTTAGTGGTTGAAGTATCGGTTTTCAACTTTAAGGTACTGGGTTTGATTCTTGCTAGTGACAATTCTTTTAGTTTAATATAATTTACCTACGGATTTTTATCTGTAGGTAATATTCCGTAGGTAATAAGCTTTTTTTTTGTAGTGACAAAGGAAGAAGAGAAGGATAGATTTTCCTTAAAAATTAAGTGAAGCAAACTTGAAAATATCATAGTAGGAATCCAAGCAAAATTTTTGTTCATGGAAGCATTTTATACATGTTTTCTACACGAGAGTATATCATTTTATAAGTTTCACATATTATAGAGTTGTTTTATAGATTCTATAACAATTTTTGTGCTTGGTTTGGGAACCATGTAAGAAATGATGAAGAATATTTTTGAGAAATTCAACTTTTGCAATGTTTTTATTTTCTTAAAAGGAAATATTTTGCTTTGTGTGTATATCAACCTTACATTTTGTATTAAGAATTGTTTAGAGCACTAAATGGTTTGGTGAACACTATCTTATATATAGTGTCTTAGCATTAACTTATTAAAGGTCATATGATGTTGTACTATAAGATGTTTTGAAAGAAAACTTCAATTGAGATGCAAAGAACTAATACATAGAAGCATCTAAAATTTTAGTTTTGCATAGGTCTCATTTTCACACAATTAAATACTTAAAACATAATTATATTTATTAATCATCAAAATCATTATTTATCGTTAAATTTTATAAAACACTTTGGATAGTCTAGATGAAGAGAATATAACGATAACTTTATTGATAAGTAATGAGTATATTATGTAAGTCATCAAATCATACAAAAGAAATCAATAATGACTTAAAATTTGTTCCCAATTAATATCAAGAAGACAAGAGAATCCTTTCACTATGAGTTTAAAAATAAGACAAAGATTGATATACAATCTTTTTACCAAACAACCAACTATATTAATAAAATAATAATTTTTAATTAATTTTATTTTGATTGAATCACTTTATAAATATAGTATTAATAAATAAAAATTATCTAATAGATTTTTTTTTAATATATCATGATATTAATATGAAAACCAACGAGAGATGTGCATCAATAAGAGGTAAGACATCCGTATAAGCTTTCAATTGAGAAGGATTGTTCGGTACATCAGTTTTTTCTCTTGTTTTATATTTTTTCTTTACCTTTTTCTATAATCTGTTATAAATATAGGTGTGATGGTAAAAGCATTCAATCCAACGGTACAGCAAATAGTTGGAGAAAGTAAGAAACTATGAGAGTATTTATAAAGTATTAGAATAACTACGCCTGATGTAAAGCGCAAATTTCAGTAAAGATTTAGATAATTTGTTTGATTATTGTTAAAGTAATGTTTTTTTCCCTAAATTTTAATTTGTTTATATGTGATATAAAGTAAAAGTTAAATTTACTTTCAACATAAAAATAATAACATTTATAAGAAAAAATAATTAACATTTTAATAAAACTTATGTACCCGTATTATAGGTAATAATAGTTGCTATTCTTCAATTAAATTAAAGTTTTACTTTCAAAATTTGTAATGTGTAAATTTCAAATGAAACTCTAAATTTAATTGGAGGATAATATAATACATTAGTATCGTCCTTTTAATTAATATATAACTTTTGGTTATTTTATGTTTTGTTTTACAATATTAAAAAAGAAAACTTAGAAATATATTAGGAATTTAATAAAATTTAATACTATTAACTTATATTAGTATATGTTAAAATTTTGTGGTTGAGATGAAGTGGTAACTGGAAAATATTTCTAATTGACATGAAGTAGCTAGAACAGTACTATATGCATTAATTTGGTAATGGTCTTTATACAATATAACATACGTATATTCATCGTCAATGCTTGAGGTGATTTACATTGTTTTACATGAGTTTTCTCTCTAGATTAGATTGCTATCTGTCAACACGTTATACTATAATGGACTAACATACCGTGAACTTGTACAAGTCCTAGCGTATTATCCTATTCTTGCGACTGTGACTAGTGGAATTATCTACAAATTTGCACCAAGCTCTAGTTAAGCGCTCGATTTGTTTTTTTTTTTTCGGTTTTAGGTATGACAGGGAACACGTCTACGTAGAAATCCATCACCCCATAACCTAAAATTGAAGAAGAATTACAATTTAATAAACTATAAATAATTGAACGTCACCTAGCCTCAAAACAAATACTAAAATCTGATTTTCAGTAATTTTCTTTTTGTTTTGTGTAGCTGTACTTTTCACTAACTGCCAAAAGTAAGTTTCAATATTTCGGAATGGTTACCCTAGCAAATGTGTTTTTTACTGCAGAGTCACAATTGGAATACAACGAATCAACTATTATTTAAGAAATAATGATGATCTATTATTTAATCTCAACTTTTAGTTATTATTATTCATTTTTAGGTGGTGATGTTGGATTTCTGCGTATAGACCCCTTCCATTCTTAAAACAAATTGTGATAAATGCTAACCATATTTATATTTCAATTTTCAACAGAACATACATAAAGTCATTCAAGGAAATCGTCATTCGTGGTTTAATTCAAACGCTAAAAGAATGAATACGTAGCGAACAGTACGTAATCCCATAATAAACCATGAAAAACGTCAAAAAAGTTTATGTTTACCTTAAAGCAATCAGCGAGCAACTGAACATCCACCAAGATACTGATGGTTAATTTGATGAAATTCCATAACGTTTTCGTAGAGAGTCAATTGCCTTCTCAAACGACTGCGAAAGCTCGACGATAGAAGTCTTGCACGCTGAAATTTTGAAAGAAAATTACTATATGACTAATGAAAATCCGTACAAAGGACATTTAAATACAAAAAATGTCGAACAAAACTACATCTCAAATTATAGTGATGAATGAGAATATAAGTATATTTGAAATTTATTGTCCTATGCATACCACGGGATGCGCTAGCCTGTGCTTCTACCATGAACTCCTCATAAGAAGCCTGAAAAAAAAAAAAAAATACATTAGACTCTCAAAATGTTTCCAAACTATAGTTGAAGTGACAGGGAAGGAAAAGAAACAACACCTTCATTGCATCTCGGCTTTCCGTTATCCGTTCAGAAACCTTTTTGTATTCCGTCTCTGCTTCATCCATTACTTGCTGGTATGCTTGAGTCTGCATCTAAGTTTTCAAAAATGGAAACAACTATGTGATTTATTAATGATTAATCCATATATTAATTTCGATTAAAACAAATTTGTCACTCTCAGGTTTCCTAACGTTGATTTCTTGAACAAATATATATACCACATAGGGATTAATCTTCAGAATTCATTTTCTACTTCTGTTATTTCAATTTTCTCCTATATACCACATAGGAATATATATACCACTTCAGAATATATATACCACATAGGAATGTGCTAGCAGTAGATATCAAGCATTACGAAAACAGAGATAATAACGCGAATATTCCATAACAATCTGTTTCGAAGATGAAAATGTTTGAATAAATTAACAAAATCCAAATTCACGTTTGACATGGTCTTGACTATTTTCAGTTGCATGACACATTTTTTGTTTCATTTGTTTCTCCATCAACCAGGTGAGAATTAATTAATTGAAAAACTCAGAAAATTTCTGGCGCATTCTGTAATGCGATCTCAGAGATGCGATCTTATGCAGATTGTGAGAAAGTGAAGGAGAAATCTAGAGAAGAAACCTTGAAGCGTTTGTGGAGACGCGTGTTTGAAGCCTCGAGATCCTTGAGGAACTCGGAGTGAGAGCGATCGATGCGACGCTTGAGATCTCCGATGCCGGAAGAGGCGAAGTTTCTGAGGTCGGAGATGTTGCTCGGCGCTCTGTGACTGCGAGGTGGAGAAGATCTGGTGGCGAGAGCAACTCTCTTCGCGCCCTTGGAGGTGGAAGCCGTTCTCGTAAAAATCGCTGGAGAATCCGCCTCTGGTGAAGCCACCGGCGACGGTGTTTTCAAGAGATCGGCCACCGTTGGTTTGGTTTTCTTTCCCGTCTTCTTCATCTCTTTTGTCACAAGTTTCAGATTGATTTTGAGATTAAGCGGTTAACTTAGGGCGCGAAGTAATTTTTTCTTTTTTTACCATTTTTTAAATGAGACATGAAAGTAGTAATAAATCACACCAAAATGATACTTATATTTATATATATATGTATATATATTAATAAGATGTGTAAAAATAATAAATATGATATATTAATACAGTAGTGTTGTTCTGAAAATAATTGATGATTAAATACATTAAATAATTTAAATCAAAATTATTAAATTAATCGTATATTATATTTGTTTAAACTGAAGTCTTTATCGATTAAAATGATGTAATGACGTGTTTTTGTAAATTTAAAATACATGATTTAAAATTTAGAAAGAGAAAAGAAGGTTAGAAAAAATATATCAAATAGGATAAGAAGTTTTACATAAATGGAAGAAAAGTATTCAAATAAAAAATATATAGTGACTTAAATTTTAAATCTTAAAATATTAATTTAAATATAATTAATTAATTAAAAATAATATTTATATTATAAAATTATCTACATAAATATTAATTATTTTTTATAAATAGATTAATTTTTTAAAATCAATTAAGATCTCATTTATTTTTAATAATATATATTTTGATATATAATTATAAAATATTTTTATTATATAATATATTAAAAAAATACTTAAAATATTATATTAAAACTAATAAAACCTAATAAAAAATATTAATTTTATAAAATAATTTTCTTAATATAAAGAAAATATGTGGTTTCATTTTTTTCTTATTACTTAATAAGAGATTTTTTTTTTAGTTCATTTTTCTAATTTAGTTATGTTTCACGTTATTTTCTGAGTACAACCTTAATAATCTTTATATTAAATGAAATAAAAATTGGATATTCAATAATTTATTTGACAAGATATAATGTGATAAAAATACAGTCTAGAAAAACTATCATATCTCTTTATCTAGTTAATAAATAAGTTTTTGGGAGTTAAAAAAATTATTTTAGTCCTATTTAATATAAAATTTCCTAATAATAAAATATTTAAAAAGCGAGGTGATATGAACAAATATAATACAAAATATTTTATATTAAATAATTAATATTACTATTTTGAAAATTACATCACACCACTTGAGAATCGGTCTAAAAACTTATTTAATATTTTCAAACAATTAAATTACAATTAGATCCATACAAAATTAGAAAATTCTGAAAAATAAATTAAATATTTTAATTAAATCGATTTTAATAAAAACAATTAAAAAAATCAAAATTTTTAATTTTTAAATTTTTAAATCTAATTTCTTATAAAAATATATTTTTATTTTATTTTTACCTTATATTAATTACATTAATTTTAATAATTAATTTACTGTATTTTTATTTTATTTTAGTTATCATTTATTTTTTACATTTTAATATATTTTAAATTAGTTTATAATTATCACGATAATCTATATTATTTTTTATTTTATCTTATAAAAATAGTATTTTATTAAATTTATTAGATCTAATTTAACTTTTAAATCTAAATTTATATTTTCGTCGATAAAAAAACATTTATCAATACTTAAATTTGGAAAGGTATAATATATTTTTAATCAACTATAGGATTTTAGTAATCGATGAGAAACTTACAAACATGTTTTTTATTTTTATTTTAAATCTAAAGAATATGAAATAAAAACTTTTTTATACAAATTAAAAGTATACCTCATCATATTTTGTGCTTCAAATGTATTTCAACTAATATATAGTATGAGTATTAATGTTTTTTCTTGTCCATTATTGATTAGTATCCATGTAGTGTGTATAAGATAATAATAATAATAATAATAATAATAATAATAATAATAATAATAATAATAATAATAATAATTATTATTATTATTATTATTATTATTATTATTATTATTATATTAACTTTCGTTTGATTCGGAGGTGTCTAATAGATAGAATCACGGGATAAAAAAACTATGTCTCACACTACCCAAGACAATTTTTTTTAGTAAATAAAATAGGTTAAGAATTTTATGAAAATTTAATTAACTGGAAAAAAAATAGACCTTAAGTCATTCAAAATGTTATGTAAACCTATCAACAGATTTATTTGAATGTATCATTAATATACTATTTTTATAACATACTAAAATCATATATCTATTTATTTTTTTAAAATATCAAGAAAAAAGAAAAAGTCTATGAATTTATAGAAGAATAAACTTGTGTTACATTGACTTTCCATATACTAAAATAGAGTTTTGAACAATTGATCCTAAAAAAAAATTAAGTTAGAATCTTATAAAACTTTAATCTAATAAAATTTAATCTAAATATGTTCTCCAGCGTCTCATGGCATGTCTTAAATAATAACAATTTATATTTTTGTAGTTTATATATATTTTTAGTCCACATTATTTTTTCATCAATCTATTATTCAATTAAGTTATTTAGGGAAATACCAACTTCAGATATGAATATAGATAAAGATAGATAGAAAATCATACCATGTTTAAATAAAATCATGACGAGTAATGAAAGAAAATGTTTGAACCTTTAATCCTTTAAATAGACAAAGCTTATATTTAAGTAAAATCTTATTTGATCACTATCTATTTTCCTTTTAATAGTGTGTGAAATACACACCCTGGAGATAAACAAAATGTTAAGTATCTGATGGAGTGAAGAAAAGTAAAAGTCTCGCTGCACAAGCTAAGAAGTCTAATATAGAGTGTCTCGAAACAAATATTCATATAAATGATATTTTTATAAATTATTGAAAAAAAATCATATTTTTATATATATAGAAAATTTGTAAAGATAATTTTATAATAGTTAGAGTAAATTAAAAGTTAAAATTAAATATAGTTATTAATATATGAAAAATATCTTATTAATTTTAATAAAATAAAACTATATACATATATCATTTGCATAACAACTACTAAGAATATAATGCTTTTGTCTCAAACATTGTAATAGACCCGTGAGGAGAGTTTAATGTTTTCTTTAGAAAATTATGTAATTGTTTGGAAAAAAAGTCTATGAAAACCTCTAGAAAAAATTTATTTTATAATTAAAATTAACTTATGTTTGAAAATTAAAATTATAGTTTATATATAAATTAATTTTAATTTATAATAAAATTTACAAAACAATTTACCACAAGAAAAGGAATAATTGGGATGTCAAAAAAATGATTACTTTAATTATTCCCCTCCAGAAATTTTACCTTTTGAGGAACTCGCTTGAAAAAAAAAATCCTAAATTTCTTCTTCAAAATAAATAGTAAGAGCATCCACAGTAGTGGTACCAATAGCATTTATTTTTATCAAATAATGCTTATCTACACGAATAAATAGTTGCATTATCTGCTAATATTTTTTATTTTATTTTTCTGATTCCTGTCCTTTGCTTCCTTCGAAGTCCACAGGTACCATTCGAGGAAAGTGATATCTTGGCGATCATAATCAACAAGGTGCATTAGCTTTTCATAGGATCAAATCCAACCTTTTGATAATACCTTTTGAACCCAGACCAGGAGAAAATAATTAATGCCCACAGGACGCTGAGTGACATAAACTTTTGAAGTAAATTAGTAATCTCCACATGCAATAAAATACATAACATGTTGAAAATAGTAGGTGGAATAAAATATTTAAATGAAAATAATAATACTGGTACAAATAGTTTTTCAAAGCACATCTACTAAACACTGTAAAAGTCACCCAAGGAACTGGATTCATGATTTAGCTTCTCTGTCAAACACGTCCGTCGCCCAAACCATTTAAACTAAAGAAAAAAACGTCTCTAACTTATTTTCTTCCTTTTTCAAATGGCAACAAGTAAACGTGTTTCCCATGAAATTCTAAATTATACCTTCCATGTTTCTAATTGCCCTCATCTATCTTGATCAAACTAGTTGAAATGAAAAATGTAGGATACAAGGTGCCCTTTTATGGTTTAAACAAAACTAGCTTGCTTAAAGCCTTGAAGAGCAAATGTTCTGCATGTATTGAAACAGCACAGATTAATACACCAAAGTGCGACTCTCCTCCTGATTGTCAAAATCAGGGAGCTCAGAACTCTGAGAAAACTTCATCCATCTATTTTTCTCAACATATTTCAGGCAAGGCTGCAACACAAGGCCTATTGCCATAGCAAAAAGGCTTACAACCATTACTTTGAGGGAGGAGAAATACAGCACTACACAAATCAATATTGTCGGAGGGATACAGATGAAAATTGCTCCAGCTGTTCCCCCTGGTATCTTGTAAGGGCGAGAAGCATTGGGGTGTTTGATCCTTAATAGGATGAATGCAATAAACTCCAAAATCATTCCAAAACAGTACAAGAAATTCTCTGCAGCTACAATTTCTTGAAAGCTCAGCCATGAAAGTAAAATCACACCTGATGCTGAAAAGAGTATTCCTATGAGAGGTGTTCCATGGCGAGACCTCTTGCTAAAGAACTCGGGCAACATTCCCCTCTCAGCCATCCCTAGGAGCTGGAAAGAATCACTGCTCATTTCAGCAACAAACATTCCCATATTTGACATTGCAGCTGCGGCCTGAAGCCACCATCTCAACCATGCTCCTCCTATAAGTAAAGCAACTTCGGCGAAGTAGCCATCCGACCACAGATCCCGGTTGAGGGGAACAGCACCAGTACCTATCAGAAGAGGAAAGAAGTAGCCTAGAACTACTAGGATCACAGCGTAAAACAAAGCCCTTGGAAGAGTTTTCTTTGGATTTTCCACTTCTCCAGAAAGAGTACTTATGGAGTCCCAATAGTTAAGATTCCAAAATAGAGTATTCAGATACAAATTCCAGTCAACATCATTGAGATTTGTCACAGCCCATCTTGAAGGCTTTAGATCTGGAATTGCCAAGAACCCCATTACCACAAAAGGGAGGAGTGAGAAAATCCCCAAACAAACAGCAACCCATCCCACAATGACCATACCCCTATAGTTCAAGTAAGTGAGCACAATAGTCAGACCCAATGTTGCAGCAACTCTAGGAAAACCACCACCTAAAGCTGGGACTCCTGACTTCAGATAGTCAAGAAAGAGAACTGGGTATAAAGCATTGTCTATCACCCCACTCAGCCATTTCATCCAACCTTGCTGAAACCCCCAGTAGGGACCCAAAGCAGAGGAAACCCAAACCACATAACCACTGTTTTCAGGGAACATGGTACCCATCTCAGCAGTGATCAAAGCTTCAGGAATACTCCATATTAATGGGAAAACCAAAAATCCAAGGAGGGCTAACAGAGGACCAGCTGCCTGCACAGTATCCTCCACCCCAAAAGGCCCCCCTGAAACCTCATAGAAGATGAGAAAAACAAGAGGAAGAACTGAAACTTTCCTTGAGTGATTTGCCCTGGTAGAAGGTAATTCATCGACAGCAACATACTCGCCCTGCGTGAACTCCCCCATTTCAATGGAAGCTTGTTGTCTATTAGCAGCCGCAATCCTCAATTTCTGCACTCATTTTGTTTTTTTCAAGAATCACAAAATCAGAAGTTGAGGAGTGTTACAACAGTTTCTGATAAACTCCTTTTTAACATAGTCATTCTATTGAATAAAACGTTTTGAAAATTAAAAAGTTGTAATTCATACTTACGAAAAAAAATAAAGAGATATACCAATTTTTACATATTTTAATAAATTTCAACACCAATAGTAGAGAATGTGTTAAATAAAGAGTGACTCCAGACTATGGTAAGCACCTTTTTCTTAAAAGTTCATACATGGACCAAAAACATAGTTTCGAGATAACACCATCAAACAAAATCAAGTGCTTTTTAGACTCAAGCTTTCGAACAAAAGTCAGAAAACTCCACCGGGTTCGTCGATTATGCCATAAAAATCCCCTCGTACATCAACAGAACCAGCAAGCCACCAAAACACACGGTAAAGTGAACCGAAAAAAATGATTACGAAGATGTGTCTTCTAGGCTAACATAAATTTCAAACATTTAAAGTTAAAATAAACACGCGCGGATCAGACAGGGGGGGGGGTGGGGGAACAGATCTTGGAACATCCATCTCAAATGACAAAAGAGAATCAGGAACAACAAACGATACCTTCCTAGGATTAAACCCAACCGTGAAAAGTTTCGAAAACCAAATAATAGACCCGATCCAAATGAGGGCAGGTAAAGAAGGATAAAAGTAATTTGAAAAATGAGAGTGGAAAATGGTTAACGAACGAACCATGAAAAAATTGCTAACCCATCAGGGTGGAGAAGATAACATCCTCCACAGTGGAATCCAAGGAAAGCCACCATGCCTGTACACTCATAACCCAAGAAGGATAAAGGCGTCAAGGAATTTTATATGAATTTATGAACGTTTGAGTTTTTTTGTTGAAGCGGTGCATAACTTTTGAATTGCTATTTCATAAAAACTGAGTTACGCCAAGCATGGAAATGAACAGAATCGGATTCGAAAGAAAGAAAAAAGATATTTTATTTAATTGTTTGAATTTGTTATCTGATCATTCGGATTAGTTTGATATTAAATTTAAGTTATCTTGATTAGAGAATGATTAAGAAATTAGAAAAATTATTTTTAATAAAATCATATTTAAGTGTATAGAATGTCATAAAAAGTTAATTTGATTTAATTTAATTAACTTATCATGGTTTGGGTAGAATATATTTTCATTTTGAATGATAGTTTTTTAGCACTATTCTTGATTTAAAGTATTTTTAGAGTTATTCTTATATGAAATTATTAAAATTAATGAAAAACAATTGCCTCACCCAAGTTATTTTTCTTTCCAAAAACCTTAATTACATAGGCTAACATAGTAATATAATTTTAAATTCAAAATCAAACATATTATATATATATATAAAAACAATGAAGAAGATAACTTTCTTAGAAGTGAAAGATAGAGTAGCAATTAAGAAAACACGTTTTATGCATATACATTTAAATATAAAGTTTTATAATAATTATAAAGTGATAAGATGAAAATAAAATATAAATATTAATAAAATATTTAAAATATGAAGTATTTTATATATAAACATTCTTAAATAAATATAGTACTATATGTACGACACATTAAATGGAAGAGGTGGTTACGATTCATGATCACGTGCTCCAATTAAAACTATTGAAAGGTTGATTTTGTTTATGAAAGAGGAATGTTGAAGGAAAATAATCAAACTTATTATCAGTATGAAACTCTTAATTTTAAAAGAGTAGTGATATTTGTACAACTAAAAATCATGTAACTTTTTAAATAATATACTTTTATTAATATAATAATTTATTGATTTAATAAAAATAAATTAAAATTATTATTATAATATTAAAATAGAATTATTTAGAAGAATGATATAGATATGAATTGTAAAAGTATCATTTTCCATTTTAAAAATGAAAATAAAATTTTCACATGTATTCTTGGTCAATGTTGTACAATATAAACATACAAATGGCTATGTACAACTGACATGAATTAATATCATGACTACTTGGAGACAAGAACCACAAGAGGATACAGCTTTTTAATTAAAATAATCAATTCAGCCATAATAATTCATCCTCGTGAACCATGAATTAGTATATTCTATTACTGTAAAGGCTTTTCTAACCAACCTAGTAAATAAACATTGTTGTCTAGTGAAATTTATAAAAAAAATAAAAAATAATGTTTGAATAAATATTTTAAAAATAAGTAAAACATATTGTTCTATAATTTTCATTTAATAATTATTTTAGACAAGAAAGGATAATATCAATTGAGATAAAAATGTAAGATAAATTGGTTAATAACTTCTAAAAGTGTTATGATGGTAAGCAATTTGTACAAATTATTTATCATTTTTTTTTTCAAATTTTAAACATTTAAAAAGTGAAAAACATTTTTGGAAACCTTAAATAAGATGCAATTAGTTGTCTGTGTTAAAAGATGGGTCACATTGTTATTAATTATCACTAATGTTTAGTGAGTGGTAGTTATTTTTATAATGTAAATATTTTATTAATCAAATCCAGAGGTGATGGTAATTATTATGATTATTCAATGACATATGTTTAGCTATAATTTAAAATCATCACTGATTATAATTTAATGACATCTTTTTTATTTTAACATAATTTTGAAAAAAAAATCATTTAAAAACAAAAGAAAAAAAATGTCAACTTGTAATTCAAATGATGAAAGCGTTTAAGATGCTTTAGTATAGAACACCCAACCAAGGTTACATTTAGAGGGTATAAAAAAAAAGTATATTTTTTAAAATTTAATTTTGATCCTTCTAATTCTTATTTAAGATTTTTGGTTTTTATTTTACTATATAATTTTAGTGTGTAGATTTTGAAAAATAAAAATAGTCATATTTTTAAATATATCACACCTTATGTTTAATATTTTAAAATAACTAAAATATCTATTAATGGTACCTTAAATAAAGGTGTAAGAGTTTAGGATTTAATTGAATTATATAAAAATAAAATGTATGTACTTTTTGAAAAAGAAAAATCAAACTAAAATCATAGGAACTATAGATTAAATTTACTATCCATAAAGTAAGAATAAAGTATAAAATGAATGCTATGAATTCTTTCTAACTACTTAACCTAAAACTGTTAGATGAAAGACCAAACACGCAACAAAAATATCGGTGAAGGAGTGGACCTCTTGATTATGATGCTTGGAAGTATCCAAAAGCGGTGGTGGAGAAGACGGGTCCTCCTCTGCAATTATGCTGTCACCTACTAATTCTCTCTCGTTTTCACCGTTGACAGAAACGGAAGCGGTTTGGACTACAAATTCACCAGGTTCTGCAACTCTCATCCTGTTCCCAACAAGTTCCAATGGAAGAAAAACCTTGATTCGCTTCCACTGAATCTTCGCACAGTTTTGTTTTGTACAGTAGTAGGGTTATATTGGTAGTTCCACTGGTTAATGCAGACAATTTAGAATGAATAAAAAAAATAGAATTTATATAATTGTGAAAGTAATTATTATAAAAGTTAAAGTTTACTTATATTATAATTTTTTTTAGGCAAAAGAAAATAAATTGTCGTAAACTGTGTGGTTGGAAAAGAGTACTGGTGGGTGGTGCTTCATTTAAAGTAATAATGGTCATTGCCGGCTCTGGTGCCAGCATAAGTGTAAAAGCAATAAAAAAATTCATGAAAATAATGGTAAATTTGATTAACTTAAATAAATAATTCTGTGATAGCTAATTTCTTCAGAAATATATATTATTTGTTAAAAGAATTAAAATTATTTATTTTTAATACATAGATTAGACCAACACATAAATAAAATATTTTGCTTTATTAAAAAATAAACTCGCCCAATATCTCATTTTTTACATGTTTTTTTTTCATCTTAAATTAAGGGGAGATAAATTGAAAAAAAAAAAACAGAAGTGTTAAAATAACGGTAAAAAGTACTATTGAGTTATTTGCTAGAAAAATTAGGTGGATTTTTTACTTAAGATGTTGCAATTTGATTTATTTGATGGAAGATAAATTAATTAAGAGTGTCTCACACAGAGGTTGTTTGATGTGATACTTAAATAAAATATTATTTGTTTTAAATAAATTTTTAATAAAACAATCATATTTTATCTATTTAAAAATTTATATAATTAATCTATTAATAAAAAAATTTATTAGAATAAAATTAGTGATGAGTTGTTTAATAATGATGTAGATAATAAATTTATATTTTATATTTTTTAAATAAAAAACAATTTATATAAATTATTTTCCTTAAAAATCCTCTTAATTTTATAATTTCTACTATATTTAGTTTTGTATGGAAAGAAGTTGAAACATTTTTTAGTGAATGGATTACATTTTTTTTGCATAATTGAGGACTTAATTTAATGAATAGGTTTCTATTGGTGGGAGGAGAATAAATGTGAGAGGAAAATGATCGAAAAGAAATAAATCTGAGTTAAAGTGGAGTGAAAAAAAAAGTCTAATTAAAATAAAATAGAGTAAAAAAAGAGTGAAATAAAAAAATAAGTAATTGTGTTTTTGGTTTGAAATTAAAATAAAGGAAATGAAAAAAAAAAACTTTTATAATATACTTATTTACTTTCAGTTCTTCATAACAAATTATATATATTAGGAATAAATAACCGTGTAACTCGTGTGAATTTTTAGCTCTTTCCCTATTTATTTATTCTAATCCCTGTGGAAACATGATAGGCCCATCATTTTGTACTAATTTCAAAGTCTTTATTTCGATCAAACACCTTTCTAATTCTTTTCTTTCGTCTTCGTCAAAGTTTCATGTCTATTAAGCAAATCATTGAAAAAATGTCAATAATTGATCACGCATAATTCATTACAGGTCCAGCGATATCCGACATAGATGGAGCCACCTTACTACGAGATAAGAGGTAGTTGGAGGAAACGAGACCACCTTAATCCGCTCATTGGTTATAGGCAAATAAATAGAAAAGGTTTGATTTACTAAGAAAGTGTAATTTTTGAAGAGTTAAAAAAAAAAATACAAATTTTATATTTTTTCTGATGAAAGAAATAAAAATATAAAAAAAAATCGATTATATTTTAATTGTTTATTTTTTAATCATTGTAATATATATATATATATATATATATATATATAATAAATTAATTTATTTAAAATTTATAAATTAATATTTTATCAGTTAAATAAATCCTATATTTTTAAAAAAATTTAAATTTTCATTTTTTTTCATAATCTAAACAATTTTACTTTTTTTTTCTTTCTTTTTAATTCTCTTAAATCTACTCTTAAAATCAAACACTAGTTAAATGGGTAAAATTTTCGCTAATAAAAGTAGTACGAGAGTGTCTCACAATAATTTATAAGCCTTTTTAAAAATAAGTACATTAGTTTAATATTGATTTGGCAATTAGAATTTCATAAATACAAGTATTTTAAATATATAAAAATGAATCAACAATATTATTGAACGATTATCATTTGAAAAATAATATATAATTACTAATAAATACACGTGTTAGTGTTAGTAAGAGATCAATAAAAAGATCGAAAAAGTGAAAGGAAGCAAAAATCGAGAACTATACAATTGATTGAAAAATCGATAAAATTGACAAGAGACTTGGTGATCACAAAGATAAAAACATATCGAGTATTGAAATCGAGAATCGAGGGAATAATACTTAACGTCCGTTGGCGAAGAAAATCAAGAAATCAAAATCATGTAACGTTGAGGATACCGAGAATCAAAAGCAATCTAAAACCCTCGAAGTCTAAATCGAAGGGAAGGCTAACATACGCGAATATCGAAATTTTGGCTAAAAAGAACAGTCGACGTATACATCGAACATAGTAAGCGGTGACAAAGGCTGAAGGTCAAGGGAACAGTTACCTCATGCATGGGAACGTGAATGCAGTTTCTAAACCATAGAGCTATGAGCAAAACTGCAAAAAGACGTGCACAGAGAACGTGGTAGCAGTTTTCGTTAACTGCTCTTAAGAAACTACTTGAAAAGACACTATAAATAGAGCGAAGGATGACAGGGGAGGGGTGGAAAATTGACAGAGAACAGAAATACTAGTGAGAAGTCTACCGGAGAACGACGAACATCATGAAGTTTCTGGCGATCTGGATTTTCACGCTCATTGAGTATCTTTACCGCTTTCTTTATTTTCCTTGGTAATTTATTTTGATGCAGTTTGTGTTTAGCAACTTTAAGTTTCTGTGTTTTCGATTCCTGGTCAATTTCAGTTTAATGGAAGTTAAATTTTCTGCATTTTAATTTTTCATCCTTTAACTTCGACGCAAATTCGATTTCCAGTTATTTACTTTTTCTGCGTATTTCGATTTCTTACTATTTACATTTCCGCAATCTCTATTTCCCGTTAGTTCCGCAATTTCGATTCCTTGTCGTCTACACTTAATGCAAGTTTAAGGTTTCCGTACTTTACATTTTTTTGTAATTTAATATTCGATACTGCTTCTTTGATTTGATATTTGATTGTCTTTTTCTCTTCGAGTACTATAAATACAAAATACCAAAAAATAGTGCTTTCGATAAGTCATAACACGTTAGTAGGATTTTCTCGATACTGTGATATTTTCGATTCTCATATACATTTCGATTGAAAAAACATTTGCTAGCCTAAGTAAAAAGAACTTGCGTGATTGAGTTTTGGTTAGAACAAAATCTCTTAAGAATCGGAATCGATCAAAATTCCACCAGAAACAAATTGGCGCGCCAGGTAGGGGGCCTTGTGTTAAAAACACAAAATTGGTTAGTTCGAGAGTGTATGAGATTGAGGAGTGGACGAGTTATAAGAATGAGTCAAAATTCATCAAGTAACCAGAGTAACAGTGAGGGTCTAAATGGTGCACATTCACCAAATACTGGGGGGCAAAGTCATAATAGGAATATGCCTGTAACATCGACAACTACGAGTATGTCGATACCTATAGGTAATGAACAAAATTCAGGCACTTTAGCAAACACCCAAGTAGGATCTAGTACGGTGGTACCAAATAATATCCAAACTGTGGGAAACCCCACAACAACCTATGTAGGGCCATATATGAGTACAAGACCGCCTGGGTTTTCGCTTAATAATATGAGTGAGGCTGGAACTTCTTCAACACAGCGAAATTCGAGATATAACTTAGGAATGCCTCAAGCACTAGGTATGCCGCAAAATTTTGGAGTCCCTCTGAATTTAGGGACATCTCAAAACTTAGTAATCCCCCAGAATTCAGGAAGTGGACAGAATTTAGGCACACAACAAACACCTCCAAATCTAGATCATAGAGGAAATCTGGATCATGGGAGATATACGTTCGATAGAGATTATCATCGATCCAATTTTGAGACTATCGAAAACACTGGTACTGGGATATCCAGTAACTCATTAGGAGTACTTAGACAACAAATGGATGAGAGCAATTTTGAGATGGTGAATATGTTATCACAACAGTTGACTACAGTCCTAAATCTATTAGTTCAAAACACTACTACTAGTTTTGAGATATTAGCAGACCGAATGTCACGTATTGGGGATGTATTGGCTGTACCTCGACGAACAAGGGTAGAAAATCATACTAACCAGAATGCTAATATCGATCCCCCGTATCTATTGAGGAGAAATCGAAACAATGATCAACATCAGCATACGGGGAATGAATACCAACAGGTGAGGAATGATATTTGTGGGAATCTGAATGAGGGATTTCAAAATATGTACAATCAGAATAACATGCAGTATAATCACATGTTAGGACAGAGGATGAATTTCCAAGGGATGGAATTTAGACCACCCAATCAAACATACTTTGTGTCTCCCTTTCCAAATGCGATTCTCGAGACGGAATTACCTCGAGGATACAAAGTACCTAAATTCACCAAATTTGCTGGAGAAGTTGGTGAATCAACTATCGAGCATGTAGCTCGATATCAGATCGAATGTGGGGACCTAGAGATGAGTAAGGAATTAAAGATGAAATATTTCCCTAGTTCTTTGACTAAGAATGTTTTTACTTGGTTTACTTCGTTGCCACCCAATTCGATATATAATTGGCTGCAACTGGAAAGAAATTTTCATGAGCAATTCTTTAGAGGAGAAACTCAAGTAAGTCTCGTCGATTTAATGAATATAAAAATATATAATCATGAAAGCATAGATGATTATTTGAATCGATTTAGACTAATGAAGTCGAGATGTTTCACTCAAATTCCTGAATATGAATTAGTCAGAATGACCTCTGCAGGTTTAGAATTCTCGATTAGGAAAAAGTTAGTCAATTTACCATTGAATGACATGGCTCAATTAGATGATAAAGTGAGAAGAGTGGA